CACGTCTGTCATACTGGCAGCAGAAAAAAAAACAGACAAACAAGAAGCAACGACCATGTCCTCACATTACAATGCTGATGCCATCCAGAGCATTAGCATTCTGCATCCCTAAATTGAATTCTTGATTTTTGTAAACGTCTGTTATAACCTGGGCGATAACAGAAAACGTGGTTAGCTGTGCACCATGACGAGATAACCACCAGGGTGGAGCATACCAGTATTCATATTCTAATAAGGAGATTATTAGAATATGAATACTCAATGGGTCATACTCATGAAATCATTAGAATACCATGGCAGTTTAACTTTAAGGAAAACCAACCACAAAGTTCAGCTATTGCCTCACCAATTTTTCAACTTCATCACAAGCTTGTGATGTCCCTTCACATCTGTTTCACATTCAGGGCTACAGTATTCTAGTAGTATTAACATGGCTGTTCCAGGTTGAAAGAAAAAAGTCAAACTTCAGTGTTTCAAAACCGGTGGAATAAAGAAAAGGCTGAAACCTGATGGACGTATAAAATATTCCTCCATTCCTTGAAGTGCCTGCTCTGCGATGCTCCCAAATATTCCTTTAAATTCTCTTTCGTCTGCCTTTCCCCGAACCTCCACTGACATGTTCGGAGAGCAGACTTTCAACTGACAGCAGATCTGCTGGTGTGTGTGTTGTGGTGGACAGTTGATTGACAGGGCGTCAGAAATATTATTTTTTTTAAAAAGCACAGAAGTAAATGGTGGAAGAACAAAAAGAGAAAAGAAGAGATTGACTGCCAGGGCTGAAGAATGTGTGTGTGTTTCATATCTGTAATAATTTCACAAACATAAATGTGAAGAATAAAATGACTGCAGAGATGTAATAGATACAAGATACAACAGCTCACCGACACTGAGAGGAAGAACTAAATCAAGTATGACAAGACGTAAGAAATGTGAAACATTTTGGTCATGGGTGATTTTGAAAAACAAAATGGCAATCATGATTTACGCATAATAAAATAATGAATGTCCAGGGAAATATAAGACTTACTAGAAATTATTCATATTTACCACAGTTTAAGAGTGCTCTAATTGTTACATTGTGTAAAGTGCATATCTACTGCTGCATTTAAGTGCTTTCTAAGGCTAAAGATACACACTTAAAAAAACTCTGACTTACCAGGACTTGGACTGTCCAAAATGCAGGTAGTTGATGCTGTAAAGGTCCATGTCCTCAGTATGCCAGGCAAATGTAGTTTTCCACATGCCAAAATACAGATAGGGAGTATTTACCCCCTCAATAACAATACCACACTCCTGTTCTACCATGTCCAGCAGAGTGTTGAGGCGGCTAATGTTCCACTCGTCTATGTCCTGTACAAGAGAAACGTGAAGACTAATAAATTATCTGCAGGGACTGGGTAATTACCACCAGATGGTGCTGTGGGCCAATAACAATGAAGAATAAAAGAAGCTTATGTTATGGACATCAGATTACAATTACCGTTCCAATTCAAATTAACAACGAGGCCTGCTCACCTCATCGTAGATGGAGCCACTAACATCTGCACCATATATAGGAGACACAAATGTCAGATTTTTCCAGTATTTTCTCTCTAAATCATCAAAGTCCTTGTGGCGTGGTGTGCAGTACCTAAGAACAAAACACAAACAATGTAAGATCTGCAGGCAGACAACATTTGCTTGTATTTACTTGCACAAACAGTAGAAATTAGATAACAATTAATAAGGTATTTACATAACAGGTAAAGAGGGGACAGGGACTTCAATATGACAACATTAAACACTTGGTTTCTACTGTAGAACAGAAAAATAACAGCAGGTAGATGTGTGTGTTTATAATATGTGAATAAACCAAATGATATGATTATTAATATAGTAATTAATAAAGAAAAATGCCATGATAAATATGCAAAAAAATTATAAGATTTGTGGATTTTAGTCATTATTGTACATTTTGACAGTGGCTCGAAGAACATGTTGCTCTAAAACCTATGATGAAGACAAGTATGAACGCATATTTAAAAGTAAATATTCAGGACTATGAACCAACTCACTTTTTGCTGTTGGCCAGCTTACGATACTCCCCCACAGTCATTGACTTCTTCTGGATATTGTACTGGGTAAACAGACCAGACTGACCAGTCACCACCTGCATGATGGGAGCTGGAATCACCATGTCCTCTATGCTATCGTAGCATTTTCGTGGCTTCCAGCCCTGTGGTGGAATCACCTGTCAAGGGGAAATAAATGACTGTTATTAAAACAATGAACAAAAATGTAAACATAAGGATTAAAAAATATCTAATATATCAGCTGTTACAAAAAAAGGGAAACGTATACATTGTTATATTTGTTTGATATAAAATCTACACAGAAAGTTTGCTGGTTAAACTGCATCATATAAATGTGCTGGGGTTTAGGTATTTGTTTAAGTTTTGCATGGACAGTATGATGAGATTTGATTAAAAATTTGAGTATGTGAGGAGTGTGTTGCCACACCTTTGCAACACCAGCACGATGAGCTCCTTCACTTTCCATGTAAACCATGTATTTGGCAAAGTCTTTAAACTCTTCCATGGTGGGCCGGAATGTCATGATCTTGCAGCTGGGGTTCTTGGTAGTGACTTGTGGTTGTGGCTGAGAGGTGGGGGGAACCTCAGGACCTGAAACATGTCCTACTGGCACCCCTGAGTCTACAGCAGCATTATGGTCTGATGTCAATGCTGCCTGAGGAGTTTCAGCTACTGCTGGCTCCTGGGTCGGAATCTGGTCTCGAGTTTCACCAAAGCTGGTAGGGGAGACAGAAGGAACTGGGTCTGAGGAAAGGGCAGGAGGAGGTGCTGGCCCTGTGTCCATGGGCATTTCAGTAGCCATTTATGTGGTTAACTCTTGCAGGTGGACCTAAGGAAAAGGGAACAGAAAATTAAAATTTAATATTTGTATTCAACTCTACTTTTTTCCATTTAATGAACAAGAACTACTAAAAATACATCAATATGCATATATAAGGTTTTACAGTTACTATAACTGGTTAAATGGTAAACTCATCTTACAACATTTGAGTATAGAAGCCATAATGTGTGTTTCTACCCAACCAGGATTTGTTGGATTTCAGATCTGCAGCTGTGCCTGTTTTGCTGATGCTCTGAGTGTCTTATCCCCTGTGTCTAATTCTATTTCCCTTGTGAAATTAATTTGACTGGTGCAATTCCCCACTGTTGTTGAATAATTATGGAAGGATCTGAACTCAGAGAAGGGGAAGAATCTTGAGGGTACAACAGAAGTTACCAAAATCCTGAATGGAATACTTAAGGGAATTTTAAGAAAAAAAAAGACAGAACAGCCAGAAAAATGTACCTTAAATATAAGACATTTAAATTTATAACATCCTAATAGTGAAAAATATATTTTTATATTTAATATTTTATTATGTAGGCCTCTGTTTCCATCTTAAGTTTACAAAAACACAAATAAAGCCACATCTTATGGAACCCCAGGTTATAATAAGTATTTTCAAATAACCACTGTCTCACCACAAAAAACAGGGACGCCCCCAGAGACCCTTTAAATCCAGCTGGGCCTGCAACTACTTTCATGGCTCCAACATGATGACCTCGCAACACATTTGTTATAGAGCAAAGCACTATAATGAAACCCCTTTTGTTTTATAATTGTTGCAATTCAATTTTAAGCAAAGAAAGCAGTTGGGTTGAGTAGTTGAGTACTGGCAATAACGACTATGCACAACTGACTGTTAACTGTTAGCATTTAAAGCAAAAACGAAGAACTACTTTACTGCAGAATGCTTTACAATAGTAAAACATCCACAAAATCTGTGTCGAAACGGTATACCCACACAGAAGCGGATATAAATTAAAACTGTTGTAAAGCTGCACTCTATCGTGCCATTAAACGATGGCTAACACTACCTTAGCTCATCGCTAGCTGCTCCGATTTCTGCTGTTAAAAACAAACCACCGCGACGAAGAACACCACATATGCAAGCGTTTAACTATAGTAAGTGCATAACGATTGAAATGACTAAGTGTATAGTAAAAATTACCTCCTGCGTTGTGGTATCCTTGTCGCTTTCTATGTTTAGTTAGATTTGTTTCGGTTCTGAAATATTCTCTTAGTCGGTTTTCTTCTAGCATTAGCTATTGGAGACCATGTCGTAGTCACGCCCACTTCAACAGCAAAGCACAAAGATTGGCCCAAAGACACGGAAATTAGGACACTAGGCCAGTAGACGGACACCACGATTGGTTAATCCAGTAACAGACATAACATTCTACCAATCAGCGGTGGTATTTCATGACCTGCATCCTGATCCGTGTATTTAACCGATGTGCACACACGCACGTACACACAGTTGGTTTGCTCTGCACTGTCAGCCATTATGTGAACAGTCGCAGGCAATGCAAATCAAGGTAGACTCGTGTTTACATCTCTACAAAGCCGATACACAACAAAGCCACCACTATGTTTTGTATTTTTAAGAGACAAATAGTCACTTATAGTGATGTTCCGAGAAAAGTCTTTTCAGAAGTAATTATATAAAAAGCAAATAAATATCTGTGTAGGTTCTCAGTCATCCAGGTCATTCGATCCAAAACATCGAGGGCAACTGAACGAAGTATTATGACTAGAGAGGTGAAACGCCTTTAAAAAAAAAAAAAGTAATGTAACTAGTTTTGGTTTCAAATAAATAAATTCCCATAACATCCTTATTGAAATCTAAACAAGCCTTAACCTTTTTGGTTGTAAAACACTGAAGATTTATTGACAATTTTGCAGCAAATTTGTGCAGGCATTTCTAAAAACTACATATAAAACTTAGAGACTAAAAAAAAAATTACACAATTTAAGAATATATACATTTCCCAGTTTATGTAAATCCTTGTCTCAAAAAAAAGTGCTGGTATGTGGATGAATGTGTCATGAATGTGTAACATTGCTGCTGAACTTGCACTTGAACACTTCAACTTGAACAAACGGCATGTGGTAAAAGAAACGTCATTTATTAGTTGATTTGGTATTAAGTTATTTTTCAGGAGCAGTGTCAGACATGTACCTACATTTCAAGTCAATGAAAGTATTTCCTGCTTTTTCTTCAGAAGAGATTGGATTAAAAAATACAGGAGACAAAATCTAACTGAAAAATGCCTAACAGATGGGAGCAAGATTAAATGTACATGTTTTAGTTTCAGCAAAATAAATTTCTAAACTTTATTAAGGTCAATAAAAGGGGCAAAAAAAGCTGTTCTACAGGTTCTACATTAAGCACAAACTTTCTTTTGCTTTTTGGACCTCATCAATAGAAACCATTTCAATTCTGCCAAGGATTCAAATTAACTAAATTTAATAGAAATTCTTAGCAGCTTTTGGCCCAAAATGTTGAAACTTAAAATACAAATGTAATAAAAATGGATAAAATACAAATGGACCAAGACGCAATTCTGAGGACACCTTTGAAACAAATGTTTCTTTGAGACAAAAACGGAAAGGATTTAATTGAACCTTAAAGGTTCAGTGTGAGATTGCATGAAATGCCTTATAATATAAAAGGTCTTTTAACACTAATGCAATGTCAGAAATCAGGGCAAATTCAAGGAACATCTACGGTTCCTGGGGAAAAAGCCACATCATAAAAACAAGGCTTTCAAAGTACAGACATACTACATACAGTGAAGTACACAGTTAATGGGAACACACATTCTCCTGTCAGACCAATCCAAGCCAATCAAGTTTCCAGATCTAGGGCTAGATTGAATAAGGCAACCAAAGTGACGACTCAATGCAGCTAAGCGAAGCCAACAACAGAATAATTTCCAAAAGAATCGGCAGGTAATTTGAATAAAATGGCTTAACATCCTCCTGAGGAGTTCTGCTAAACTTACCAAGACAACTGACACTTGTATTAAAAACACCAGAACAATATGTAAATAAAAACTGTTTAAAAGTATTAACAGAGTAAGGGGACCAGGAGGTTAAAGTCACTATAAATATATCAGTAACCAGCTACACTCAGGGCAGATGCATGTTGGAAAAAAAAAAATTATGTAGCACCAAAGTCCAAAAACATTGTAGTTTTATCATCATAAAAATATATTATGAGAAACAGATTCTTTATTGCCTTAGCTGAAGATTCCCCTTACAGTTACTATGATTTTCCTCAAGGACAGCACAGAGCTGGAGATCATCGCCCATTGCTGTACCCTGGGAAGAACTGAGTAAGAATATCTTGCAGAGATTTGTTGACGGTCATGGAGTAGTTTTTCCCCAAGTCATGTCTGCAGGCTGGGCAGGTGTACACATCTGCTCTGAAGGATCGCTGAAGGCACTCCTAGAGTTAAAAAAAAAAAAACACAAATAAATACAGTGGCTCTCTGTTACTACATTTAAGATCTATTACTTATGTTTAGGTCATAAATGGTAGTGTAGGTAATAGGTATCAACAGCCACTTCAGCCATTATGCTTTGCAAACTATCAAGATAACACCATGAATGGACTCTTACCCTGCAGACATTGTGTTGACACTCTGTGGTGATGGGCTGAAAGACCACTTCTTGGCAGCAAATGCAGAGGAAAACTTCCTCAACCTTATTCAAAAATTTCTGCAGCAAATAAAGTAAGCACACAAAAAATTACACATTCATTTTATGAACGCTTTAAGTCAAAACAAAGGCATTTGCTCAACACTGACAGACAGTCATTGTAATATTTATACAAATGCAATGCATTTTGTTGGAAAGATCATGGGGAAATGCATAAAGAATATCCATCCTGAGGCCTCAAGTGGACATGTTAAATTAACATAATTTGTTTGGTCTCGTGCAGATACACTGACATCCTTACCGGTCCAAGTGACAGTGACTCCATGGCTTCATCCCACAACTTTTTGTTCAGCTTGTCATTCTTGATGAGGGTCTTCTGCTCCTTAGAAAGTTTGTACACCTCCACCTTCATTTTCTTAGGAGTCTTGCCAGGTGAGGTTTTAGTGGATTCTATAGGATTGTAGTGGGAGTGGAAATGTATAAATGAATTAGAATCTCCAAAGATGAGTGGAAATGTACATTTGATTTAAGTTAGACATAGTGTAAACAGGTTCCCTCAAGTATTATCAGAACTAACCCCAGGTTGGTCAATATACCCCTTTGACTTACCACTGCCCTGAGAATTTCTCTTCCTCTTTGCTTTGCTAGGTGTTGCCGTCTCCTCCTCCACTTCATTTTTGTTCTCCTTCTCCTTCTGATATCCAGCAGGGTACTGCATCAACAACAGGGTCAATTGAAAAACATTACAAATGTGGGTGAACCTTCAAAGTTAGGTCACATATTTTTGATGCCACACATCTTTCAAAAATGCATAGGATAGAATAATGTGCACAGAATAATGAGTTACATCGTGTCAAAAAAAGACAATATTAGTGTTTAACTGTTGTAATGTCTCTTGTGAAGGACTCTGACTCAACTCAAAATGAAGGAAGTGAACTACTTGTCATTGTGACACAGCACACCACTGCACACAACCAAATGTGACCTTTTAACTCATCACTAAAGTGAACAGTGGGCAGCTGTGTGTGGGGATGGTGCCGTGCTCAGAGCAACTCAGCTGGTGGACTTGAACCTGAAGCCTTCTGGACCCAAGTCTGCTTCCTTAACCACTAAGCCACCACTGCCCCTACTAAGCCTCCACTAAAATGGCACTAAATAGAATTTGCACAATACTAGTCTAATGTCTACCTGGATGGTCAGACCCAGCTTCTTGATGCGCTCCTTTCCATCTCTTGTCCATGGCGCTGGTTCGTCATCGTCACGTTTTAGCAGATACCGCCAGACCAAGAACCCAGATTTACCTTTCGCAGGCCAGTACTTCACCACCTGACAAAATTTGAATTTTTAAAAAAATAATAACATCATAACTAAAATGCAACATCTGTCTCCTCCTGTCACTTCAAACACAATCCAAGGTTTTTGTAATTTGTACCTTGTAAATGCCATCGTAACGGTTTCCTTCCTCAGGAGAGTATTTACTGTGCTTGCGACCCTTGCAGTTGCGCACAACTCTGACAGGTTTGCCTCCTTTCCAGTTCTTGGACTCCGCTCCATTTTTGTCATTTAAATGGACATTGCAGTTGAGAGCCAGAGCACTGTGCAAAACCACAGAAGACACATTTAACACAGAAACGCAATATTGTATTTGAAATTCCACATCTTCTACCAACATACCGGTTCATGTGGGTGAGTGTCTGATCACATGACTGTTCAGCAGTCCTTTTATTCCCAGAAAGATCACGTCCTCCAGAGCCAGTGTAGGTAAATTCATTGCCATCATCCTAGATTATATATAAAATTTAGAAACAATCAATTTTCCTATATAATATTTGCCTCTATCTGGTTAAAGGGAGGAATAAAGACATACCACATCATCTTCATAACCTCCAGCCAGCACCAGAGAGTAAGCACCATCGTTGCTCCTGCCGTGAATTCCTGCTACATGAGGCCTGTGGACGCCAGCCTCACTGACCTACAACAGCCAAGCGACCAGTATACACATATTAGTCATTACGTACAACAACCAGCAGAGGTCACCCGTTTATTTTCTTCATTGAGGTCTTGTTTACAGAATTAGGTAGACTCTCTCTCTCTATCTATATATCTATATATTAATAACAAAGCACTTGATTTAGGGACCAGAAACTGCGTTTGGCTCCCTCTGCAGGGGACAGCTAGAAACATGACTGCTAATGCTCATTAAGTACTGTATGTTGTACATTGTTAAATGTTGTTAATTGAAAAGCTTGAATGTACTGACCTGCACTCTGAATTTCCACAGGGACCCCACAGGAACACCAGGAATTGGGCCGTAGTGGTTAGATGGTACAATGGTGCACTCCTTGGTACGACCCACACAGGCCATTCCCTAAATGACAACATTCATATATAAAGATCTGGAATAACAGAACTGCAAATAAGCTTTCACCGCATTAATGCAACTAATATTTAACTTTTATAACCGTACCTAAAGTCAACTTAAATTCAGAGAGGATTTTCTGTGCCACTCACCTTGCCCCAGTCCCTTTGGCTGGAGGACGTTGCAGAGGCCATCTTTGATTTCTTCTTGCTCTCTTTTAGCTTCTCTCCGGCTAACACAACCTCACTAGCGTCATTACGACAACCTGGACAGTACCTGCAACACACGTGGAATAAATTTCATGCACAGGACATAAACCAGAATGGTAAAATGGTGGATGACTGTTACTGACCAGTCTTCATCTTCAGGGATGGAGGTAAGCGGTGGGTTCAGGCAATATATGTGATAGGCCATGTCACATTCGTCACACAGTAACTGTTTATCAGGATCCTGCTTGATGCCGCAGATGTGGCAGTTACACGAGCGACAGTTCTTTTTGGGATCATCTTTACAGAGCTTGCACTCCGGTCCATTTGATCCTAGGTAATAGATGTAATAGATAATAGTAAAAAAGTAAATAAGGACTTGTTTCATCTCTGTACATCTTTAACTACAGTGACCTAATAAGACACTTAGTGCTCAAATAACTGTAAAAAAAGATATATATATATTAAAAATCTTACTTTTAAGTGGGCTTTCAGATCCAGCTGGAGCATCAGCACTAGAGCCATGCTCCTCAATTTTGTAGATTTCAGTGATGAACATAATGTGGCAGTCATTTAAAGAGTCACCAGCATCACTAAAGAAGAAGAAAAAAAAATCTCAAACAACAGGCAAAAACATCAATCAACAGTAAAGGTGACACAATGACAAGAAAAGAAAAACAAATTTCTTCTGAAATAAAAAAAAAACTGAATGCTGGTATTTGACTTAATATCAGACTCTTACCCAAGAATAATTTTGGCATAGATTTCCCTGATGGTGCGCGTCTCCCTCTTCCTCTGGATCTCAGCATCATACCAGTACCCACGTTCTTTGGGATCGTCTGGGTTGTAGTTGAGCATAACAATCATTCCCGGCTCCAGCTGATGCCACTGGTAAACGGTACGCGCCCGAGGTCGAACATCCTTTGCCAACAGCTGGATTACCCCATTCTCTGGGTAACTGCAATTTAAAAACAATTGAAGGTTTCAGTTATAACAGAAGGCACACATTAACACAGGTGCTTCCTGCACGGTGGTGCCAGGGGTGTAGTTGAACAGTTTTCATTTTATTCTAAACCACTTTCTTTACACTCACATTATCACTAGAAACATGAGTGATTTTCAACAAAAAGACAGCTGCTGCTTCAAACCTAGATCTTCAGGTGCCAATTTTGTGGTGGAAACTGTAACAACTTTAAAATACCAGATGAAAAATGAAGTACTTCTTGCCTTTTAGAAAACTTAAAAACAAACAAAAAACAATGGAGGCTTAAAGAACAGTCATTCAAAATGTTTAAATGACACTAGAGATCATAAACTGTTAAGAGAAATGCTTCTTACTCTTCATATTTTACATGGTACAGTATCTCCTCCTCCTCAGATGGGTGGGCCTCTGCAGCCTCCTCTTTCGATGCTTTGGTGGTCTTTGTGATATTTACAATCTGAGCTTCAAACCATGCTCCCATGTTTAAGTCGCGTGCATCAACTAGCTCGTTGATCTATAAATACAACAGAAAAAAAAAAGAATAAGGCATATAGAGCTGAATACGTTCCTGGTTAATAACTTCCACACACCTCTGCAATCCATTAACATTCTGTGTTTATGTAGTATTTACATTAACTATTCCCCAACAAGAAATTTAGCAACGTTACCAGCACAAACATTATGAAGTTTACATTAACACTTACATATTCACATAAACTCTAAAAACAGCACTTTAATTCAAGCCTCACCTTGAAGAATCCAAAGCCTGGATCAATGAGCTCTGCAGTGTCAGTTTGCGCAGAGTTGCTGGCAGTTTGAGCCTCAACCTCACTGTGAGTGGAACTCTTGTCACACTCGCTCTGAGTTGAACCACAGCCAGAATCTGAGTCTGAGAGCTCAGCTTCTTTGTCTCTGCTTTTGACAACTTTAACAGAAGGAAGCTTCTGCCTGACAAGCAACTGCACAATATCATTAAGCCCAACATTGTAGTCAAATATTGTGTGGCCATCCTCCATCTAAAAAAACAAACAAAACAAAAACAAACAACAGATAAGATATAGTGATGGTATACCCTCCAATAATCACTAGATGTCTTTAAGATTGCCATTTCTAATGCTGTAGAGACAACCTGGTATGAAGACAATTTACAGATGACATCTTACCTGCTTACCGCGATAGAACAAGCGTTGTCTTTCCGGTTCGACCTTGAAGAGTTCTTCAATTTTAAGACGTAGCTCATCCACCTTGGTTAGTTTGGACAGGGAATCCACCCGGTGGGTTTCCTTCCCATCCATTGTGCGCACTTGAATCCACATTGCAGCTGCCCTGTGTTGACAGCAGAGCCATGACCCAGACAAAAAAAAAAAGTAAATTTCCTCTTTCAACATATTCAGAACTTGTGCCAATTCCAACACAGAGAGTAAAATATATATAAGTAGCCCTATATGATGGCTTCATGACTCTGGTGGAGCCATTGTATGGTCTCCATTACATTGCATGGCAACAGGAAAGCCCAATCCTGAAGAGTCAATAGGCAGAGCTGGGGCCCCGGGAATAGATATGGTAACCACTTAGTATGACTCAACACCAAAACATTTTTGTAGAAACTACGTTAAACATTTGAATTAATTTAAGACATGCATGTCAAATTCAAAGTTAAAAGTTAGTGGGGTTTTTTTGTATTCTACTTCTTCAAAAATGTGCCACTCTTTTGAAAATCAGACACTGTTTTTAAAAATCCAAACATTGCGCATTGTATTTTCATGATCAACAAAGAGTGTTTCATATCATAAAACAGCTAGGAACCTAAATATCTATGCAATGAGTCATAATACAACAAAAACGGTCTGCTGTCTTGAAAACAATTGGGAAAGGATGTTTTTTTTCCTCAATACTGTGAAAATGTTTGCTCAGTGTGAGCGTTCAATTGGGTTTCAATTATCGAGTAACTTATTCTGCTTTACTTTGAATTGTATTATACCAAAAGTAAACGGCTACGGACGACTTGTGTGGACTACAACATACACAATACAAATTAGTGAAACAGCGCTGTTGGCTTATGTCAGTTTAGATAAAGAGAAAGGGAGGGAACAGGCTGATTTAAATACAGTGCGGGAAACTGGGCTGTAGGCCACTCCCACTTCTTTTAAAGAAGTCACATCCGGACGCGAGGGAGCGCTAGCAAACAATGTGCCTGCATTTCCTGACAATAAAATACAATATACGATCATTTTATATAATTTTAATATACGATTACTGTAAAGAGGAAACATCTCAGTCGACATATATTCTGCTTTAAACACACACAGCACCAAAAAGGCGATCTGACCGGCCGTTTGTTTTTATTATCCCAGCGCTGTTCTGTTCGTGGGGGTTACCAACGATGAATAAACCAGTAAACAACACGCTTAGCGCTACACCCCAAATCAAACCACTCCGTCGCTTTATATTCAGGTTATCCCCCACACGAGCCATTATTTCCCCAGATGCAAAGAAAATCAAATATTTTTACAAAGTAACTATGTTAAATAAAAAGAGGAAATCCGAATTTCAGTCAAAGGTTGTTGAGCTATTGTTGCTTAATATTCCCAAGTAATGATACAGCAGGACAACATGTGCTGCATTACTATGAAGAATACACAGCAGAAAAACAACACCAGAGACAGGTCACAGTAGTCAAGTTCAACGCCTTCTCTTATCACAGCTTCCAATATACCAACTTGTGATACAATGGCTCTCTGCCTACACTTTATGAGCACATTATGAGCATAAACAGTTTGCATGTGACTAAACCACTTTTCATGAGAGCAAACAGTAGTGAGGTCGACCTTAATTAAGTTAACCAACACTAACATTAGTACGGCTAGCTAATGGTTAAGTAATTCAAATGAAAGAAAGGTAAAGTTATATTAAGTAGAAATGTGTTTACCTGTTTGCTCGTCCAAGTGAAAAGAAATGACGTAAACAGAATAACACGAACGTTTTCCCTGAAATACTTTTTTTTTTCTATAAAGGTGAGTACAACCAACTCTGTGCCTTGTTGGAGACTGATCAATGAGTTATTCTTCAAGACTTTGATACCCAGCCTGCAGTAAAAAAAATGCTGCTACCATTGGACACTTGCGTTCAACGTCTTTACGCTGATTGGTTGATAGAGCTGTCATTTTAAAAAGTGACCGGAGCCTAGTGCCAGCGCGCGAAATAACATTCTCGTGGGTGCAGCCTGCCTCCGGCATGTATTATCGCGGGAGTCTGTAGCGAACAGTAAATCCTCTTGGCCTCTTCGTTTATCTTTGCTTCATTGTTGCATGCCCTGTGTAAACAAGTATTTTCATTATACGTTTTTAAAACTTTTTACATTCATTAAATTTAAATGCTACCGTAGAATATACACTACTATATATGCTTAAGACCACTGGATTGTGTTGAATCAAAATCATTGGCACATTAAAAATAGGAATTTAAAAACATTCTCCTAAAATATATAAACTGTGCGCTGTTAAACTAAGATCAAACTGTGTAAGATTAATTTTTTGTCTGCTTGTATTTACAATTTTAATTTCCTCTCTTAACCTTACATGTTGCTAAACCATACAATGTATATCTCCATGTACTGTATCTCTCTTAACCTTACATACAATGTATATCTCCATGTACTGTACTGTGTCATTGCAGATCAAAATATGAATTAAGGTCACAAGGATATTGTCAATTAAAGTCACTCTTTAATTGTTTTGTCTGATTAAATTATTTTAAATAAATTATAATTGAGAATACAATTTATTATTGAGGGAAATTGAAATATATTTAATGTTTTAAATTATATACACATATGCAAGCTAATATCAGGTCTACATTCTACATGCAGTGTTTCTAACCCCCTTACTGAATGTAAAGGGAGTTACAATAAGTGAGTGAGTAGCTTTCTGCGCCTATCAGAAAATTAATTCATAACAAACAATTCGCTCAAAACATTTTACAGGATAATCACATTAAATAAATCACCCAGCCAAATTAATTTAGAGATAAAAAAAATGATCCTTGAAGTCCCATCACATTTTAGCAGCAGAAGAAGAATCAAGTCTGTGTTCACAATCACTAAAAGGAATATAAAATAAATCACTTTGTCATTACATCTTGTTTAAACTACTAAGCGAGGTCATTTTCTGTAGGATGTCTCTAGTTTGGTGGAGCCTGGACAGTGCTGCCTTGCAGGGACTGTTTGGCTCTCAGAGGAGAGAAAGGGGACATGGTAAGCCAAATCATCCAAGAAGTCCTTCTGCAACTTTGTTATTGCTTGAGACAGCACAACTGGTAGTGACTGCAAACAGAGAAGTATTGTATCGAGTTTCTCCTCCAGAGCTACAATCCTCCGGTCCAGTTCCTCACTTCGATGTTGCAGCTCCAACACCAGATCATAGATCATGTTCTGTGTCTATTAAAAAAAGCATTGCACTTTAAAGATAGATTAAACTAAGGCACACAAAACATCCTTGTAACATTTAATTTGAATAACAAACGATGTATGATTAGCTGAAATCATAAAATGTTATCACTGATATTACATCTTCTGACCTTAGCAAGGTCAGCAATTGTGTTGGCCTGGTCAGTTAGTTTCCTCTGTTCCATTTTGAATCTTCGCATTCTGATGTTGGAAAAGAAAAAGACATAAATGTATCTCTTCTCAACCACACTACAACATTCAAAATTATTTTCCACGTTGAGATTAAGTGGCAGTTGTTGCAGATAATTCTTACTGGTGGATTGCTTGCAGAAATTTACGCTGATGGTGTCGGACTCTGGCGTGATCAATTTTCTTGATCAGCTTGGTGTTCTTATAGATAAGCCATGTTTCTCTCAGGACATTTGCTGCTGTGTTTTTAATCTGTGGAAGGAATATCACACAAGTGAGAATGTAAAAATAGAACACATGACAATTTTCAACTTTCATTTTAATCCATTTAACTGCATAATTCTGTTGATTTTGTTTGAGATTTGTGGAGAAGTTGAACTGATCGTGTTAAAATAAGTTTACATTAAATTCATTTTCATACAGTGTGTCCACTGAATGTGCATTCTTGATTGTGGTGTCACCTTTTTGTAGAGTTGAGTATCCATCATGAAATTATGGACGTGTTTTTCAGCTCTGGTGAGTTCTGACTTCCTTGCCACAACAGCAACAACTAAAGCAGTGCAGCCTGCTCCCTGAGAAAAAGAGCAGAGTTTTGTGTGCGTCTGTTGATTGTTTTATGTTGCACCTAGGGTTTATTAAAAGGTCGAAACCCAAAACACATTTATACAGTGTAATATCCAGTAATTTGGGAACATATATAGTTTAAATCTTGTGGGAAGTTTTTCAAATTTTAATCAGAATTTATCTCACCATGATTCCAGTTAATAAGCAAACACCTTTTCCACAATAGGTATGAGGGACCATGTCCCCATATCCAATGGATAGAAAGGTGATGGAGATCAACCACATGGCTCCAAGAAAGGTACTAGTAACATCCTGTGTGTCATGGTACCTGTTAAAGACAAACAGAAATCTGCTACAACAGCAGTTGAAGAACTGAAGAGAAAAAGGATAAAAATAAAGGAAGGCGTTATAAACCTCTCTGCAGTTACCTTTCACATATGCGTACAGTCCATGCTGCTATGATCCAACAGGACACACTGAACACCAACAGGACTGTGCCGGGACAAATCGTCATCAGAGTCTTCATCACAAACCGAGTGTCAAAGTTGATCTTGTTGAGGGCCCCGATGCTGCGGGAGGAAGCGTCAGTGAACAGTTTGCTGTGAAGCAGCATGACCCGACCAATTAGGTAGAGCCGGAGGAACATGGGCACAGAAAGAATGACGTCAACATCAGCATCTGCCACGGATGATGCGTAACTGAAGGCCAGTCTAGCCCTCCATGTGAAAACATACTGGCCAGGGATCGGATGGATGGCACAGACCAGGAGCTCCAGGATGACACGAAGAATCCGCTCAAAGGTAATTGCTATCCTCCAATCATCAACACCATTGTCCACCATGAAGAGCTACAGAATGAAATTAGTAACATACTATAGTAACAGTATATTATTAGATTTATAATGTCCAACCAGTAACAGTATACGCACCTGGATTTCTCTTGCATGGTACATGACAATGAGTCCAAGTAGAACAACAGTAGAGAGACTGATTAGTCCTTTCAGTATGTATGAATATAAGGATTCCTGTTAGTGTTGGAGATGGAAAGATAGTGAGTACAGCTCTGTTCAAAACCACAGATAATAAGCAAAATTAATGATGGAGGGAATTGAAAGAAGAAACTGATTTTTTAATACGGTATACTTATACTGTACACACACATTATAATTTTCCCTCTACATTTAAAACCACATTTGAGAGAGGACTACACTGTACCACGCTTAGAAGGTGGTGATGGTTTTTTGCACATGCTAAATACACCACAGAAATCACACTATACTAAATATGGGTAACAAGAAACGTACCTTTGTGTAAAATCCCCTTGACAGTTCTGTCTCAATAACCATGACTATGATACCAAACATCCCACAGACCAGTGCATAGTCACTTAATTGTTTGCGCTTTCCAAAAAGAGCTCTTCTTTGACCCAATCGGTAACTGATGTCCTTAGTTCTCCTCTGTGGTAAACTGCCGTCCTCCCTATCACTGTTGGCCTTGCTGGAGTCTTCTCTGATGACCTTGGAGAAAGCATCCTCTAGGATGGCACTGTGAAGTAGATGGAGAGGTTGATTGCCTGACCTAAAAGTGCCTTGACTGCTCAGCGGTCGCACTGCTTCTCCATTTACTGAGTCACTGTTTTCTGAGTGGTCCCCTACTGAGGGAGTATGATTTAAGAGAGACTGACTTTGTCTCTGTTTTGATCTTTCCTCAACTAAATCTTGGTTGTCAAGGGAACTATACTGACTGAAAGAGGATTGGATGCTTATGTCACCTCCTGGTATCGAAGACCTGGCAACCTGAGGATTACGGGTCAGTAAGTTGAGAGGAAGTTGTTGGCAATTGACAATAGATGGAGCGTTGCTTTGATTTTTGGAATTCCCATGTGACTTGCAGGATTCATCAGCAGTTATCAAACTGTTAGAGTTCTGCTGCGGCCGTACCAACAGTGGTTCTTTGCCGTACAGGTTCTGCCAGCTGAGACCTGTACTGACAGCTTTGTGGAGTTTCTGGTTGGTTTCAGGACATTCAACAAAGTTTAGAGGAATGTTGAACAAATCTGGAAGAGTTTGATCTTGGCTGTTGTCTCTGGGTTTTGGATGACTACAGAGTTGATGTTCCAAGTCTACCTTTTGACTTGGTCTTTTATTGCACTGACCCACAAATGCATCATGTTTATTTGCCACAGGTTTCACAACATGGTTTGTTTGATGTGAAACCTGGCACAGGGATGAACAATGATTGCTTTGAGAGATAGTCTGGCTAAAGATTGGAGATGAGCGACTCTTTTTCTTTCTGAGTTTGGACAAACTCTTGTGAACTGAAAGAGGTTCAAGAGGTTTCGAATGCTGGTGTGCCTCAGGACAGGAACAACCACATTGGTCTTCATGGTTTGGATTTGACACTCTGCTTTCTGATTCATCTGCCAAGGGAGAACCATCTGCACTGTTTACCACTGTTCCACAAAGCAGTAACCACTCCTGATCACTCAGCTGGGATAAGGTCAGGTCTGGGTCTTTAAGAGGTGACATCTGATCTGAGATTCTCGGTGGACTGACTCCATTTGTTTCTTCATGAGTTGATGATGAAATGCAACACAGGCTTGCCTCCTTAGTGGATGAAGATGCTTCACAAGATGGGCCAAAGTATGGTTCAAGTTTGCCCTCAGGTGGACTTCCTGGAGAGCTGTGGTCATGATCTCTGCCTTGGAAGACTTCCCCTGTAGAATCAAGGCGTCTTGTTGCATTGGTGGGTTTGACCAGAATCAGCCTCATTGTCGACCTGTAAAACATGGAATCCCTCACAAAATTTAGCTACGCTGTCAAAACATAGAGATTGTCACACAAGAATCATGCAAAAAAAAAACATTACATTAGATTATGGTAATAGGACTCCAAAGATGTCCGTCTGGAGTATCTACTTGCACACTACACATACTGTCAATGTGCCTGGACTCCACACTGCATTTCTTACCATGCCCTGGCTCCATTCAACTAAAGGTAAGGAGAAGGTTGGATTGACGTCAAAACAAAATACATTCAAAACATATGGAAATCAAATCAAGAATCTTCTTTTATATATTTAAGGTTTTTTTTTCAAGTTTTTTGTCTGAATTGTATATTCAGAAATAATCCACGAGAGGATTAGTTTGAATCATTGTCAGTGTCAGGACTTGTGTACAGCTGGTTATAAATGAGAAACCTTCTGTCAAACACAGATGTGATCCACCTCTCTACTGTCTACTGTACAAAATAATCATGACGACACAGAAGATCACGAGAATCCGTGTTTAACATTACTCACTCACTCTAAAATTATGAAAAAACAATAATGACTTATTATCTGTATGTATAATGTTGTACTTATCCTTTAATTTTATAAAATATTTTGTAACAAATTGAGTACTTGTTAGTTTTGTACAGTTAAAAAACAGAACCTTTTTAAGCATTTACAAAAACATCATAGAAACATATATACATATAAACACATTATATATTCATTTGACAATTTTTAAATGGGAAATTATATTAAACAATGATTGGCTTATTTTAAAATCTAGATCCTAACACAACATTAAATGTAAGAGTTCCTTATCAAGATATTAATAATACAATTATTAACAATTCTCCAGTGTTTATTACCTTTGTCCTCCATAGCTCTTAATCCCTGAACTTCCAGACACAGGTCCCAAACAAGATGCTCTCAGATGCAGAACTGAAGTGGTCAATGAGCAGCAGCGTGCGGGGGAGCAGCCCCACGTCCTCTTTGTATGTACGTATGATGAAAGAGCTTTGCTGATGCTTTTCTTTGAAAGTAACAATTAGAATTCACCATGAAGAAAGCAAAGGGGCCGCAACGGTGGCGGTGACCGCCCTGGAAAAAGAGCTGACATGCAAATGTACCCAGACTGTGAGGGCGTAGCAACAGGTTAGGATGTAAGAAAAAATAAAAGCTCTTCTATCAGAGCAAACATCACAAGAAAATCAGCTCAAAGAAATCCCTCAAATTTGGAATAGGATGGATGGGTGACAACAAGAATAAAAGAAATGGTGTTGTTTTCAATGCAAAAACAGTCGGTTGATCTCGTCATTAGGGATGTAAATTTCAAAGGTTTTCACAAGGTCTCTTATCTCCACCGCCACAAGGGCCTGGCTAGACAAAGGTGTCCATTTTTAAATCAGATTCAAATAAATCAAACGGGTGAGTAAAAGACCTCCACATGTTTCAATGTACAATCTACCAGAGAAAACTGCAGCTGCAATTTTGTATGAATTATTTGAATACGGACAAGACTAAACAGTCACTTCTGAACTTACAACAGTTCTCAAACTGTGGTACACGTGGCACTAGGAGAACATGGGCTTCTTCTAGTAGTACGCAGAGAAATCTGAATCCTATTAGGGTGTGTGTACAGTACATGTTTCAGAACTGAACTAAAGTGCCCCTTACAGTAATACTTCACTGAACAGTGGGGCTTTGGCTTATATACTGGACAATATTCCTATTAAGAATACATTCTGTTCTCTGTATACTGGTCCTAGCTAAACACAGTACATAGGTTTGTGCTACTGTTTTGTAATGTTGATGATAGTGGTAATACTTGCAGAAACAGGAGCTTTTTTATGTGGTTCACAGTGTAAAGTTTCACCATCTTATAATGACTGTCATTAGACAAATGTATGCATTTAACAAAAAATAAAATTCAATTTCGACTGAATCACTTGTAATAGAACAGTGCAGCAGGTTCATAAACAGTCCCCGCGCCATTTATTTTTGACTACATGAACCTTACATATTATTGTGTGGTGTTTTTATATGTGTGAATTGGTTTCCGCTACAGAATTAAATTGCCAGTTAAACACTAAAACCCTACTTTCTTTGTTAATTGGAAGTTTAGTTGAATTGCAAAACATGCAGTTTTATTTTTAATTTTAATTTCAGAAGTCTTCTAACATTTGGCAAAAACTCAGTTAGATCCAAACCTTTGTTGAACATACTTGGTAATACTCCATATTTTTGAATAATAAATACACAACACAGGCAGCCATGAAAGACGTAATGTTAAGTGTGTGTGTTGTATCCTGTAGCCAGTTGTGCGTTCTTACAAGGTGGAGTGTATTTAAAAGCAACAAGAGATTGTTGATGACCGATTGAACTTTAATAAGTTTCTCTCAAATCTTCTCCAGAAGTAGTAAAATAGAGACAGATTTTTTAATTACTAAATGCAATGATTCCTTATTAGTAACCTCCAGCACAGACATGATGATCAGTTTGGTGACGGCACGGTCACCTTCCTTAAGTAAATGGTGAAAACAAAGTTCTTCCTTGTTTCTAAGCAAGTGCTGCCGTGTTGAAGTCTTTCTCAGCAACTCTCATTTTAAGAAGAAAATCAAATTTTCCAGTGAGATTAGTTTTGTGACGGTGTCATGGAATAAGGACTTTCACTTTGAGTTGTATGTAGTAAAGCGCTGGTTCAGGGGGTTTTCTGGTGATTTCGTCCACTCCTTCTTTAACTGTTGCTTCAGTTGCGACAATCTCATGTTGGGGTTCTCCTGTTTTAGACGAGACATGTTGGCTTCTTCATAGGCAAGGAACGCTGCTTTCATCCTCCTCTCTGGGTGACGGTCCATGTCCTCTGGCCCAGTGCTAAGAGAGTGTAAGTATATATATATATATAAAAGACTGATATTATCATATTCATGTTAATCAAATATCAGTGAAATGCAACCAGTGAGTATACCTCAGCACAGAAATGGCATCTTCTATTGTTCTGGCTTCAATAGTTCCTTCTTCAAGGACAATTTTGTTTACATTCTCTTCCAGTGGAGTCTCAAGATGGCTCTTTTCTATTTTTTGAAATAAATGTATGTGATGTCACAGATAAAATACATTTTACAAATGTTAGAGTATGTAAATATAATACAAACACACCAGGTAACACCTAATACTAGAATTGTACCTTTCGGTTTAAGCTCGTTCTGTTCCTTTTGTTGCTCATTCTGAAGTGTATTCTCAATCTGAGCACGCGTCACTTTTCCAGGTGCAGGTTCCTTTTGGTTTTTTCCTTTCATCGTTAAAAACTCTTCATCAAGAAGTCGTTGGTTTTCTTTTTTCCTCTCAAGAAGTTCCATTCGCTTTTTCTCCTTGTCATCCTACATATACAGAAAGCATGGACATAAACAAAGCATGGACATTCAAATAATACAGACTATTACTTATTTATATAATAAATTAAGGGTTTATGATGATGATATTGCAGAGTAATGCATCTCTCCTCTTCACCACAAACTGCCACATGATCTGGTGTTCTACACCAGTCATTTAATTTTAAATAATAACACGGTAATCTCTACAATGCCAAGTATCAACAACAAAAATTCTGAAGATACTGTAAAACAAGGACTATTTAAAGCTCACCTTTCTCTGCTCTTTTTTTAGAACATGTTTATCAGTTTCCTGCCACGCAGCATCCTCCTCTTCTCGTTTCTTGCGGGCATCAGCTACAGCCTTGGCCTCAGCCTTACGGGCTTTGGCTGTGGCTGCCTTGGAGTTCTCACCCTGGAACTTCTTTGGCATCCCAACTGCTGTTCTTGAGCTACCATGGATAAAACAGATATAAAAAAAACATACTGACAATGACATAGTCCAAAAATACTATCAAACATATGCATCTTGCCGACAACATACAACTTTTCTTTTTTTTATTGGGGGCAGTGGGGGCTTGGAGGCTAAGGAAGTAGACCAGCTGAGGTAGACAACATACAACTTTTCTTTTTTTAAAAGAGGCTAAGGAAGTAGACCAGCTGAGGTGCTCTGAGCATGGCACCGTCCCCACACACTGTTCCCCCAGCGATTAAGCTGCCCCTTGTTCACTTTGGTGATGGGTTAAAAGCGGACGGTCACATTTCGTTGCGTTTGCAGTGGTGTGCTGTGTCACAATGACAAATAATTCACTTTAAAACATTCATATATTTTGTGAACCATCTATTCATTTCAATGTTTATTTATCCTCGTTATTTAACATCTATATATATATCTGACAGATGTGCATCAGATAAAATTTAAAATATTCAAACTGTCAGTTTAAAAACAGTCAGTTTAAAAAACATTTAATTCCTATCGCGGTGGCAGCAAACTACGAGTTACATAAAAAACATTTAGACAACCTAATGCAATGAATGGAAAGTAAACTCCTACAGTAATAGAATTTAAGTAAATAAATATGTGATTAACAAAACATTTGTCATAAAAAAGCCCGATTCTGACACCATACACAAGACTGCATCGCTGCTCCTGGCTAATTAGCCCTAGCATCTTGGTGTTAGCCTGATAGAAAAAGCTGGCTTCCTATAATTTTATTAACAGTTTAGCGGGTCTGCTTTAACCTAAAGCTAACAAAGTGAGCACTACAGAAACACTGAAATGTGAACATGGTTACATACCAATGTAACAGGAAAAACAGTCCCAAAATCTAAGAGGCGTCTGCCATGGACGTAAAAGTCGACGTCACAATGCTGCGTCGCTTCTTCGATGTCGCCGTCAAAAGGCGTCATCTCTGGATAAAACGTGCAAAACATGCAGTATGGGTGCCACTGAAGCGTAATGTATTGACATTATTTGCCAACATATTGACAGCATCAAACAACGGTTTAAGAAAACAGCAATTTTATTGATAATACATTTACATCTATATTGCATATATATATATTTCTTTTACAGTAAAAGGTGTCTAAGGTCAAAGAAAATGTAAATAATCCACGACATTAGTTGAGAAAAATGGAGAGCCATTTAGGGTGACATTACTTATTATGTGTCAGAGATCGTTCTGACTTCTGGAACCAGCCTTGACATTATTGTCTTTGTAGGTTGAATTATGGACATTTCAGAAAGACCTACAGTATCTCTTTATAATGTGTAAGGGACTGAACGTTACTCATGAGAAAATTGTGCTAGATAAAATCATTTATCATTTAATTCCTATTGCTGTCTAAAGCTTTAACTACTGTACAATAAACCATATAGAGCACATGGCAACACATTACCAGCAGAGGGCAGGGTTGTTTATATGCTCGTGTACCGCGTGCTGTCATCTGTTGAAGGTTTACAATCAGCTTGCAGAACAAAAATATTCTAATATGCGTTTATATGGTAACGTAGAAAATGACTCACACGTGTGGTGAAAAAGGCAGCATTGATCATAATTAATGATTAAACCAAGTTGAAAACAAGTCAATATTTTCCACATAGCCAGAAATAGATCCAAAAATGTAGCGTGGTGAATAAAATGGAACATTTTTATAGTTTAATTGACTAAAACAAACCAAAAACCCATCCCATCAGATATATTTAGACTGTCTGTTTCAAAAATGCACGTTTCAGATTCCTGTAGTCGGTGATCATGAACCAAATAATCTGTAAAAGATTGAAAATATTAAGTAACAATATATACAAGGAAATTGTAATTTGTGGATAAAGGAAAATGTGAAGCTAAAGAAATCAACAACAACAATAATAATAATAATAAATTACTACTAGTGCAGTTATTTAAAAAAGAACACTTACACGATCATGCAGAACATGATAAAGATGTTCCATAACGCAATGAAAATCCGGAAGTATCGCAGGCTGAGAAGGAATTCTCTGATATTGTCACCTGAGAAACAGTTAAATCATTTGTTTTACTTACATATTAATGACACACACACGTACTTATGAAGTGTTTTCATGTATATGTGTAATTTAACATGAATACAAACCTGTTGTTGGCACTCTCGGCTCATCGCCAAATCCTTGGGAATCTTTCCTTTTTCTGTAAATTATCCACAGTAGTATAGAATTATACATACATCACGCAACTTTATCTAAAAATAAGGAGTAAGGTAGAACAATAAAAAAAATGGTAAAGAATAATATAATCAAGGGGCTGAAAATATATTAGATAGATAATTAAATTGTTAAAACGTTTTTGGTTTTGCACATGATGTTAATATGATCACTTTACAGTCTTTTTTTAAAATATTGATGACCGTAAACCCTAACTACTTCAAAGATTAGTCCTTTATCAAAATCAGTTATCAGTTAATGTATTTGTCATGTTGCCTTTGGATCCCTCGTTTACATCTTGTAGGGTTTTACACAAGTTTAAATATTAATGTCAAATTGAAATCCTGATGTGTATAACATGTAAAAGTATTTTGTACAAAACATCCTTAGCTCATGAATGTTTTTTGTTTTATCGTCACTATTCTCAGAATCTCGCGTATGATATATTGTTACTTTATTAAAATTTTAACAAGCTTTCAGTATAACACATTTATTGTTTACTAACAGTATTAAGTACAATTATACAAAACCACGAAGCGAGACTTTTAGCTTGGACTGTAACACTTACAGCTTGAAGTTCAGTACAGCCCCTGCATTCACCAGTAAAGTCCTGCAGAGAAAAGAGAGATTAGAAATGGGCTGTTGTTTATTTACCTGTAAAGCTAATGTTGGATGTTGTGTTGGCATTAGCACAACGCTAGCTTCTAACTATGTAGAGCGCTTAACAACTCACGTAGTCGTAGACCATAAGGCATAAAGCAGCTATGTTAAAACAAACAAACGTATTTGTCCTGAAAGGGAGCAGAATTTAACTGTATTTACCCGAATATTAAGAGATCCGCGATCATCTTGCTTTCTTCACATAACAGAGATTTGCTTCCGGCTTCCGGCCACGTCAAAGGGAGAAAGACCAATGAGGTTTCGTTGTCTGACGAGAGCATCCGGGACCTTTGGTGTAACATTTTAAACCAGTCAGACAGGTTTATATATACACACCTCTGCTCAAACTCAACCTCTCTAAATAGTAAAGGCTTTATTCAAAACACATGACAGCCCTGTACAGTGAGGACATTTGATCAGAAATTTATCCCAAAGAAGCGAGCTGGCATATGAGATTTACAACATCCGGTTTTTTCTTCAAAAATAAAGGCTGATTACAAAGGAAACAAAATGAATTTAATGAATGAATGACAAAATTCCTGTCCTTAAAATGTTAGGAAAAATTGGTTTAGCTCATTATTACATTTTGTTCTTACCCTACAATATTAATACTATTATTAGGGCTTTACAGTACTAGTGTACTAGTACTGTAAAGTACTAGTTTGCTTTACAGCAATTTACGCTATTATTGTTATGACGTTTTCTTAATATACTGCCTCCTGGTGGTTATAATAGGTACCGTAATTATTGTTGACAAAATAAAATGCATTACAAATGTTTATATAAAATGTTGTGTTAAAAAGCGTGAATGGCTATATATATATGTTGTGTTAAAAAGCGTGAATGGCTAATTATCATGGACAATAACTTGATTGAGTTATTTTAATTTTTATTTTTTGTCGTGTAAAAATGTTAACAAGTGGTGACGTAGGAGTGCGTGCCTTTGGGATTATTACATCGTCAGGACATCATCCGGGTCTGAGGACGTTTTACAACACCTGGAACAATATTAGACTGGACACTTCCGTCCTCTAGCCTTGCTGCAGCGTTTCCATCATGACTCCTGCTGTTTCAGCTGTCCTCAATGGCCACTGCTGATGTCGACGGCAAACACATCACTGACAGCCCTTTGTTTGTTTATTATAATCTGAAGCATCTGACGTGAAACATCTCCTGTCGCATCTAAAGCGGAGCGGCAGCTGCCAGGGAGCGCGCACTAGGACGAAGATGAAGATGAGAAGGATGATGATGATGACGATGACGATGCCGAGGCAGTGCAGAAGATGAGTGGTATTAATAGAAGAGCTTGAGTGTCTCACTCTTTCACTGTCGAGACCGGGGGGCTTGGTGGATAGTCGGTGGACCGGGTTGGGGGGGCTTCTGATTCAAACTGCGTACTTGGAGTAATACATAACAAAGTAAAATACTAAAAAAAACAAAAACAAAGATCGCAACATGGAGGTGCTGGCGGCTCTTAATCTGAGCGATTTAGCTCAAACTTTCTCCAAAATGGGGATGTTTCCAGTATTTGATCTGGCCTACTATATTGTATCCATCCTCTACCTCAAGTATGAGCCAGGTAAGTGTGTTTTCACACTCTTTTGTTTGCTTTAGGTGAGTGTTTGCTTTTCAAATGAAGGGTGTGCTTCCTCGTTTCAAGGTCTCCACAGGTGCAGCTGCTGCACATGCTCCAACACTCACCAGATCTGTGCGTAATTACGCACTACATTACGAAAGAATTACAAAGAAAAGCACTAACTTTCATCACGTAACTGAAGTGCAATTACGAAAGAATTACAAAGAAAACTAACTTTCATCACGTAACTGAAGTGCACTGTAGCACCTAAATAAAGACTCGCAGTTGCCTTTAACAACCAATTAATATTTTATTATCGGTTTTGCCCGCCGTGTGACTGGCCCTTGTTCTGACTTCCCAATATGGACTTTCTTGGTTGCTATCATCTCTATAGTATATGTCCTTATAAAGCATGGACTGTAGCTCTGCTTTCTGACTCTGAGAGAATATCTGTTGCTGCAGAAGACTAGAGAAGAAACCAGTGGAGCAGAGAGGGCCTATGTGCATACCAGTGAGCTGGGTAATAAATAGAAGATCCTGAAATAGGGTCTGTGGGCCTCCAAGGCATCTCTGTTGCACTCTTACAGACTGTGTGTTGGTCCAGTGTGTTGGACATAAAATAAGGTGTTGAGCAATAACACCACCATGACCCTATTGTCCTCGGAGTTAGTGCTGGGCCTTTGAATGGGCTTCCTGTTTGGAGAACATGCACAGTAATAAAGACTTAATAAACATCGCATATTTAGGAGGTTGAAACACAAATGCCATTCTTATATAGTTGCATTAGAACAGTGGCGTTTAGAGAATATATCACACTTTTTCCTGGAATTGGGTACAGTATAGTTTAGAGTAGATGGGGCTGTCAGATTTGATTTTGGTCTTGGGCAGTAAAACAATGAATCATAGAGCTTTCCTTTTAATTATTTATCCTTTTGGAATTTTAATTTGACTAAAGTTGACATTTCAAACATCTGGCTCTGGGACCAGCAGAGGCACTATTTTCTATTGATTTTTGTCCTTAAAATTATTATTTGTGATTTGCCGGATGACAGGACATATCCTCGTCAAAACCAAGACATATGAGACCTATGTTCTCATGAAATAAGTCTTTTGGGCATTTTTGTCTGAACCTTATCTTCCAGACATTGTTTTTGTTTTGTTTTGTTTTTGCTAATTATGGGGTAAATTTCAGGTATGTCAAATCAAATCTATCTTTTATGCATCTCTTCTTGACTACTATGTTTACAAAGTAAAGAGAGAAGCAGAAAAAAATATTAACTGTATAAATCAATATCATAAAAATGAATTGCATTAATTTAAATGTATAGCTACATTTACAGTTTCAGATGTGTACTGTAGTAAATTAGGGACAATATAATATGTTTTTTATGTTTTTAATCTTTTCGATTTATTTAAATTATTAATAAGTCAGTTTAGTAATAGAGTTCATCAGTAATGGAGCTGAGCCTTCATAGTAAAGAATATTTTACAGCCTCCTAACAGAGACCACTGACATCTGAGATGGTCCCCGTTCACACAGCACAGTATGGAGGAACACATGAATGAGTTTTCAGGGCCCAGCGACAGAGAAAAGGAGACACAAGTGTGAGGGTCAGGGGTCAAGACAGACTCAACAGTTGCAAGAAGGAGCCGGGGGGAGGAGGGGGGGTCGAGTAGGACATATTTATAGGGTGGAATTTTGCAGGATCGGATTGCTTTCAAAGTGAGAGGGCTGCCACACCACGACGCCCTCATCCACCTGTCGTAGGAGATTTGTGCTCCATCTCCGTTTACTATACGTCTCTGCCCATATCAAGTTGTCGAAATTTTTCAAAATGATGTCATGTTCAAATGGTTGACATTTAGTACATATCTACAAGAGAACACACAGTCGACACAGTACTTTAAAGCACATCCTGCACAGTCATCAATATTTTGTGGTGAGTTGGCATTATTTCTACAAGACAGTCCTGTTACATAGTAATCCCTGCTACACAGACGACCTGGTGATTATAGCATAATGATTTTTAATATAAAAATCTAAGACAGAAAAATCCTCTGAGATCAATTCCATGACAAGTCATAGACAGATTTAATATAAAAAAAGACAGAAAAATACTCTGAGATCAATTCCATGACAAGTCATGACAGATTTTCATTTTTTACTATATATTTCTTAACTATAGTTTTTGGTTTTTGTTTTTCTATGTAAAATCTAATTGTCACATTGTATGTGAGAGTAAATATATATACTTTACTACTCTTTAATACATATTTATAGTAGTTGATGTAAACATATAGAAAACTAAGCCTTTATTATAAGGTGTTCAAGACAAACAGGGTTAGATTAGGTTGAGAATATTTACCATAGAAAAAAAAAGCAGAAGTCCTTTGACAATTGTAAAATATGATCATCACCATACTTTATCAGGTCGTGTATACAAATGGTGGACAGGGTGTGTACAAACGTCACAGCACTGAGACACACCAGGCATCCTCTGATAATGTCCTGCGTGAACAGCTCCTAACTGACATTTCTGTACGTCTCCAGAAGAAAAAAAACACAGCAGTGACCTGAAGGAATCTCACGCCATAAACACATGAACCTCATTTTAGTCAAGATCCAGTAGAGCAGGGCCGTCAAAGTCAATGACTCAAGGGGGCGAAATAAGCTCTGGAGGGCCACATACAATGATGTGGGGGGCCGGATTTGGCCCCCGGGCTTTAAGTTTGACACATGTACAATAAAGAGTCTGTTTGAGAAGAAATACATTTGTTCAGTGTCAGGAACTGATTTCTATATAGTTAAATCCCATTATTTTTTCTACAAGAATTTCAAATCATGCACAAAACAACTTTCATCATAACGTACCATCTTTAAAAGGAATATTTAATGGCATTCAGTTTAATTGAAAAAAGATGAAAATGGTCATTGAAGAGAATAGAAATAATAATCATTTTCAGCCAAATTATTTCTTTTCACTGTACAATATAAGCAATAAAACAGAGAGATGTTGAGTCCACAAATATACAGAACCACCTTCACATTCACTGCACACACACACACACACAGACACACAGACAAGCCACTGAACTGAAGTGCATTCCCTCTGTAAACAAATTTCTCCCAGAGCCTGACAGCCTGTCCTCTGTTTCAGGCTCAGTGGAGGTTTCTCGCAGGAGTCCTGTGGCCTCCTGGCTCTGTGCCATGCTGTACTGCTTCGGTAGTTACATCCTAGCAGACGTCATGTTGGGAAGCAGCCCCGTCGACTATTTCCAGTACAACAGTCACATCCTGCTGGCCACGGCTGTTTGGTGAGAAAATCCTCAAGGCTTCATCTTTAACATTCTCTTCAGACTCAGACTCTGATTGGTTGAAATCAGTATGGGTACGCTGAAGCCCGACTTAAACGACCTACTAACATTTAAATTGAGCTGAAATTTCTAATGAAGTCATTTGTCAAAAAAAACATTTAACTGTTATCAGCACATAATTTAAAAAAGATTAGCATTTTCAGCATTTTTTAGGACATTTACAGTAAATATTCTGTGTATAATCTCCAAATATATTTACTGTACACAATACTTTTTGATGTGACTGTCACCCACGTTTAGGTACAAACACAGAAGCTCATTTGAAATTCATCTTATATATATATATATATATATATATAAGATGAATTTCAAATGAGCTTCTGTGTTTGTACCTAAACGTGGGTGACAGTCACATCAAAAAGTATTGTGTACAGTAAATATATTTGGAGATTATACACAGAATATTTACTGTAAATGTCCTAAAAAATGCTGAAAATGCTAATCTTTTTTAAATTATGTGCTGATAACAGTTAAATGTTTTTTTTGACAAATGACTTCATTAGAAATTTCAGCTCAATTGACTTTTTAGTAGGTCGTTTAAGTCGTACCCATACTGATTTCAACCAATCAGAGTCTGAGTCTGAAGAGAATGTTAAAGATGAAGCCTTGAGGATTTTCTCACCAAACAGCCGTGGCCAGCAGGATGTGACTGTTGTACTGGAAATAGTCGACGGGGCTGCTTCCCAACATGACGTCTGCTAGGATGTAACTACCGAAGCAGTACAGCATGGCACAGAGCCAGGAGGCCACAGGACTCCTGCGAGAAACCTCCACTGAGCCTGAAACAGAGGACAGGCTGTCAGGCTCTGGGAGAAATTTGTTTACAGAGGGAATGCAAATGACTTCAGTGGCTTGTCTGTGTGTGTGTGTGTCCAAGTGGTTTGTAAAGGTCAGGGACCGTTAACTTCATGTTGTACAACCACATTCACACACGTCTATGTTAGGCCTGTCTCAGCTCAACAATGATGACCTACAAGGAAATCGTGTTGAATATTACAGTGGAGGGACTCAATATAGGAGCAGTGTTATATATATATATATATTTTGTCCTATTTTTTCATGGTTTATTTTTATCCTCCAGGCTCTGGAGTCGCTCTGATGTCTAATTTTGAGCAGTTGCTTCGCGGTGTGTGGAGGCCGGAGACCAACGAGATCCTCAACATGTCATTGTAAGTCTGTGTTTTACACGGAACACATGAGATAAAGCTGTGCTGAGAAAAAAAAATGTTTAAAAGATGTGTATCATTTTTTAACAATTGTGCCCTCTAGTGGCGTAATGGGGAAAATCAGACCCCTAACAACCACGATTTTCTTTAAGCCAAACGAATGTAAAAAAGAAATGTGTAAAAAGCATCAGATAAAACGTCAAAATTCACATCAATAATGTGTAATGAATATTTTAGAATTATTTATCATATGAAAAAACATTACTCCTATGAATGAAAAATAAGGCATTTAAATAGTGCCCATGCACATCTGCGGATTTTAGTGCAGTAAAAATTACAATGAGCAGATAGATTAAAATGGGGTTAGAATAGAATAGAACAGAATAGATTTTCGTTTGACCTTTGGGCCGTACAAACGAGGATAAATAGACTGGTATAGAATAGAATAGAATAGAATATTGTATTGTAGTCTTCAGTCCTGTACAAACGAGGATAAATAGACTGGAATAGAATAGAATATTGTATTGTAGTCAGTATTGTTTTATATTCCAAACAGTGCACATCATAACAAACATCCGTTGCCTATATAACTTCTATGTCTGCAGCCCGACCAAAGCCAGTCTGTACGGAGCCATCCTCTTCACCATGCAGGAGGCTCACTGGCTGCCAGTGTCCAAGAGCACCCTCATCCTCCTCTTCACCCTCTTCATGGCCACAAGCAAGGTGATTGATGTGTCTGTATTTCTGTGTCCCATGATGCAATGGATGTGTTAGAGCCTTCCTCGGATCCTCTGGGTCACATGATCCAAGAATTTTTTCTGAGTGTCTCATTGATCCTCCAGGTGGTGACGACTGCCCGTCACTCTCATGGCTCCCCCTTCGCCCTCATTGAATCCTGGGTTTGCCATCTGCTCTTCGGCTCCCCCCTGGGTGGCTGTGAGGAGGATCACCACCACCACGCTCCTGCTGCAGCTTCACCCCTCAAAACCAAGGAGGAGCTGAGCGACGGGGCTCGCAAGAGGAAGGCCAAGAAGGCCGAGTAGGAAGCCACACTGTGATGAACCTGCGTCTGACTCGCCCTCATGGCTTCCACATGATGGGACTTCCCATTCCTTTCTAGGGAAAAGGACGGTTTGATGATTCATCAGATCAGACCCTTTCTGTCAGAGCGAAGTTTTTTGCATGGCCTGAGGACTCTGTAAATACCACAGCAAACCTGTCACACTTAAACCCTAACCCGGACTATTTAAACCTATCTATGAATGTTTGTGATGCTGAACATCCGTGCCCAACACTGTGTGGTGACCCGTTTTTGTAGGAGCTGCAGGGTCATTGTAGGGCGGCCCCCCTCCCTGTTCCACATCGGTGGTTGTGATACCAAGCGTCAGTGGTTAAACTTACCTCATTTATATTAAAGAAACAGAATCAGAGAATCCAACTGTAGTTAAAGCAACATGTGGAATAGAACATTGCTGCTTTTTACATTGAGACAAAGACAAAGTCGTGTCTTAGAATAAAATAAAAATACATTTTAAAAAACAAAGTGTCCCTGTGGTTTTATTTACTTCATTTTATGGTTGTTTCGTTTGTTTCTCCAGTAAACCTCCGTTTCACTGCTGTAATGGAGCCCCCTGCTGGTGATGTGACCTTTGTGCGGGCCTTCATATTCTTTAACTTGTTAATTTTATTCCTAACACGAGGTCTGAATGTTGTCATCATAAACTTCTTGTTGTGGATCTACACGGCCACTAAAGCTGCTGTGAAGGTCTGAGGTCAGCCTAAGGTCACGTCCTGAGAAACTCCCCGGTGTCCCCTGTGGATCAACTTTTGTAGGACGAGCAATAAAACTCATCACTGATGAACATTGCAGGAGGTTTTTACACTCGACCTTTGACCTCAACATTCCTTACAGCAGCACCGAGGTAATGGGTCTGTTTACTGCATTTGCACCTTGTATTTGTGGCCCCAGTGGAGCAGTAACAGGCCAGCGGAGTACCAGTTAAACAATACACATCACAGATTATAACAGGTAAAAAATACTCCCATGAGAGAGTATTCTTAAAACTACAAACAACACACACTTTCAGCTTTGTTTTAAGAAGCAAACAAGCTGAAACTATTGTATACTATTTTAAGTAATATGTCATTAAATTTGGTATTTAAATCTATAAATAACTGACGAGTTACTTCTTATATAAAGTACAGGAGAGTTCCTTTATCGGTTTCTCGTGTACCAATGAAAACAGACATGAAGTAAACATTCATGAAGTACAGGAGAGTTCCTTTAATGATCGGTTTCTCATGGTCCATTGAAAACAGACATGAAGTAAACATTCATTCCTGGTGTTGAGATGTTAAGATAAAACATCCCAGAGATGATGTGTGATGAAATGTTCCTTCCCTCTCGACTGGAGGAAAATACAGTAAATAGTGAGATTATATTGTGTTTGTTTTTCCAAGCGAGGCCTGAACGAGACTTTCCCCGCTCCTTTGGGCAAGGCAGCGAGAGAGGAGAGAGCGGAGGTGGTGAGAGTGATCTGGACTGAAACCCAAAAAAACCTTCACAGCAAGGAATGCAACTGACATCTGCTGATGTCATTACTGAAACACACACACACACAAACACACACACACACACTGTATATTCTGGTCGCACCAACAACAGACTGATGACTACGTTGGCCAAACATGGACATTTGGATTAAAGAAAAAAAAACAAAAGAAAAAAAAAGATATAAATTATTGTTTAATGAATTTGTCATCTTCTGTTTTTCTCAGACACAATCGTCTCTGTCTGTGATTTTACTTTGGATGATGTCGCGTAAACTGTGAACAAACAGACGCATTAACACCAGTTAGTCTGTTAGTACTACAGTCAGTACTAACTGACAGGACCCTGGTGTGACAGAATCTAATCACAGCCATAATCCTGAAAACACTGGACCAAGTACTGCCCCCCCCCCAACCCTCCAAAACTCACCCCAACTCCTGAGTCATGAAACCTTTTGGTAGTGTTCAGTAGAACTTTTGCAAAAGTTTTGGGAAACAAGTGAGGGGAGTCAGAAGTGTGAGGAGGTGAGGGTGAGGGGGTGGAGTGGAGTGGAGTGGAGCGCTGGTATAAAACCAAAGCAACAGAAGGAACAGAGACTCATCGTAAACTGGAGGCTGATGTGAACACTGAGTCTGAGGAGAGAGAAGAAGAAGAAGAAGAAGAGACTTTTCTTCAGTCGGTGAAGACTTGGAGGAGAAAAGACCATGTTGTGGTTCTTGGTCCTGACCTGTGTGCTGTCCATGGGAGGACACGTCACTGAGGGACAGAGAGGTGAGACACGGACCTGTCTGTTGTGATGTGATGTGTTGTAATATTTCAGACTGAACCATAACATCTAATGACATTATTATCAACTGTTTTGGTTTGATTTTTGATTTTATCAACATGATATAATGTAAGATTGAGACAATAGACCAGGAGTAAAAACCTTAACTACCCACTAATACCCAGTGATTAATTTTCAGTACATTTTTTTTCTCTGCTGAGGAATTTAGTCAGAGAACAAAGTGGCTCCTGATGAGAAGAACACGTTTCCATAGCTTGACACTCAGGAGATTTCAGCTCCTGTACGGCTCCTCTGAGAGAAAGGTGTTGTTTGACATGGTTGAAGGATGAGCGTTGAGGTTGAAGGACCTGATGTAACATGAGGGTTGTGGAGATAAATGTGGTCTTTAACATCAGCACCAATGTGGAACATGTGGTACTGACAAAACAAACTGATGAGTTTGTCCACCTACAGCAGTGAAGTACACCTCCACCTCCCTCCTCCTCCTCCTCCTCTCTCCTCCCTCCTGCATTTTTTTCTGAATATCTTTTTCCTAATCCAGATGGAGAAATTATCAGCCAGATTAAAATGACAAACATTGCACTGGCCGAGATCAAGGAGCTTCTAAAACAGCAGGTAAAACAGCCACACGGTCAGGACACATCATGTCAACCTGACTTATTATATATTATATAAAAAAAAATCAAAAATGTGTTTTTTTAATACAGTTTACATCGAATCTAAATGAATAATCCTTTTGTGACTTGCTGTTCAGATTAAAGAGATTGTATTCCTGAAGAACACAGTGATGGAGTGTGAAGCGTGTGGTGAGTTCAACAGCCCTACGTAAACGGAGACGTCAGAGAGACGTCGTGTTGTGTCAGAGTGTCACTCCATTCCTCTCCTCAGGTATGGGAGGGATGCAGCCTCGCCCTTCCTGTGTCCCCAACCCCTGCTACCCCGGGGTCAGGTGCAGGGAGTCGGTTAATGGTGTAGCGTGTGGACCATGTCCAGATGGTATGGAGGGTAACGGTACCCACTGCACTGACGTGGATGAGGTAGATGATGGAGTATTATTAAAAAAAATACATTTCACAGTGTGTACTGCACATACTGATGTGTGTGACCGTCTCTGTGTACGTTGACGACAGTGTACTGTGATGCCATGTCACATGGGTGTGCGCTGTATTAACACTGCACCAGGTTTCCGCTGTGGTTCCTGTCCTGCTGGATACACTGGTCCCCAGGTCCAGGGCGTGGGTCTGGCCTACGCCACGGCCAACAAACAGGTCAGCAACACCCAGACTATGGACCATATGTTTATGAAGACAGGGTTTAACTGGTGGTAGACCAGGTTACAGAAGCCCCTGTACAAGTTAGGAAGTACTTTAGGAGTACAGTAAAACGATCGTCCTCTACTCTCTGTTACTTATTTTATTGTTTATCAGTTTTGTAAAATGTGATCTGATTTATAAGAAAACAGCTGATAAAGCACTGACATGGCGGTTTTTGTTTATGTCTTTCTTTTTCACCTAAATGGGACCTTGTATTTAAAAATACTTCAGAAAATATTATTTTAAGTATTAGCCCCAAGTTTCTATGGATTTAAATGTATATAACATTGATTCTTAACCTGTGAACAACCACCAGGGTAAAACAGATTTAAAAAATAACACGACTGACAAACTGTGAGTTCAAACTCACTTCTTTCCTTAGAAACCATTCACAGAAACAGGAATTTTTTTTCCTACTCTCAAACTCAACATTTTTGTTCTCAACCTCATTTTCCGACTTCTCTCCACCTTCATCAGCAACACTCACTCACTCTGGCCTCTGACCCCACATGTCAAACAGCCCTGGGTTATTTCATCATCACCTGTATCCCATATAACACTGACGTCACTTCATTTTCTTTCACCTCTGATTCCACTGCTCGTACTGAAGCGTTTTGTTTTGTCAAGGTCTGCAGAGACGTTAATGAATGTGAAGGACTCAACAATGGAGGCTGTGTGGAAAACTCCATCTGCATGAACACACCAGTGAGTAAATCATCAAAACTTGACTTAAAAAAAAACAAGTGCATGTAAGTGTAAATCACCCACTGATATCTACAGAGATCAGATTAAATGGACACAAATGGTTTGAAACAAGACTCGATGCTAACAGTTTGCCCTGGCTTGGATCAGTACCAGATCCCAGAATTCCCCTTTTTGTGTCTTGAAGCACCTTTTGTTGACTACTAATGCCTTAAGACTGTGTGCATCACCAGGGCTCCTTCAGGTGTGGTCCCTGTAAGACTGGCTACGTTGGCGACCAGCGTCACGGGTGTAAACCAGAGAGAGCCTGTGGGAACGGCCAGCCCAACCCCTGCCACGCCAGTGCAGAGTGCATCGTTCATCGAGAGGGTGAAATCGAGTGTCAGGTGAATGGAAAAAAAAATAACTGGAGCGACAGAGGCAGAGCTGTGAAAATACATCGTATACTTCAAGCAAAAGATGAGATCACTCAAAGCTGCAAAACATATCGTGAATTGGACTGAACATTGTGACCGAGCTCTTTAAGATATATAACTCTCAGCCCTGGTGCCAGCTGCACTGGAATCACAGGCCTGTTTTTAAAATCAAGCTCATATGATATTTATATACAGCACACAGCGGAGGCCAAAGAAAACGGTCTGTACAGTTCATAAACATTTGTCTTCCTACAGTGTGGAGTCGGATGGGCAGGCAACGGTTACCTCTGTGGTTCTGACATCGACATCGATGGTTTTCCAGATGAGAGGCTAGAGTGTCCTGAGAGGACCTGCAACAAGGTGAGATTCTTTTACGCTCGTGTCATCTGCAAAGAACATGTGCGGGGACCAGGGGAGTCGTTGTGGAGGGGTTAACATAATAATACGGGTTTGGATTCTTTCAACGCTGCAACACAGGCGGTCACACAGATGCTGGTTGTGGCTCAGAACTGCTGGCAAACATCGATGGCCCACCAGTAGAACCTTCTTTTTATGTTCTTGTTCTTCTTCCAACTCTTCCTTTTCTTCTTCAAAGCAACCGTCTCAAAATGGTAGCCTCGGCAAAATTGTGTTTCTTTGCAGACTTCTACGATCAGAGATCCTGTCCAGTGATGTTTCCGAAACAGAATATAACTTCATATTATACTGAATTTCTCCTCAGGATAACTGTCTCACAGTCCCTAACTCTGGACAAGAAGACGCAGACAGTGATGGAATTGGAGATGCCTGTGATGAAGATGCAGATGGAGATGGAATCCCAAACATGCAGGTTCATAAAAAAAGAGACGATCCAAATGTTTGGACAGAAAAGCGATTCATTTTTCATGTCACTTCAACTGATATATAAAAAAAATCCTTTTTAAAGGACAACTGTGTGCTGGTGCCTAACGTGGATCAGAGGAACATCGATGAGGACGACTTCGGCGACGCCTGCGATAACTGCCGTGCGGTGAAAAATAATGACCAAAGAGACACAGACGTGGACAAGTTCGGTGATGAGTGTGATGAAGACATTGACGGTGATGGTAAGAACAGGCGTTTAAGTCCATTTAAATTAGTATTCTTTTGCTCATCGGGGCCAGTCTTTTAAAAAGCACCGATCTCTGTTCAAATATCAGGGATTCCCAATCACCTGGATAACTGCAAGCGGGTTCCCAACGTCGACCAGAAAGACCGAGATGGAGACAACGTTGGAGACGCTTGTGACAGCTGTCCTTATGTGCCAAACCCTGACCAGGTCAGAAGACTTGTGTAGCTACACACGATGATGTCATTGTATCATTTTTAAAGCAGCTCTCAGTTCTGAGAATCACTTCCAGCAGGTTCTGTCACTTTGTCACAAGTTTGCAATCTCTCGATTATTTCTCAGATGGATGTGGACAACGACTTGATTGGTGATCCATGTGACACCAACAAAGACAGGTAAGACTTTCACCAACCAGTTGCATTAGAATGTACATTAGTAAATATCGAAAACCAAATCTACCAATGTCCAACATTTCCCTCTCAAGTGATGGTGACGGTCACCAGGACTCCAGGGACAACTGCCCAGCTGTCATTAACAGCTCTCAGCTGGACACAGACAAAGACGGCAAGGGAGACGAATGCGATGATGACGACGACAACGACGGCATCCCAGACCTGCTGCCTCCAGGTCCAGATAACTGTCGTCTGATCCCAAACCCCCTGCAGGAGGACATTGATGGTGAGCAATGAAGTCGGCTTAAAAAGAAACGCTAACGAATCAGGTTTCCTCCCAAGGTCTTTCTAACTACTTTTCCATTTTCAGGTAATGGCGTGGGAGACATTTGTGAAAAGGATTTCGACAACGACACCATTGTGGATCCCATCGATGTTTGTCCAGAAAATGCTGAGGTGACTCTGACTGACTTTAGAGAGTACCAGACTGTTGTTTTAGATCCAGAAGGAGACGCACAAATTGACCCCAACTGGGTGGTCCTGAACCAGGTGAATTTGATGGTTTTCTCTCTTTGAAGTTTAAAGATTTTGTTTCAATACAAAACTAAATAAATGTCTGTGAAATATTGTTAATGTTTCTTCTGCAGGGAAGAGAAATAGTCCAGACGATGAACAGTGATCCTGGGTTGGCTGTTGGTAAGTTCACTATATAGACCATGGAGCTTGACAATTTTTATAAAATTGACTTTTATAACAATATAAAACAATAAAAATATGCAGTTACGTCTCATCAGATTTATAGAAAGAACAGTTTATGAAGAACTGTACTTGAACTCTCTTTTTAATCATTTTTTTCCTGACAGGTTACACGGCATTCAGCGGAGTGGATTTTGAAGGGACGTTTCATGTGAATACGGTAACAGACGACGATTACGCAGGATTTATCTTTGGCTACCAGGACAGCTCCAGCTTCTACGTGGTCATGTGGAAGCAGGTGGAGCAGATCTACTGGCAGGCGAACCCTTTCAGAGCCGTGGCAGAGCCAGGCATCCAACTCAAGGTAGTTTGACTTCTTCATCCACAAGAAAACCTGATGAAATGATTCCATGACTCCCAGTGTCGTAGGTATCCTAATCTTTGTCATTTGTGGATTTTACAAGGCCGTCAAGTCAAACACAGGCCCAGGGGAGAATCTGAGGAACGCCTTGTGGCACACGGGGGACACCAGTGACCAGGTGAAACTCCTGTGGAAAGATGCTCGTAATGTCGGCTGGAAGGACAAAACCTCCTACCGCTGGTTCCTCCAACACCGGCCCGCTGACGGCTACATCAGGTACCGCCTCAGTCCCCGGCACCAAGCTCACATTTCCTCTTTATTTTTCCACTAAATATATTGACGTCTTCGTTGCTGCACAGAGTCCGTTTCTATGAGGGTACGCAGATGGTGGCGGACACGGGTGTCATCATAGATGCTACGATGAGAGGAGGCCGACTAGGAGTCTTCTGCTTCTCTCAGGAGAACATCATCTGGGCCAATCTGCGTTATCGCTGTAACGGTCAGTCACGATGGTTGAGGTGTCTCTGTAACTGTAAATGGTTGGAAATGGTTGACATCTGTAATGTTATTAATGGAAATGGTTGACATCTGTAATGTTAGGCTACCGCCCTCGTCTGGATGATTTTCCTCCACTCATTCAACATCCAGGGGGACCATTATTTGTTTTCCACAATATTTTTGGTAGAATAGTTGCTTTTATTGGCCTTGAACCTTCACTGCTCCTCAACATTTTGCCCTTGTTTTACAAGAAGCTAAGAAAAAAAAACATTTGGGACCTGAGCTTTTCTGATGCAAAGAGCAGATGTAGATGAGGCCAATGCCCAGAGTAACTCCCCTGCTCCTGTTCCTCCTGTTTCAGACACCATTCCTGAGGACTTTGACACCTACAGAGCCCAGCAGGTCCGGCTGGTGTCCAGATGAACACGGGGACGACTTCTGAGCCAGCAGAGAAATTCAGGGAACACTTTTAAATGCACAACTATCTCATGAGAAAGAAAGAAACCTGTCTTCTGTGAAGTGAGAGGAGGACAGTTTGAAGACGCTCCAAACTGGCGTCACAGAAGAGGAAACTGACCAGCTGTGAAAACTCTTCAGAAGAAACTTGTGATGTGAAAGTCATCAGAAAAATGTCAGAAGTCTGTGTGAAACGGCAACTTTTCACCATTTGTATTTTATCACTTGAATTGTATACTTTGTAGAAGAAGAAGAAGCTAAACTATCATGAAGTTAATAAAGGTGGATTTTGATTAATTATGAGCAGTATTTATTTTTAGCAAAAGCAGGATTCGATACATAAATGAGGGCTGTTGAACTCGGTTTTCCCAAAATACTCTTTCAAACTTTTGGCAATTTTAAATGACAGATTACAAAATAGAAAACCACAGGATGAGAACATCATGCATGTCAGTAAGTTTACGCAGTTAATGAGCTGTGATGTCAAGTGAAACTGGTCAGTGTTTTTTAACGAGCTGCTCAAGTGAAACTGGTCAGTGTTTTTTAAAATATATTATTATAATTATTATGTAAATCAAGACCAAGTGCAGATCAACAGTCAGTTTTATCACTTTTAATTTAATTGTTTTTTTTCTTTTATAAACAAATGGTCACATAAGGAGAATCACACAGCAACAAATAAATAACTACAGTCTTTACTACGACTTACAGGACGACAGTGATATAATGTTATTCTCACTAGAAGATTGAAGTGAAACTCAAACTGTGTTTCCTTGTAAAGTGTAAGTCATTTAGAAAAACCTTGGGTTAATAAAAGGAAAATTTATTATCAAATAAAAAAAAAAAAGTTTTTTTCGCAACTTTATTCCCTTTTGTTTTCCAGGATCTGAGGGTGACCTTTGAACCCCTCTCTATGCTTTTTTAGTTTTGATAACTAAAGAGTCTGAAACAAGCATTTGGGTCTGAACTAAAGGTTTTTTGTCACTGGTTATTAAACTTGACCTTAGGTTCAGTGTTTGACCGTGTCACCCATTCAAACTCAGTTTTTCTTAACTATATCCTGGATCTTTTAAATTTAAATTTCTGGTCAGGGTTGCTCAGAATCAATTTTCAAACATTAAAGTATACTTCACATGAGAAAAAAATAGCTTTTATCTGCTGTCACATATTTTTTTTTCTTAAATTCTAATGTTCTTTCAGCTTTCTGAAAGCTAGTGTGTATAGTCCTGGAGAATAGTGACCAAAACACAGAGATGTGTCTCAGAGTCAAATTATGTGAGGTAATCAGACTGTCAAGGATTGTGTGAGAAATCCCGACACTTCTAATTCATAGTAATATTGTTTAAGATCACCAAGTGCTCTCAGTAGAAAAACAAACTGTCCAATATGTCAACAGACACAACCTCGCTGTTTGCAGGTGAAGCCGAATAAAGAGCCGATGTGCTCAAAAAAACACGACAAGTGCTATGCAACATGAACCACTGTACATGTTTAGCTCATTGTGAAGAAGCCGCCGCAGCAGCAGAAGTGGTTAGCACTCCTGCAGTACACAGAGAAGTAAGACAAACCGCTGGTTTGATTCTTGGGCTTTTTGTACAGAATGTACAAAGGTTGGTGACTGTCTGCACTGACATTGAATTTTGTTATGAACCTGGAACATGATTCATCAGTTGTTTGAGTTGGAATGATATTTAAAGCCTTTTCAGAGACATTGTCTCCCACCACGGTGTTACCTGTGGGTGTGTGTAACAACACCAACTTAAAATGTCTTTGTCTTTATATTATTTTGTTCATTTCAGCCCATCGTGGTGCAACATAGACCTGATCTTCCAACAAAGGAGCCAAAAAACTGAAGTTGACTCCAGCACTACAAGAACTGAATCACCACAGGCTGCTATTCATGTATGAGTTCAATGAACATTTGCCCACACCTCACAGAGGTCAACATCCTGGGTTTCTCCACCTACTACCTGAGGAGGCTTCATCAATGAGGAGCCAAACACCTTGTAACGTAAGTCCTGTTGCCACTGTCCCTCATTTTGGATACATTTTCTCATTTTTCACTATTGTTAGCTCTTGACGACCTTGAACAAAGACATTTGCTGAGAACACCGTGATTCATCTATTAAAGTCGCGACTATCTTCCTGTGGGGTTAAACGACTCACACAGGCTGACATTCGGAGTGCCATTCCTTGCCAGCATGAACACTCAAGCTGCACTGGAGAAAGCCCTTTCTAGTGTTGCATCTCCTTAAAGACATTGCAGATCGGAACGAAACAAAGAGAAGCCAAACGGTAGCGTACAAAGGAAAATAGAGAATTCATCTTTTTCTTTGACATTAAAATATATCTGCAGTATACATCTGTTGTAGTGAGAGTCAGCATTCACATCGGGCAGAAACAGTCCCTGCTCAGAAGCCAGGAAGCCACAAATAAAGTGCCAAGCAACTACTGGACAAACCATTGCACAAAACAGAAGGAGAACAAATTCAAAGAAAAAAACAAAACAGAATTACACGTGAACCAGTCCAGACCCTGACATGATAGGAACGACATAAAAACAATCAAATCCAATGTCTGAAAACACACTGCACTTTAGCATAGCTAGATCAAGGTCCTGTACACAGCATGGGATAAGAATCTGCTTTGTGTCCGTTATGTCATGCAGTCGACTGAGTAATTCTTTAGCTCTCAGATCCCAAGTCCCAAAATGCAATAAATCAGCTTTTTCCACACACAGAAAAAAATAAAATAAAAATTTGCCATCGACCAAAACAACTTGTTTACATAGCCTTGGAAAGGTGGTGCATATTCAGGAGAAGACAAAAGGGCAGTGGGGAATCAACTGTTTAGCACAACACTGCAGAAAACAGAGGGGGGGAAAAAAACAACAACAAAAGAACAAAACATCTAAGAAGCAGAAAGAGGATGAGCCAGGGACCAGAAGTTCAGATCATTTGGCAACAGGCTGAAAGCACGGTACACTGCCACAGGTCATTACATTCTCCAATCATTCATAGAGTACTGTTACACAGCAACGGAGTAAACAGAGCCACGTGTAACAGGAGTTTTACTGTCGTACAGGACAAACCCATACATGCATCCCTTTAAACTTGGTGATAGCTTGATGTTACACAAATCAAACCTGCAGAGTAATAATAGAAGGCCTTCACGTAGAGGTCAGTATAGTCATGCATTTAGTTTCAGCTATAGCGTATCTACAAGGTCAGTGTTGACGATGGTCTACTCGGAAGGATGGGAGGAGAAGATTTAAAAAAAAAAAAACCACCACTGGCGTCACTGGATGTGGATCAGTGACATTTGACATTTTTTTTGGAGAGATAAAACCTCAGGGATTATTGACAGAATGAATGCTATACACAGGTAGACTCAGTACTGATGAACAAAAGATGAACTTTCAGGAACACTGTGTAGGATTTAGCAACATCTGTTGCTGTTGCAGATTCATCTCACCACCCTGTAGTAAATCTTTAGTTTACTACAGTTATCATTGCAGCTACAAACATATTGAGTTAGTTAACCGTGAACTTTAGTGGAACTACAATGATCCAGCTTTGAAATAAACTAGAAAAACAATGTTTCAAAGCTAAAAACAAAAGTACTTTTAGCTGAATCTTAAACAGTGCACCTGGAAGTTTGCATTGTTGGACCTTTTGAAATGAATTGTCAATGAACAGAAACAAAGTGTTTTCTTCTTGAGCAGCAGGTCTTACAAACACACAACAGTCACTCAGAAGAAAATAAAACACTGTAGACGGTTGACTTCAAGGTAGGTGATTGTGAGAAACAATGAACTGAAGTAGGCGGTTGACTTCAAGGCAGGTGATTGTGAGAAACAATGAACTGAATAAGTGGAAACAGTAGGATTGACTGATTGACAGGAGATAAAAAGGTAAAGGAATAAATTAACAAAAAAAGCTTTTCTAAAGCAAAGCTGGATTTACGTTTCACTGTGATAGAAATTATTTTATAGGTTTGTGTAATTTTTTTCTTGATTGTCACCACTGGAACAAAAATTGCACCCACCAGGTGGTGTTATTTCTTCAAACAGTTCATCCAACACTACAAAAACAAAGGTATATTTTTAAAATGCTAATCTGTGAATAAACATTGTAAAGCAGCTGCACCTCAAAACCCCTATTACAGGGAATTCATTTTTCATTATTTCTGAAATTCTTTGACACTAAGATTTGTGTTTGGCTTTTGAAAAAAATTAGATTAAAAAAAAAAAAAACAGAACTACTGTGATCTCCACATTACCAACGTGGTCTTACTCTATCGCCCTAACCTGCTCCAGCTCATATTTAGTCCACACAAACATTTCTAACAAAGCTACAACTAGACACTACCCATTGGTGTTTGTTTTGTAACGTCTTATTAGCATCTTTAGATGATTTTTTTCTTCTCATTTCAATCCCCTCCAGCCGTTACTTCACCAACAATTTCAAAGATATAAATCCAGCTTCACTTCTGCAATGTAGTAAACAACAAAACAAACAAAAGAATTGGATTTTTTTTTTCCAAGGGTCATTTTTTTTGTATCATTTGCATAGGAATCACAGATGTGTTGAAGGCAAACTGAACAGCAGACATCAAAACACTCCAAATCAACTCAGCTGCACAACTGTGGAGGAGAACAGTTACCCAAACGTGATTCCTTTTTGGAAAGGGAAGAGGGAGTTGGGAATTCTGTCCCAACAGTGTCTTGTGTCAGTAAATGATAAGCACATCTGTACACAAACATTACAATAGAGTAAAGATGATTCCACAGACCTGCACACAACTCTCAGGGAAACTCTGACAAAAGGCCAAAGGAGACCAATGACTCATCTCAGGTCAGTTTTGAATTCCAAACCAATGTTAGTATTTTGGCAAACGTTGACTGTGTCGTGGAAGTAATCAGAAATGTACAAATGTTCAGATGCAACTTGAGTGGACTTTGTGGATAAAGCTGCTTTTAGGTGAAATACTGTTGTTGGAACATGTGTTGAACAGCTTAACAGTCTGACAGACTAATCCAGTGTCTCTCTGGGTGCAGACAGTAAATCTAGGAAATCTATCCCACAACATTTTTCGTACTGAGGAGCCAGAACAACTTAACGCGTACCTCTTTGCTTCTACGGTTTCGCTTACAGCATGTTAGCCAAATGAAGACATCACTGACGGCAAGTTTGTGAAGTAGGTGTAAACAGTTTTAGACAGTAATGCTCACTTTGTTGGTGTCAATTGCATAAAATACTTTATATATATATATATAAATTAGTTTTGTATAAGCTTTATGTACTCATGTACTTGTGTTATTCCATCAACAATAATAAAATATCCCTTTATTCATAAAACCTTGTGGAGTCACTGATACTGTTAAACAATAATCTGTAATATTTGACAGTTACAAATCGTTTCTAGTGCTTTGAATAGTGATGACCCCTGTGGCAACGGTCAGTAGCCTTTTTGTTAGAGCTTCCCTTTCAAGGAGCAAAAAGCCTCCCCATACTTGCACTACCTTTCCATCACCTTAAATCCCCTTCTTTTTTTTTTTAATTCTTTTTTTTGCCCCACTTTAAAAAACATCAACAATTTGGGTATAAACTGTACCGCTACAAAATACAGTACATTGATTTGTCAAACTTTACACAACATAACCACAAGTATCACTGATCAAAAAGTTAAGTTCCTCTCAAATACAAGAAAATTCTTACAATAAGGTACGAAAATACGTTTTTTACGTCAGACACTTAAGTAGAACAGCGATGACACTCATGTAAGGCAAAATCAGGTGATTTCACAGTGACCACTGAAGAAGATTTAACTTTTTTTTTTTTTATTTAAACTGTTCTCTGGTTTAAAACAGACGACTTTAGTCTGATGTGTACTGGCTTTTTGTCAATATCATCGGTTGCGATGAACAAATTTGGACACATTTCTCCTGCTTTTTAGGTGAATAGAAATACCTGATAATATTCTCAGAAACAAAACAAATAATTTACACTGACGTGACACCAACACGTCACTTGAAACGACAACATTTGGATCTGAGCGTTGGGCTGCAGCGTAAACAAAGTGGAGCGCATCCCTGCGTCAGCGAATGGCCCATCAAACACCAAAGAGCAACTATGGGGAGGTTTCGCACTCCTTCGTAAACCAAGTAAGATAACAAACAAACAAACACATTTATAAATATGTTAGTACATAATAAATAGACACAAAATACATCAGTGCAATTTTACACAATGCCTACAGAGAGCATTTTGGCATCAAATTTAAATTATGAATAAAATATAAAATCTTTAAGGGAATAAATAAACCAAACATATAAAAACACAGAGCATCAAAACGTACAGTACATGGTGAAAGTAACTTTTGGTTGTCAAAAATAAAGCTTTGAGTGTGAGATAGAAAGCTCTTACAACATGATGAGGAAAAAAAAAAAACAATTCATCTGATCGCCGGGTACGAGCAAACTGCAGTCGTAGTTTAGCCCAATGTCCCAGCAGCTTTCTGCTACCAGTGAATATAAAAACGAACACAAATATCAAAGTGGTTATGAAAAGGAAAAGAAAAGGGACATTGTCAAATGTGCATTTTTTTTGGAGTATATGTGGCATGTAATGGTACACTGTAAACACAGCAGGCTAGCAAAAGCGCTGAGCGACCAATTTCATTCCAAATCCACAGCGAGGCCATTCCCCAGCAAGCCACTGGATGTTGTAATCCCTGCTGTCTTCTTGTGGAGCAACTTTTCAGAGGGCTTCACGGAGATGAGGGCGAGGTCGGACAGCTGGACAGCCATGCAACGAGGGAGAGGGAGTACTTCCCACCCTCTGGTTTTTCTCCTTTAACAAGTTAGTGTGTATTTATTTACCGCCATCGGCCCCGAAGGTTACAGCCTGTCCATCCTGAACGTATCTTCCGTGGCTGGGTCGGCAAGCACCATGTCAGGGTCATTGAGCATGTGCAATCCGTCCAAGGTGAGTGGGTCGATCTTCAGCTCGTCCAAAGGAAAATGCGAGTCTGCATCAAAACTGACATCACCGACACCAGCCAGAGAGTTGGTCAGCTCTTTGGAGAGGCTCGGAGGAGACTCGCCTGTGACTGAGAGATGCAACTTTAGAAAAACCTGTGGTCCTAGTAGGGACACGGAGGTTCATTCATTCATGTCTCCTACTGTAGTCGGCAAGTGTAGCCATGAGAATTTTGACGATAGGTGGCCATGTAGCAATCGAAGTTGAGACCATATTTCCTAATTATATTTCAAAGTGGGAGAAGGTAAATGATCTATAGAAGGAGTCCCAGGACAGAACCCTGGGGGATACCAGGGGTCCCAGGACAGAACCCTGGGGGATACCAGGGGTGACAGGGCAGTGTTAAGATTCATATGTTTTTAAATGAATCGATTCAGTGCGACCAAAGAACTGAAAGGTTGCAGAATAGTCACACCTAGCACCATCAAAGCTACATCATGTGATAAGAGGATGTCTGTATTAATTCTGGGGTTAGGGACGTATTAGTTCAAAGGCAGCACACCTGTATTAGACAAACCCTTAATTTGTTAAGAAATGAAAAAAAGAAAGTAAGACAACTGCTTTCATTTTTCATTCCTTCTTTGACAAATAATTTGCTACATTAATTATGATATCTGAATTAGAATTTTGTTTAGGTTACACTAGGTTTTAAAAGCCCTTTCATTGAATATTTGTGACAAATCAAACAACAACCGCATTGAAAATGAAGAGCAAGTTCAACGGCTAATGTTAGATTTTTATTTTACCCACTAAAAAAACGTAAGTGTACTTTTTTTAGGTCGTATGACACGCTCAAAGATGCAATAAAAAATGTGAACAAAGATAAAATAGTTAAACTGATGGACTGGCTGGATTTGGTACCTGTTAGGATGATGTTGGGGATGTTACTGTGACTACTGTAGCCCAGATGTTGAGAGTCTTGCAGGCTGCTCCCAGTCAGGCCCATCATGGCTGCCTGTGTGTAGTTGAGGGTGGAGCACTGGTTGTAAAGGCTGGCGGAGCTGATGGGACTCTCAATCATGTTGAACTGCTCCAGCTACAATTCACAGCAAGGTGTTATTTTTAAAGGTTATGTGTAAAAAACTACAGCAAGTAAATATTATTTTTAAAGGTTATGTGTAAAAAACGCAGTCACTGTTGAATGATTTCTGTGTCACCTGTTGGGAAAGTGCATTGGTCTGCCTTGACGTCTGCTGATCGTAAAAGGAGTCGCCGAAAATACTTCCCACCACAGGGATGTGCTAAATGAAAGAACAGTAAAGCACGTATTTTACATCAAATAAAAGCAGGTGTGTAAAACATAGAAAAGGCACAGGGCAAAGTGACTTGGCTGACTTCACAAGCATAGAAAAACAGAAAACACAAGCCAGAAATCTATCTGTCAGACTGAGCAGTGACCAAAGCAAATGCAGTGTTTCTGGACTTTTCTTAAGCAGCGGCAGCAGGTAAAGACCTTCCTCCTTTACCCACGGTTCCGTCACCATGCTCATTATATACACATGATATTGCATGACATCATGGCTGTCTATAATTGTTTTGAAAATGTGGTTATGTCACAGTCTGTTTATTTTCTTTGCCACAGACTCATAGCCGAGGAAACTGCTAAGCATCGGCATCAGCAGAGATAGTCAGTGAAGTACGACGATCTCAGACGATGCAGTAGTTGTAAGAGGTACACCTTTACTTTGAAGTACTATAATGACACAACTGATAAATATTGACATTCAGTCAACGCAATTTTTCTGTGCAAAGTCCCTGCAGGAAATCAATGTAATCTCTGATGTTTTTCCCAGCAGGACAGACATATAAACCACCACCATCATTACTTCAAACTATGGTGTTTTGTATATGTATGTTTAACACAGTATCAGATGCTTAGCTAAAGTTCAGCCATGTTGTCATGCACACAGTGAACACTGACGATGGAGAGAATGAGTTATGCAGTTTCTGACGCCATGAGTTGTTAACTGCTGATACAAGAAACGAATAGCAGCATGACTCATAGACAATTAGCTTCCCCCAAAGTGCAAAGCCCCAACCCCAAAAAGCAGCTGGCTCGGTGGGTGGGGCCTTACTTGAGGCGAGCCGCCAGGGGAGAAGCCTTGATTGGAGACTGGGGAGGTTGGAGACTGAGTGGCTGGTGAGCCAGTCTGATTGCGGTACTGTTGGAGGGAAGACGGTTAGCTAGCACTAAGCTTCAGGTCTGTCACAGATTATTGACGGTGTTTAGAACATTTTTGAGCAGCATAAAGGAAGGTAAAGGGACAAAAGTAGCAAATACATCTTCTTCCCGAAAAAAAATCAGTTTAATTCAGTTTAGATTAATCCACAGTTAGACTCTTGTGAGTAAACAGACAATGTTTTTATGGGCCAGTGTAAGCAAGTAGATATAATATGAGCTGTTCTAATTTTACTTTACCAGTTTAAGATTTCATCAGGCACAAACCTGTTTTTGGTCACTAGTTTCTTACCGAGCTGATGCTGATACTGGCGGTGGTCTGGCTGTCTGGGGAGGGGCTGCTGACAGATGCGGGAATTGTTCCAGTGGAGGCTGAAGTCGGGAAAGAAATGAGCTGGATGCCCTGTGATAGAGCCTGTTGCTGCTTCTGCAGGTCACTGAGCAGCTGGGCCTGGGCCTGAGCTGTCAACTGGTTGAAAAGTGGATACTGGGAAAGCTGCTGCTCCAGGGTCAGTGGCACAGCTGGTAAAGCCTGAAGAAAAATGGCATTTTTAGTCCTTTTAGAAGCGTCTTAAATTTCAAACGTAGTTAGTTCTTTGTTGACGTTAGAGTTTTGATTTGGGGTCTTCCTGAATTGTAAGACCACGTCATAAAACATAAACTACAGGTCTAGGTCATATCATTTTCTACTTAGCCTACTTTGTGACCCAGAACAACACTGCATGTTTGCCTCCTTTAATGTCAGTTCAGCAGTTTATTACCTGTGAAATGTTAACTGGTGAAGACAGGGCAGGAGAGAACTGCTGTGGAGATTGCTGGAGGTGGAGGTCAGAGGTGAGGGTCAGGGGCACCACAGGAGGTTGCCGGCGTTGTGCTGTTACAGTCATGGTAGTTTGAGATGAGGTGGGAATTCCTTAGAATGAAAATAAATACACATTCCAGCTCAGAGCCACTGGCATTTTAAAATATATCAACAGGAAACATCAGCAAATTTAGACAATCAGTCAATTCAAAAGGTCTAGTCTCTGGTCTCCATGGAAACAACAGGTCCTGAAAAAGTTGGAAGTATTTTTCTAATAATATCAAAAGAATCCAAAAAAATACAGGAAAACCATCTTTAGGCATACATCATACCCTCAGGAGAGAAATATGTTTCAGCCTGCTTCATCACCCACTCACACAGGTCTATGTGTAGGTACAACATCAAACCACAACACTACAGGCTGCAAAAAGCAATCAGAATGGCAACGCAACACATGGTTAACATTCTCTTGAAACCCGATAACATCAGTCAATAAACAGGCCATGAAGGGATTAGATTAAAAAAAAAAAAAAAATCAACCTCAGTCATATTGCTCCATATATTAAAAGAAAAATTAAATTAACAACATCAATGGCAAGGAAAGAGAGTGCAAGACTGACAGATAAAAATCACATCATGTTGCTCTAAATACATAACTGTAGAAACTCTGAGTCGGTTGATATCACTGATCACGTAAAACTTGAATAGCAGGGAGTTGATTTGCAATAATGAGTGTAGTGAGTGTCGCGGAATCACCGAGGTATTAGGTGAATCATGTCAGAGAATATTTGCAAGTGAAAGTACTTATCAGACAAAAGAAATCCATGCTGTAACATGGTGTATCCAACTGGAACATTAACGTTAAGAGGGTGGGATGTGGAACAGTCAGAAATCACCACAAATTGTCAGAAATAAGTGATAGCCAGCAAACAGCAATTATGCAAACACTGAATGTTTCTTCACCAGAGGCAAATGATAAGCAGACGATATTAGAGTGTGTGTTACTGTTCAACATTAAAAACTCAAAATGTTTTTTTCTTCCTTCAGCACGACTCCTGCAAGAACGAAACACAAATACCATGGAAACGTTACCATGACTGGCGGGGCTGATGCCCAGGTGGGTGAGGTTGGTGGTCAAGCTGCCTGTGCTGTTTGAGGAGCTGAGGGAGGGGAAGGCCACGGTGTCCTCAGGATCTAGTGGGGTGGACAATGGGGGTGGGAACTGGATGTTGGTCAGATCAGGCAATGAGCCGCCGGTGTTGTGAGCCGCCGGCAGTAATGATGGATTCAATTCCTGGTCGGGTGATGGGAAAATACTAGTTGAAAAAAAACAAAACAAACAAACACAAACAATGTGAGTCAGAAGAAGGATTTTTGTTTGACATAAAAACACACAACAACTATTTTATAATGACTTATGGTCGGCACCACTACTGCAATACTCTATATAGTGATTTTCACAGAATAATACAGTATATTATTGCTCACTTGATTCCCGGGACATCACATGTGTTGGGCTTTGTCGTATCATCCTGCAGACAAAATGTAAATATGAGATGCAGTTTTTGAACAGCAAACGTACACGTAGTAGATCCTCCGTTTCCCATCAGTACCTTTTTATCGTTCCACAACTGTTTCTGGACATCCTTGTCAACGTTTGACTCGGAATTCTCCATCCCAGGCACTGTTAGCAGCAGTACTAATTAGTGAAACAGCAATACAAGGTTGCTTGCTAAGACAAAATGTCTAACAATTAAAATCAGGGCGAGAAGTGAGTCATCGATATCCCACCCAGTCATGCAGAATAATGTGCTGTGCACCAGCTCCCCTAAAGGGTTCCCTAAAAATAGCAAGGTGACCAGACAGTGTGAGTGGATGCCAGCCAATTTTGGCTTCATTACAGCAGAGCATCACACACAAAACAACATAATCCATGGATTACCAGCGACTTATTGATCAAGATGTGACTTTACTCTAGCGCCAACTCTATGCTACAAAGCATGCATGGATAATGTGTTGATGATGATCCGTATCCATTTACTCCATAAATATTTTACTGAGAGTGTGGATCCATTTTTTTTTTCTTTGGGTTGCTTTGTCTTTGGTGCACATTAATAAATAAAAAGCTGTGCTGTGCCTTTGTAAATTGATCTGGTTTTACCTCGTTTAGGCTGCAGCTCCTGAGATCCTCCTGCAAACACCTCCTGGGGCTTTGGACTCATAGTACTCTGGTGTAAGGCAGAGTCTGAATTTGTCCTGCACAAGTAGGAAAGAGTCAGAAATGTTGGTGCTATTTCATGAACATTCTAAATATTTAGTGAAAGCACAGTCAGAAAAATGTTTGTTGAACACAAAAACAAAAGCCCTGCAGTAATATAGCTGCATTATATTGATAACATTTGCATAGAACTTGCAAACTGGAAGGATAATGAGAGGTTTCTTACCTTCTCCAGCTCGTGTCTGGTGGAGGGGAGAGGTAAACTGAGCTGTAAGGACAGCTGTCAATGTGAAATTTAATTAAGGCAAATAGAGTAGAGGGGATGAAAAATGGATTGCAGCCTAATCCGTGCTTCCACGCCTCTTGGCTGATTCAACCTAATAGACCATACACACCAGTGTAACAGGAATTCAATTACTCTGAAGAGGGCTCCAGTCACTGTCTTGTTATCTGTTGACGAAACAGATTTCTGCAAATAATTCTGTCAATGTAAGAGCAGCAAAACTCTTTGTTTTTAATGACCTTTTAAACTGTATCTGCACAGATACGCAAGTAAAAAAAAGGGCACGAACAACTTTATGAAAGAGCTTGTTCAAGGTTTACCAAATAATAAATACATTTGGATATACATTTTAAATAAAAATAAATCAGTGAGACTTGTGTTTCTTTTCCTGTGAGATAATGTCTGTGATTTGGGGCAAAAGGTTTTATTTAGCTAATGCTAACATTTGTTGTGACAACAGCGGTTACCTTGATCATTGTCACACGTTCTGACTGTCCATTTAATACAAACAAAACAATGAGAAGAGGCTAATGCGACACTAATGTCAATGACAAGTAGCAGTTGCATGCAGATCATTGTATGAGCTTAACAAACTTCATCGCAAATACTTCTACTTAATTCTGTACTCTTTCACTCATTAATAACAAAGGATATTTGGCGTCCATGTTTATCCACTGACAGCGGTCTGCGGTGAGGGGATGTGATGCGATTGCGGTCACGGTAAACACGCTCCACCAACCCATGGTGCCTAGTTGTTCGACTGGTATCCAGCACTGAGTTCTGGAGTGAACATACAAGGTAAATGAGACCCTAGAAACGGCTCACGTACGCAACCCTATATGTGTCTAAGGAGTAATGGTGTAAATGTGTTCTTTATAAAAAAAATGATTCAAGCCATGGGGCCCCCTACTGGTGCTCAAGTTGGCGAATGCATTTAAAGATGGAAAGCCATGACAAGCAATGGTACGCTTTCAAATTTTGGAACCAAATAGCATTCTAGCTGATCCTGCTGGCTTCCTTTCCATTCCGGATTTCACTTCCATAATAAAGCCTGGTCACTGCTGAACACTTTACTGCCCTTCGTAATCAAAGCTGATCCTGTTGATTTCTCTAAAAAGGAATTTTTCTTTCGAGCCAAAATTCCACCATAGTTTCTTGTACCCTTCGTATGTCCATTGTTTTCACCAACAGCTAACAAAGGTGCACAGGTTCAACAACAAACCTTTGGTTTACCAGTTGAGAGGCTAAGGGCTCACCTGAAAAGGCAGGTCAATGTTGCCATTTCCAATCTGATTGACATTGGGCAGTGAGCCTCCATAGTACTGTCCACGATTCTGCCCTAGTTGCAAATACTGGGTCTTCTGCAACTGCAGCTGTGCAAAGTAAAATTGCATGAAAGCATGAGTGAATGATCGTTCTGATTCACAAAAAAAGTGATGCAAAAATGCCTGTTAGTCCACAACGGGGAAATAAACAGATAGTGAAGACCTTAATGGATGAAACATGAAAAAGGGCAAACGTGGCTGTTTCATGAGCAACCAAGAGGCAGAGGACGTCCTTCAAAAGTCGAACGACACCTGACTGACAGCTGGTGTTATTACAAACAGACTTTCCACTGAACATGCCTGGCTATTACATCAGCCAAACGTCGGCATACAAAACTCACAGTAGTCATGTATGTCATTACAAACACACTGATGGAATGTCACCTTTTGCCAGTTGATGTACGGAAGATGGATTTAAACAAATGTAATGGGCTGATAGTTTGATGAAAACACAAAAATAAACATCTGGCCAATACTGGGTGGAGAAGTTGATGTCTTCCACAGAAAGTGACTGAACAATTGAGGTTTACCGTATGACAGCATCTGATTTCTGGTTATTGGGCATCTTTACCAGAAACAGGACTTACAATCAGACAAAGGCAATCACAGAATTTCCTGGTAACAACATTTCTCTTTTTTGGGGCATCTTAACTGATAAGATTCCTTAACTAAGTCCTCCTTAACATCTTTTCATTATATATAAACAATAAGACTAAATTCAGAAATAAACACACACACGAAACCTATAGTTATCTAAGGAACAGTTCATCATCGTGCTTGTTTGGTGTTGGACATTTCACGTTATGCTTATAAGCTGCAGGTTAGTGTTTCTGGTCTTTCGTTCCACATCTGCCAATAATAACACTCTAATTTTCTCTAGAACAAATGTGAAGTGACTGATCTGCCACTTAGAAGAGAACTGGTAGCAGGTTTATCTTTGAATCTTTTTCTTTTGGCCAGATTTGAAAACAGGAGCATAACTCATGGAACAGGGCTTTGCAACAGCACCCCCTGTTGGAAAGGGGATCTGAATTTGTAATAGGCAAAAGTGTCCACGCATTTCCTCTGGGAATGTGAAAACAATGCACAACTGAAAAGAACAATTATTTGCCGCCCTGGTACTTTGTGTATGCATGTTGTCAGTGTTCACCTTAACGTAGTTAGTTGACCTTAACCATATTGTTATGTTGCTCGAGTCAGGTGTTCAGCTCATCCAGCTGAAAAGCTGCGGGGCTGATGTAACTGTCAACGGTAAATGGCTGTAACACGCACGGAGACGCTGCTCCTGACATGTTGCTGAACAGTGTTTTGCTCTAAAATGTCAAACGAACGTGTTTGCTGATGAAATACGAGTGGCTCACGGGAGAGCACAGGTGCACATCATTCAAAACAGCAGATACGCGGCTCAACGATGCCCTACAGTACCTTCAACAAGGCCTGGCTGCTGTTAGCGAACCGTGATTTATCATAGAGCACCCACACTGTTGCTGCCGCTGACACACTGACAAACGTTTTTAATAATTACTTCAGCGACTCTGTCATCCCAGGCTTTATAATTATCCCCGCAGCCTCCGGTCTGCAGCTGCAACAAGGGGGAAACAGCGATGTAACGAAATGTACGAAGCCGCGTCATTGTTCTTACCCGAGCTGCCCTGGTAATATTCAGGTCCTTCATGACTTCTTCAAACGCCGCCGTCTCCTCTGCCTGCTTCTGATTATGCAGAGCGATCTTTTCGCTAAATTTGCGAGGATTGTTAGAAGACGCCATTTTCCTTCTTCTTCTTAATGGAATGTTACGCTACGTACCACACTGGGGCATCATGTTGTCGTCATCACGCACGGCTACTGTGTTTTATTATTATTATTATTATTATCATCATCATTATTTTCATTATCATTATTATTATTGTCGTTATTATTATTATTATCATCATTATCATGATTTTCATTATCATTATTGTCGTTATTATTATTATTATCATTATTGTGGCTGTTCTGTTTTTATTTTTTGTTTGTTTTGGAAGCTTTAACTGACTCAATGGTTTAAAATAGGTTAATAAAGGACAAAACCAGTTTGGTTTTCAATTTCAATTTTTTATTAAGTAAATTTTGCAAATGATGTTGATAATCTGTCTGTGAAGAACTATGGAATCAAATATAAAAAATTATATAGCCCTATGTATTTATTTATTTATTTAAATAGGACTATATGTTGAAAAAGTAAAATAGCAAAATATCAGTGGTTCAGTCCATGATGGTAACTGGTTGGTGTGTGTGATCGTGCCTGGTAAATAGTGATCTTGACTATTGAAATAGTCTTCATATTCTAATAAAGCAGAACCTGCCCAGCCTTGTTTTCCTTGGGTCTTTTATTGATAAAGAATAATGTGTGACTGGAGAACAAAGTCTTATATGGATACGAGGGTCTTAATGAACACAAACAACCATAAACACACTACAGAGACCAACAAACATTCTATATAGCTTTAATAATGGATGATGATGATAAAGCTACATTATGCATACATTCCTCTTTGACAACTGTGATTGGTCTAATATTGCACTTCACCTCTATGTGCTTTTACAAAAGACAGGACTTTTAGAAAGATAACATACAAACAGTCAGATTTGAAAGAAAATTACAAGAATTACATACATAATAAACATGGGTTAATTTAGCAGCAGAGTCAGATGTGGTTCGTAACAACCATGTGAAAAGTGCAAGAATTTGTTCAAATAAAAGCAGCATGTGCTGTGGCCACCTTAAAGGTAGACTTCACAACAAGTCAGTCCTCTCTGCTCTATAGGCTGTTTAAATTAATCGCCTCTTCTGTGTTCACTGGCTGACAGAGTGGAAGAAAGGGAATGTGATCAGCAGAGGTAAACAGGAAGTTTGCCAAAAGACAATATTACTGTATAATGGTATATAGCCAGTTTTAGATCCTTACCTAACAAATGCCTATATTGACTTGAATTCAACATTGGGCTAAAAAGCAACAAAACACTGAAATTATGGAAAACATGTGAATTATTTGTGTAGCTGCCTGCAGCAACTTGTAGTTAATGACTGCTACGGGTAGTAGACCTTACAGTAAAATACACAAAAATGTAAAAAACAAAATAAAAACTTAATTAAAAAAATGAATTAAGTGAAACATTCTTATTCTTAAGTGCAATTAATTACACACAATAATCTGTGTTTTTGATCATCGATACACCTGGAAACACACAACACAACATTGTTGGTTGAATTAAAAATAAGAAGTCAGCATGGGAAAAAAAAATCAGGGTTTGAAAAACAGGTTTTACCTGTACTTTCATAAATTATTAAATCAGCAAGCTTATTTCATACTGTGCTTTTCATTACATTAATAAAATTGGGATTAAAAAAAAATCTTTACATAGCCAAAGATGTAAGGGAATAGGAAACAAAGCCTTAAATTAACTAATCCATTATGGTGGATTTTTACCAATTTTTTTAAGGATCAACCAAATATTGGTATACTTTTAAAAATAAAAGTTTAAGGCATAAAAATAACTATTTTTTTCTGTGCTGCTGAGTAAAAACATCACTCCTTCTGGTAAGGAATTAAATGAACACTACTCCTGTGCTGGTGTAACAGCTGGCAGAAAGACCACATAGAATCAAATTATTCACAGTAGTAGGTTAGAGTTGTGTGACATTTTGTGGAAGTATAATTGGTGTACTAGCAATGCCAGCAAAAGATTCTGGAAAGTGCAGATCCCGCTCCCACTCATCCGTTTCTGTGTTGTAGACCTGTATGATGCTCGTGACATTGTTCAGGTGCCAGTTGTATCCACCAATGATGTAGATTTTAGTTTCCAGGAGACAGCAGCCTGCCTCAGACTGCCCTGCTCTCATTGGACTGACAGTGGTCCACTGATCATTCTCTGGAAGGTAATACTCCACCGCTAAGACATCGAAACAACGGTCCACGTGTTCCATGCGACCACCTAGAGCATACAGCCGGTCTTGGGTACTGATCATGCTGTGCAACACTCTTGGCTCGTTCATTGGGCACCGAAACTCCCACTGATCACTCAATGGATCATAGCAGTGGAGAATTTTCTTGTCCTCCAGTGAGACGCCGTATCCTCCAGAGATATACAGCTTATCCCCACAAGGACTTCCTGCATGACCCCAAATTCTACGCTTCAACGGTTCCACATATGTCCACTTGTTCTTCTTTGGGCAGTAACACTCCACAGATAACAGAATCCCAGATCTATTGCGCCCCCCTGTGGCGTACAGCTGGCCATTAAGCACGCTGAGTTGAAACTGAATGCGGGCTTCCTGCATTGATTGAATGCGCAACCACTGGCCCTGATGTGGGTCATAGCGGAAGCAGGTGTCCACTGCACCCTCACCACTGCGGTATTGTAAGTGCTGACCACCGACAAGGTAGACAGAGTTGTCGAGTACAGCAACACAAGCGTGGCTGCAGCCGGTCTCCATCTCAGTCAGCTCTTTAAACTGGCGTGAAGCAACGTCTGGAAGAAAGTACACTTTTGTGCTCACAGTGCGATCGTTGTCTGTGTAGGGCGTCCCACCAAAGGTTATGAGTGAGATGATGTCAGATCGAATGAGTGTCCGAGAAGACTGCATCTCATGCTGTCGGAATGGAAGTATCTGGTAGTTGAAGGCTTCAAGGAGATACTGACGGCAGAGCACGTCTTCCACCATGATGTCCACTGTCTGAACACTGTCCACCAGCTCAGAGGAGCGCATGAGTGGGAAGCGGACATGAGCGAGAACTGTGCTGGCTTGAGCTTGGCGCGACTTGTCGTACTGGAGCCACCGGATGGCGGCATGGAAGAGGTCGATCTCCCTGCAGTTCTTCAGTTTGTTGCTCTGCAGGAAGAAGACAAGGCGCTCCATGGGAATGTGCAGGAAGTCCTCCTCTTCTGCAATCTGGAGGAAGTTATGGAAAGTGAAGGCATCCACAGACTCTTTTAGGGAAGACAGGCTGAAAGTGGTGGCCATCTGGCCAATGTGCAGGCAGGTCTCCACGCTCATGGTGGACTTGAGGAACTCCTCACAGAGCTCTACCACTGGAATCATCTGAAGAAACACAGCTGCTCCAAGGACATCCTGAATACAGTCTAGGTCTAGTGTGACTTCGGCACTGTAGGCAAAGTCAATGATATGTTTGAGGCCACGAGCAGACAAACCCCTCAGCTCTATAGTGTCTTGCTTCGACTCCTTCATGCCTCTGGTGAACATGGCTCTAAAATAAAAAAGATTTCTGTTATTCATTGTATATGAATATAGTCACAGTTATCCAAATGACTAAGTTGAAAGTGTGCTTCCTATGGATTTAGAGGTTGTCCATTAAACAGGAGCTGACTGTGCACTCAGTAACAATGACTCTCTTTACCAGCTTCCACAAAGTGCTTCTCATTTAATATGTAAATGGGCCGTTTAACATCCTATGCTCTCACTAACCTGAAGTAGTCACTACAGGCAGCGAGCACAGCTTTGTGGACCTGGAAGCGCTCTTCGTTGATGGCCAGCACCACATCCACCAGCTGACCTTGAGCCCGCAGCAGAGACAGGCCCTGGAGGAGGGTGGTGCTGTGGCTCGGGGCTGAGAAAGTGCAGCGCAAGGTGCTGTTCTTGTTAGCCATGCTGAAAATAAAAGAAAACACATCTTGTTAAGAGGGAGTGAATGTTTGAATTCCATTCAAGTGAAACTGTTTAGCCTGTAATAGTCTTAATAGGTCTGAATACATTGTGAAAAGTTTAGTTCATTTGAGCGTAAGTTGTAAAACTTTTTGAGTTAAAACAGATCAGTGTAAGCTAAATGCTAAGTGTTGTAGGAATTCATTAAATTCAACCAACATGGAAGAAACAACAAAGAAAAATGTAAATATTACTTTTGAGATAAATATCCATACGAAAGCCAAAATTAGCAAATATCTCCCAAAAATAAAGTATGTGGTGCAGGGTATATGCAGCAGAACTAACTTAAAGTAGTAGTATAATGTAATTAGCTACAAACACAGCAGTATTGATATGCCAGAAGACATTTCTACAACAAAATCCAGTTAGTTGTTAAAAATGTGTGTCCATCTTTTATCGTTTATCTTTCTGGCAGTTTGTTTTACTCTGAGTCAAACACTTTCACGTGGGAAAAATACAGGTGTTGGTTTGTGATAACACCAAAAGTTCCTTTGAGCACAACACCCAGATCCTGATATTTTCTATTTTGAACATCTGAGTTTTAAAGTTGAGATTCTTACATAAAACATAACTTTGAAAAAAGTGATATTTTGACAAACAATTTTCAGGATTTTCAGGGTCAGACAACTGAATACTATAATATCACTTATGTGTTGTTGTTTTTCTTTACTTACTAAAAAATATAATAAATAAAAATATGTATCCTATGTGGAGATGTCATTCACTTTTAAAATGATAATATACATGTTTAAAAAATACATAATGTATTCAGCCGTCAAAAACGATGACAACTGGACATCTACTGGATATGTTTTGGTGACTACCGCCCTGTGACACTCATTAGAACCGTTCACGTCTATAATGTTGTTGTTTTTGTTTTTTGTAAATGAATCCTAATTACTCTGCTGATCTTGCGTCACCTGTTGAAGCTCTGCAGACTTGGTGAAAAATAATTCATCCGCTTAACTTGTGGACATTTACATCTTTGGTGGAATTCCACTACTCGTCATTAGCTGAGGGAAACTCAACACGGCGCGACGCCCGCAGGCCTAATAGGAGCCTCGGTGTTTCCTGAGAAAACGCTGCGCAGCGAGAAGCCGTCAACAGTTTAGACTCGGCTGCAGACCCGGCTGCTTTGACGCTTCCCACGGGGTCAACAACGACACACAGGTGCATCGCTGCAGACACACAACATCGTCACCGCTCATCACTCACCTGCTCTCAGACAGTTTCGAGGTAAGATCCCCACTATCCGATTCCGCCATCTTCAAGCACGGGACATGTCAAACAATGCATTTTAAAAGATTGTGTGATGAACGGACAAGGTCAGCAGCAAAGCTGCGTCCTTCATTGTGTGGTCAGTGGCCTGTTGTGACCGCACAGACATAGGGCTGCCGTCTGTATGTGCTCCAGACAGGGATGAGCTGTACCACTGTCTACTTACTGCCTGCCCCTACCTGCTGTAACAGTGTCTGACCGCTGAGAGGCGACATTGTAACGTAAATAGGACAGTCTTGTAAATAACTTGAAATAATATATATAACTACACTGTATACTGTATATATGTATATGTATACGGGTATATACAGAGAGAGGAAGATTTAATAACTACATTAAACAATCTTGTGTTTTGCGTGGTCCTGGAAACATTGGAAATATTCTAATCCTCTATTGCAGGTTGTCAAACATGTGGCCCGCAGACATTCAGAGCTGTTTGTATAATACGCAGACCCAGAATTAAAATGAGTCTCTCCTGCACCAATGTATTCCCTAAAAGGTGACATGTATATTTGTCGTTCATTTGTTGAAATCGAGGGATATATATACTGTGTATATATATATATATATATATATATATATATATATATATATATTTTTTTTTTTACTTTGGGTGGAAATGTTTCCCAGTAGTGGCTAATCATGCAACTCGTAGTGTAAGGACGTTGTGCAGAAAAGCTTAACTGGGTTTACTTTGTGAAGAGTGAGTACTGTAATACATTCTAATGCATTATTTCAACATTACAAAAGAAAATAATATAGGTGTAGGCTTTAGTGTCACAACAATGATGTAGGTGTACAGCGCCCCCTAGCAGAGCATAGGTAACATCACTCCAGCTAACCATCAGAAAGTGCTAGCTCTCTAACAAGTCATACACACCGCACTGTTTTTGTCTAGCCTGACAGCATTTAATTAGTTTGCGTAAAAATCCAATACATGTCCAAAAGAATAGTTATATTTATATGCAGGGAGATTGACCTTGTAATGTGTAATAGTGTTATGGTTATAAATGTGGACAGCATACCTACAGTGGAAAAGAAACACAGATTATGCCTTGCTTCTTTTCTCCTTTTTGCTTTTTGGTTTCTCGTGGTATGGTATTACTGCCCTCTTGTGGATTTGTCTTTGATTTTCTCCCTCATTCCCCACACTAGGTATTAACTGGTAAATCGTGTTTGTTCATTGTGTGGCATTACACCTCTATTTTTAGTCCTTCCTCTTTGTCTGCTCAGATGTTTCGGTTCTTCATTTTGGTGTCTCATTCTGGCACTTTCCATGTGTAATGTTCGTTGACTGTCAGCTTTTTGGCAGTTGGTACCATAAATGCCCTCCTTTTATCTTTTCTATTCTGGATCATATCGCAGTAGATTTGGATATGTTTCCTTTTATCCCTTTATCTTTTAGGATTAGAGGGGATTTATTTTTTTTTGCCAGGCCTAATAACTCTTTATTTTGGATACAAATTTAGATTCAGTGAAACAAAAACAAAAAAAATAAAAATAACAATAACATAACATATTGTCAGTCATCTATATTTTATTACAGTCACCTCCTTAGTTTTTTTTACCGTAACTTAAATCAAACAACCTAAATTTAATATTAACCCTTTTTATTCAATTAATTTAAAAATATATGATCAATAGGGTTTTTAAAACCTAAAAATACTATTGTTCAACAATCCTTTGACCAGGATGTTAGATGTTAATCTCACTGTGTTGAAGTTGAAATCAGTGGCTTTGTTGCTGATTGGACTGTTGTTTACTACATCACAGATACAAACCAACAGAAGAGTGGAAAATTGTGTCCCATCAGCATGTCCTGGTTTAACCAGTGTTCTCATTAAAACCCTTAGAAGTCGATTTGCCTATGACTCATCTATCCTGTCGCCGTTCACAAGTGATTTGGCGAAATGCCCTTGTTTCTGTGTTGTGACCACTTCCTGTGACATTTACCTGTCACAGAAACACATTTTCGCTGCTGAAGTTTTCTAGCCACTGGAACACTTCTCTGTGTTACGCTTGATTGTTCACTGACCAATACTGAGTTCACGGTTAAATAAATAGTATCTGATCACCCATTTATATTTAGAGTGATGCTAGTCTCCTCTTCATTTTAGAATACAGTACTTTAATTGCACAACTCCCCTTTTAAGACAAATCAGCTTTCACATCAAAGACCAAACCATTCTTGTAAATCAGCATGGCAATCTCGTTGTCCAGCTGTTCCAGATCTGTGATTTCTCCTTCTGTGGATCTTCTCAGGAGCTGATCAGTGCAACCAGGATCTTCACGACTGATCTCCTGAGCGTTCTTTAAACCTTCACCGTCACCCTCTACATCTTTGTCAATTCCAGTCTCCCACTCTTCTCCGAGGTCTATGGTTTCCTCTGCATTGTCGCGGTCTGACTTTTCACCTGGATGCTGTAGCACCATGAGCTCATGCACCTCCTCTTTCCCCTCATGCATCTCCTGCTGCAGAGCAAGTTGACACACAGAGTGAGACAGTCCAAAAAAACCCCCAAAAAACCCAACAGCAGTTTGCAATTAAAAGGTCACCATTGGCTTTTCTGATTAAAGTTTAAGCAAAAGTTCAGTGGAAGAAGGAAAACAATGTTATGTATGTTTCTATTTCCTAGACGTAAAACGTATTAATGTCACTTTATTAGTAGTTTTCTTTTGTCATTTTTATCTGCTATTTATTTATTAAACCCCTATAGACTTCACAGCTATAGAAGAAACATCTACTGTATTAGCTCTTTATTAGTTGTATCATCAGAGCGACAAAGTTTAGGGTGAAAAGCAGCTGTACCTGATCATCAGCCTGATGGCTGGAGAAAGATGGAATAATTGGTTTGGGCACAGGAGGACAGATCTTGTGTCTGGTTCTGAGGAACAAAAATAGAGTAGAAGCTGTTGAAGAAGATAATCCATGAATGAAGAAAATGCTCGTGATTCATTGGATTTTTGTGATGTAAAATATGTGCCGTGACTCGAAAAAGTTCGGGAAACTGTTAACGAACAGAAAAGCCTAAAGCTCATCTAACAGCGTAAAGCACAATGAGCAACAACTTCTTTCAGAGTATTCCAATTTACGTGTATACTGTACCTTTTCAGGATGATGGTGCATATTGTTGGGATGAGGGTTAACCCAAAGAGTAAGGCGAAAACCCACCAGACTGATTAGGATGAGCGAAAAGAAAGGCACGGCGTATAAGTAATGCAGCCACACAGTCAGTGACAAACTCTGATAGACAATCCATCTGTTTTATGAGAGATTTGTCTGATACCATTCTCATGCTTCTCTGGCCACGTATTGACAGTCGCACTGGCTTTTGGTCCTTCACCCACTTTTGTCACTCCAGCCAGACTGATGTCGTATCTGGCTCCTGGCGTCAAGTTCTCCAAGTGATATTTTGTCAGTGTGGCTGATATATTATGGCACTCTGAACAAACAAAAACAAAAAAAGATTTTCAGCTACACTCACTAACAGCAAAGGTAAAGGAGGATTCAGACAGCACAGTGGAAAAAATAATAATAATTTAAAGCATATGTTAGTATTTAGAGTAAAATAGAATTAAACCAGAAGAAGGCTGATGAGTTAGATATATCAATATCAATAGCAGCAGGGACAAACATTACTAATGAGTAATTTTACCAGTGGATTGGTCTGAGTTCATTTTCACACTGCACAGCCTGTAGTGTGTGAGGAAACCTCGCTGGTCTGCAGAAGCAATTGGTTTCCAGGAAAGGTTAACTGAGGTCTCTGTTTCACTGACGACACTAAAATTCTGAGGTGTTCCATGTGGCTCTGAAAAAAAAAGTATATACATATATAAATATATATATATGCACTGTATGGCCAGTAGTCTTACAAAGCCCATCATGTGCATTAATACGACCCCTTTATTACATTGACAAGGGAAAAACAATAGCATACAAATCTGCTCAGAGTTTCCATAGTAAATGGTTCAAACATCATCCCCGATTTTTTTTAAATTTTGTTTCATTAGGTCATTTCAACCTTTTAAATTTGGCAACACTCATTGACATGCATCAGTTGTTTGAAGTTTTTATAAGGCTGCACTAGGTGCTGTCATTTTAAAGCCCCCATTGTGTAGACAGGGCAGGAACATTTGACACGTGACATAGACAAACCCACCTCCCTCGTCCTTGTAGTAGAGGCATGTCTTTACTGTGCGGGGCTTCCCACCATCACGTATGTGCTCATAGTAAATATATCCAACATAGTCTTTTAGATCATCTGCAGCAGAAGAAGAAAAAAAAATTAATGATGTTGGGGGCTAATTTTTTTTTTACCACTGAACATCATGGAGTTTGGGGCATCATTCATTCTTATTCACAGAAACACAGTGGCGTGGGGGGAAACATTCCGAGGAGGCTAAGCCAATTCAGCTTGGCCTCCTCACAGACAACAGAGTGCAGTACCATGTTTTTAACACTTATCAACCATTTAATATCTAGGGGGGCGCTGTTTTACAAACCATAAAATCAGTGTCTTTGGTTTTGAAGTCTGAAGTTTACCCACATACTGCACACCACCCCACTTCCCACAGGGTGTGCACTAGTTTTTAACACTACCTTCAAACCTGTTGCATATTTATACAAACCTGATCTAATTAGTAATGGTATGATCAATGCAGTCTGTACTATATGGTATGGTATATGGTATCAGGAGTGCACGCACGTTGGCACAAGTCTGTTTGACCTCAAGAAGTGTCAAGGAAATTGTAAAACAGTTTAAAATTCTAAAATACTTTGTTTGAAGTTAAATGCTGTAAAAAGTCATTTAATAATAATATACTTACCCTTCTTTACTGCCTTTATGTTGTCTTTTGTGCTTTGTGATGAAATTGTAACATTTTCTAAGTTGTCGTCTGACACTTCGAACCACTGCCTGCAAGGTTTCTTTTTAAACTTCGGTTTTCGGTCACAAGCTGCCAGCAAGAAAATAAGTAAAACTCTTCTGTTGAATAACAAATTGCTAACATATATCATGCACTCAGGGAAACATTCAACAACTTCGTCCTACGTTGTAAATTTGGAACTGGAACGGCCGGGACTTGTACGACTGCAGTAGGTGAACTGCCTGCTTCATTCCTGGCAGTGATGGAGATTTCGATGGCAGCGTACGACACATGTAGTACAACAGTGTAGTTATTGGTGTGGATGTGGCGTGGCTTCGTAGCAGTCTCTGCACAGTGGTGTCCATGAGAGAACTGGGTGTACTTCAGTTTGTATGTAACGACTGCTGCTGCACCAGGCATTGGCTGTAGAGCAGAAAAGATTCCTGTTAAAAATAACCAGGAAACTAAAGGAACACATCATAAGATACTGTTTGAGAAGGTTTTTTGAGGTTTGAGATTTAGTTTGGAGTTCAGATTAGAATTAGGGTGAGATTAGAGTTACAGTAAGGATTAAGATTAGGCACTTCTATAGTATATTTCTAAAGGTTAATACAAGGACTTCCAAACTCCATCTGCAACAGATACTGTTTTGTATGAACGGATGTTAGTTTTTGTTTACCTTCCAGGTTAGTGTGACTTCTCTGGTGCCGCTCAAAAGTTTTGTCGTCACGTTTACTTGAGGAGCATATTCAAGCTCTGTGGTCAAAACAGACAGTTTGAATATGAATGCATATTTGTTATTTGTTGTGCATATTAGGTTTAGTGTACATGGTTGTGGTCCGGTGCAGTGAGCAGTGGCGCTTGGATGACTGTGCTCTGATTTAAATCTCTCACATTACCTGCTGGAGCAATCACAGCTGGAGACCATTTACTCCACAGTGGGTTTTTGACCTGAGTGGGACGTTGTCTGATCTGAACATGGTAAGCTGAATGTTTCCTTAGATTTACAATGATAACTCTGTCTGTGTAGAAGAAATTAAAAAAAAATATATTTAAAATTTTAGACAATAAAAAAATGATGTCAACTTGGTGTCTAACAGAATCCCTTAAATTTTAAACCATGACAGGAAACCTGAGCCCACGAAAACCCACACGAACATGAGTTAAATATTGGGGGAAAAAACAATATATATATAAGAAAATTCAAACTACAGTTAGACCACTTAAAACTGCATGTTTACATTAGTTGTATTCACATTCTTAAACAGTTTTTCCAATTGCACTTACTTTTAGATTTTTCCTCTTTAGGAACTGGGCGTGAATTATGAACTGCTTGAAAGCTGTGTTTTTTCACTGGGGAAAGAAATGTATTAAAAGTAAGGTTGATATTTGGCTTAAAAAATAAACATGAGAGTGAAGAAAATCTTAACGACGTGGTTGTCAGTACTTACACAGAGTAGTATTTATTAATCTCTGTAACAGAAGTGCGCACATAATGTATTAAATGGTTAATCACGGCCTAAAAAGGCAAAGAAACCCTGGCATGCCTTACTTTTTCCCATGATTCTGTGAGGTTTCCATCTTGGCGATACCGGATCTCGGCTAATGCCGGAGCTTCTTCTGCAGCCTTCCAGCTTAAACTGAGGTTATTTAGTGACCAGGACACTGTAATGTTTGATGGTGGATCATATTTAACTGTGGATGAAAAGCAAAGACTTCTGGGTAATGTTGTCGTATACGTATTCTTGGTGACACATTGGTGTAAAACATTGGCTCTCGTTCACAAACCATTCCTATGAAAAAATAAGATATACTCTATACTTCGTCCAAGTATACACTATATGTACTGTATATACTCTGCCTGTAGACCTAAAGAGCTGCCATAAAAACACATACAGTGCCGCAAAAAATGCAACCTCAGCATTTTTAAGAAAAACAGTGGGTGTAATGATTTTGATTGCGACCACAGGAGCGTCCTATCCTGTACAAATGAAATCCCATGAATTACCTGTGTGTATGAGTTCAACAGATCTTTCTGCCGACCTGCAGCTGGAGTTTCCCACATGGGCCACCACTGCAATGTTGGCAGCTTTATGTTTAAATACGCATTCTTCCACGATCAACTTCGTGGTCGTCTTAATTCCACGGATTTCATTGTTTTTGCAGCTGAACGTGCTGTACATACGGACGACAGCAGAAAGTCACGGTTGACGTCATTCACAAAAAACAAACGAACTGTTCTAAAATACATGCAGTTGATCTAACAAGCAATAAATACAAGGAAATAACAGACCGACCAAACTAGAGAAAAAGAAAGAAAAATTACAAGTACAGTTTTGTATACTTTAAACTCTAAAATTTAAAATCTTTAATTTAATTAAATCAACATTACTTACTCAAGATGAAGATCAAATTTCACGTCCCTGTCAGTTGTGTTCATGCTCCATTCACATATATAAACAGTTTCATTAACACTTTTCTTAAAGCAGTCAAGACTTGATGGAGCTTCACATGCTGAACCTGTGGAGAATATTTTTATGATGTTGAATAAAGAATAATGTACTGTAGATTCTTAAAAGACATGCAGTCAGGGGAGACACCTGGACTTTTATGTTCAATCATATTTCAACAATAATTCAATCATAATTTTAAATCAAATTTAGACTCAATGTTTTCTGGTTTTGGAGACTTCAACATTAGCCTACAGTGAAGCTATTCTATTACCAAACTGGGCTTCAATCTGAAATTGAAAAAAAAAAAGAGAGAAAAATTTGTCAAGGGGTAAGCCGTATCGTAGGAAACATCGTACTGTAGATGTTATCTGCCAGTAGAAACCACATGATGCTGATAAGCTGCCCAATATGTTGTGGCTGATGCTTTTCCTTTTAGTCACACCTCAAAACAACGTAGTAACATTCATTCAAAAATCAAGCCACAAAATAAATACATAAAAAATACATAAAGACAAATCCAGGTCAGTTTGGTCAAATACGTTTCGAAGGACTTTAAATGCTCACAAACATTTACCTCTGTTGTCTGCCGTGAAGAGCGTAAACACAAAATATCCCAGTAGTGAAATCCAACATGTCAACATTTCCATGAGTTTATAGAATGAAAAGTCCACAGAGATGATAACCTGAGTGTAAGAGTGAACAGAGCCACTCACTCTGAATTCATGTAACTCACTTTCTTTCTCAGAAATGTCGCAGTAGTTTCATGAGCAGGTTAAATGAGCAGTGGCAAACCACAGTGTCAGGGGCCGGGGGAGGAAGCAGACACAACAGCCATTGTCATCTCAGGATTATACAGTTATTCTGTGATCTGTCTTTTTTGTGCTTAGTTCTCATCCGCCTCCAATGACACACAACAGCAACCTGAAGTGAAAATCGAAACAATGAGAATCTGCAGAGACGGATTCCAGGTGTCGGTCTAGGGAGACGGTCACACAGTTTAGGGTTCGACCTGTCATTAACAGATAAATATAGACAAAGATTGTGATGTGTTTAATGAATATGTATATATTATATTAATATATTATATTATTAATTTTGAAAGGAATCTAGAAAAAGAACAATTCTGTCATTTAACCCAAGACGACCCTACATCTCTGCTTAAGAACTTTTGAAAGGAATCTAGCAAAAGAACAATTCTGTCATTTAACCCACAGAAGACGACCCTACATCTCTGCTTAAGAATTGAAACGTAGGTTACACTCCAGAAAACCTTTACTTCTGTAAAAAAAAAAAGAAAAAAAAAGAAAAAAGAACAACCCATGCCAGTCTGCTGCTGACAATCTGAAGAAAAGTGTCACACACTGTACTGGAAACATTATTTGACCCTGGAGTTGCTGCCTATCTTTGGGGGAGGAAAATTCCTTTCCCCCAGTGTTTCCAAACCATTTTTTCTGGGGACCCATATTTTAAAAGTCGCAAACCTTCGCGACCCAAGTCAATAGGCATTATTCATAAACTCCTGGGAAACACAATGCGAGACGACCCCAGAAAAACCCTCTTGCGACCCACCTGAGGGTTGCGACCCAGTCTTTGGGTAACAATGCTTTACAACACAGTGATCGCTGCTGCTTTAACTGTGGTTTTGTGTTGAAAAGTAGAGAGATAGAAACAGAAAAAAGGATGACACACATAATCCGCAAAAAAGAATTAGGTCTCCCAGGGCCGTGAGACGAAAATGAATCTTTCTTTTTTTTTTCTTAAAGCTCTGGTTTCAACTCGTACTGGACGCATCATCTGGTTAGAACTTCTCTCTCCTTTGGTGTCAGACAACTATCGTGTGATTGGTCTGAATTTAAAACTCAAAAACTGTCATCTCGGGACAATCCCTCCCTCTGCTGTTATTACTGTCAAATTCCCATGATGCCTAGCACTGGTAACATGGACTGTAGTGATGAGGACTTGGCTGGAGTTTTACCTCCACATTTCTTGGTTCTTGCCACATACGTACACAGTGTGGTCTCATAAGAAATCACTTCATGTTGCAGAACACTTGTAATAATATTTTGAACATGTAGGTTGTAAACAGCTGATCATGTTATTCATGAAGCCTCCCGTGTGACTGGTGCTGTGGAGAGTGCAGGTTTTGGTTTGTGGTGTATGTTGGTTGGTTTATGGTGAACTTGTGAAAACAGGAAGTCACATGTTCAATTCCTTTGGCAAGGAGAAAAAAAACTGAAATAAACTGAGAGACTAGACAAAAATAAACCAGGCGTATGATAGTAAGGTTTAAAAAATAAAAAATATATTTTTTTACAGAACCCTGATTATCCCCATCCTTTTTATTTTTTATAAAGTTTTATGTTTTTCGGCCCAAAGCAGCAGAATCATGGCAGTTATGGAGGTGACCATTCCTGTCACGCCTCATACAGAAAGTGTACATCCTCATTTCCCCAGTTATTTATACACCTTACAGTTTCGGAGACAAATCACTTCTACTTTCATTTTTTGTTTTGCATCAGACAGACTGCTTCCTTCATCCATATATTTGTCAAAAAGGATCTTGTGCTTTGAAAAGAAGAAAAAAAAAACCACCCAGACAGGATGAGAAAAAACACACAGGAAGTAGGCACATCTGACACAGGAAACAGCCAACCTGTTCCACAGTGTTGACCTCATTTATTCTTTTTTTTTCTTCATTGTTAATTATTCCCCTGATGCCAGTGTGGAGGAGCAATCCATTAGCAATTGATCAAAAATTAAATATATAAAATGAAAAAAACGAAAAACGAAATATAAATATCAAAAATGAAAATTGCTAAAGGGTTAATATAGAACTGTCTCTACAAAGTTTGCTGTTTCTCATGACTGTGTGTGATCAGTTTTAAAAATGAATTGTCCACTCAGTTTGTCCTGTATCTGGTTTAAACTGTTTTGGGGTTTTGTTTGTTTGAATTTTTTTTGTTTGTTTGTTTTTTTGTTTTTGTTTTTTTTTTTTTGCTTTTTTGTTGTAGTTGTTTTTTTGTTTTTTTTTTGTCTGTTTTTTTGTTTTGTTAATGAAACAAAACGGCAAAGGTGCTTTGATTGTGTAGTAATGCATTCGTTTAAAATTGCCCTGCAGTCAGTATGTTGCAATGGTCTACCAACAGATGGTGCTATAGAATCGTACAGTACAGTGATACAAAAATAGTCATTACGTTGGCGTCCAGATCAGATACACAGTCAACCTGAAACTCGAGGTTCTAAAATGTTTCACTCGTTTCAGGGAATGATCTGTGGTTTAAGATAGTCATTTGTAAAGTTTGCAATATTATTATTTTATTTTTGAATTATTTTGGTATATAAGAAAAATAGTTTGCCTGTACATTACATTATACGCACCTTTTCTTTGTGGCCTAACGATGGGCCAACATCATTTGCTTTTTTGACTGCGATCACTTCAACCGACTGCCACTAGAGGTCAGTCTCAGAGCTGCGGTCGGCAGGAACCGCGTCATGCTGAAATCATCGTCATACGTAGTGGAGAACCAAAAGTGTGGTTCGGGGAAAAATTGGTAACTACCCGAAAACATCTGCACCTTTACCAGATCAGGTGACCTAGCTTTGGTCAAGCTGAGACGTCTTCTGAGATTCGATGATTCAATTTTTATTCTTTGAGCACTTTTCATGCACAAAGCCAACTCAGTGTGCTTTACAGTGGTTCAAAACAGTTAAATATAAAAAAAAGAAAAGAAAAAACAGTGGTGAACACCCTCTGCCCTCATAGACCCTCGCGTCGGCTGAGGAACAACTCCCAAGAAAAACCCTTAATAGAGTAAAAAAAAAAAAACCCCTTCACACCGTGACACCAGGGCCACGTGGTTGGACGATGGCTGGTGTTAATGGCTTACAGTAAGTAGGTAAAACCATAGGTATTAATGAGAGTGTGAATGGTTGTTTGTCTCAAAATGTGGACGGAAAATCTTGTGACCAAGATTAACTTGACAACTGCGACGCCTCCTGCGATCCCCAGTGAGGATTAGGTCATGGACGGTTACAACAAAACCATGAACCAGGTTTTCTAAGAAATACATTCAATATTTTTCCCAAAAGTTAAAAACAGATACAGTGATCTCATAAAACAAACCTAACATTAAAAATGAAATACTAGGATTATCTAAAGAAACAAGCCTAACAAAAAGAAAAACAGTCAGATAACTGACCTCTGTGAAGGAATACAGTAAAGTACATTTTCCATTAAAAGCGATGATGTGAGATAAGATGAAGTGTGAAACTTGTTTTGCAGCAACACGGGAGGAAAATGCAAATGTGAAAAGGAAACATATTTTTCACAAGTGTATAAGTGAAAGGTAGAAAAATTCTACCATGCTTGTAGTCGTGGTAGAAAGTGACAATTCAAGCAGCCCACAGGAATACGAGTGAACATGAAACTCGAAACATAACACATGACATTTACTGACAAACCTCAAATGTTAATGTAAAACTATTTATTTTTAGTGAAGAATTGGTGAAATATTAAATATAATTACTGATCGCAGTTAACTTCACATAAACAAAGAAAAAGTGAAATTCTGTTTATTAAAAAAGCAGGTGTTTTTTAATAAATATATCTTTACGTTCCACTGTATCTGACAGACCATGTGACCCATACACTGTACCATTTCTCGCTAAATTCTGAGCTTTCAGCCATTTCTGCTGATGTCAAGTGGAAAATCAGCATCTTGCCAACTTCACACCCACTGATTAGCATCTCTGCAGGTTACATCCCATCAGAAAGGATGCATTTCAACTGATGTTGACTTTTAACATTTTATGTTTATTCCAACAGTAGTGAGGAATTTTAATTGTTGTCAGACTTAAATTAAAAAAAATTAAATCCTACCACCTTAACTGATTTAAAATTAAAGTGACACCTTAGCATCGGGCAGGTGTCGATTACCATTTAATATTTTCAAATTTATTCACATTTATCACAAAATCGACTGAAAATCTTCAACTTGGTTGAGTATTTGACATCTGTCTCAAATGAAAGAGAGAGAAAAAAAAGACGGTAAAAAGCACAGAGAACTTTTTTTTCCGTGCATTTAGATATCGCTTAACTGACACAAATTTGTACTTTTGCGGTTTTGGAAAGCTGAGGTTTTTGTTTACGGCAAGCGTTTGGCACAGAAGGTGTCAGGCTGTACAAAGTGCATGTTTCTAACGGTATGTGACACTGCAATGAGCTGAGAACAGCAGTAAACCTTACACACTACACCCAACGTGTGTCTTGTTTGTATCATAACATTTTGTATCTTTTAGTACATACAAAAATGTAGCCCGATTTTTGATTTTGATTTCTGCAGCAGATGTCTGGGCTATCTGCTAATTAGCATTATTTTGTTAACCATTTAGTTGCTAAATGTTCTTTTGAACAGATGTCATTGTTATCTGCTCATTATTCTTTTAATAACGGCTCAGTAAGATTCTGATTAATTTATTTGCCAGTTACAGTGAGTAGAAACTTGCTGTGTCATCTCCAGGAGTCAAGATTTAAAATCCTTTAATGTCATTGAACAGACACCTGATCAACAAAATGATTGCATCCATTTCACAATCTTCATTTCACACTGTCCCTGCACCCTAGCCCCCTCTACTGGAACCTTACTAATGTAAGCCTGTTACTACGTTCATCCATATTTTTTTCTCCAGGACTTTACACATTTCCTTTGTCTAATACCACCCACTGGAAAAATGTTGAGAGGAGAGGAGCCAAATTATACACCAGGGGTCATCAATTATATATGTTGGAGGGCTAGAGTTATTCTGGACAGACACCTTGGGGCCAGACACTCAAACAAAATGGAATAAAAACCACCATTTTGTCAACATTATTGTTTGATTCGGTCAAGGGCCCGATTGGATGATTTCGGTGGGCCAGACTTGGCCTGCGTGCTGCCAGTTGGTGATCGCTGTTCTGCAGGCATGTTGACCAGGTCGATACATATAAGTTCATGTTGTATACTTTAAAATGTCTGCAGTCAGTGTGGCATCCAACCCTTAGGATGCCGCGGTAGATGCCGCTTCAGCCAGACGTCTGTTGTCATTTCTGTTTTTATTTTAAAAATATCACCAGGCATTTGGAAAGACTTTGACGTCAGTGTCAGTGGAAATTATTTACAGAATGTACAGAAATTGTTTATTAAAATGATGTGGTGTTAGCGACAGCAGTTGTTATCATACAATCTTGCATTTCCTCTTGCAGAACGGTGGCTGTTAACGCTTTCATCGCTAGGTTTGCATTGAGCTGTGCATCTTCTCTGACACGTAGCTAATGTTAGCATACTCTGTATTGTCTGAGTTTACACTGGTGGCTGCGGGTCTCTTAGGGAAGTCCAGGACGCTGTAGACCAACGGAGGTTGAGGTGGGGAGTTGGATATGTTAATGGTGTCCTGTCGAGACAGTGAGAATAAAAAAAATGGAGGCACTGAATTTGAAGTTGTCCGTTAATCTACCCAACAACGATGGGGCATTTCTCACCTGAGTTGTGGTGTTAGAGTTCTGTTGTGGTACATATTGTTGTTGTCGAGCTGCTCCGGAAAAAAAAAAGACAAAACATATTGTTATATTTTTTCCTATGGTCAATCTATCATGCAAGTACAAACTAAAGACAAAATAAAAATACCCATAAAGTAAGTCTATCAGGAGTAGTTAGGAGTTAGTTAGTAAAAGAAAAAGTCTTAATCCGATACCAAATTATATATATTTTGGTCATTTTTGATTAGACACTAACTAATAACCCACCAGTTCATTCAAGGCAGTAAATACAAATATCCATGATTAATAAATATTAACATCTTCTGTCATTAACACAGACAATGTGCAGGACATGAATGGAGCTATCCAAGAATTAAAGCAGTGGGAAGTCTAGAAAAAAAAGTCTGGTTTGTTACTGTTGTTTTAAAATCATTAAGAAATTAGACTTTTGTTTTAACTTAATTGTTGCCTCTTTTTTACTTGTTCTCAGCTTTGTAAATTATCATCACATCTGACTAACTGGCTGTGGGAATGTTCGACAGGAGCTTGGTGAAGGAACAAACACATCACATTCCATTCAAAAAAACAAACATATAACATATAATATAAATATAGCAATATAACAATATAAATGACAACTGCTGAATATTCTGTGTAGTATGTATATGTAGTATATAAAGTCTAGACTAACCACAAACATCCTTTGTTCAATTTGTACTTGTTAAAGTCGCTGTTTGGCATATTTTGTCATGACGACAGACCAGGTCGTCATTGCACGATTTCAAACAGTCAGCATCAATTTTGCATTTGATAACATGCACAAAAAAACCCTTCTATTGTGGTGTCTGTGGTGACAGGGGCTGCCAGAAATTAGCAAAGTTCTCGCTCGAAGTAGGCCAGGCCATTTAAAAGCAAGTAAAAGTACCCACAGAACACTAGAGCAAACTATTAAGTTTCTTTCTTTTTTTTTTCCTTTTCCACGCATCCTTCCATTGAGAACAGACACGTTTACTGACCTTGTCTTCTCGGAGGAGAGACTTTGTTTCAAGCTATGAATCATCACGTTACAAAAGGAAGTGAAACCAGTCGAGTTTGCAATTTTTCGAGCATCTAACAACACAACTGCACACATTTTCCACATTATTACGAGAATCCCTCTCATCAGCTTCTCAGCCACTTATATGTATCAGAAAACAATGCACTCTTTGACTTTAAAAACTCTGAAATTGAATGTTGAGTTATTTCGTCTGATTTGGACACAGTGTCTAATCCAAAAACAGTTGGGTTTTTAACTCAGTTAATGAAAAAAATGACTTCATTTTTAGTTCTTCACTGTACCTTTGACTCTCACAAGACACCAGATGAGCAATGAAAATAATGCCACGGTCAGAAGAAACAATGAAATCACGAGGACAAAGATCATATCAGTAGGCAGGGCAAAGGTAGAGCTTTCACTTCTTGTGGTCGTAGTGATGTTTTCCTGCAGTGGACCTACTGTAGAGTTAACAGAGATACAGAGAGCATTTAAAAAAAAGTAGCTGCAGGGAAGTATTACAGTACAAATGATGTTATTTAATGAGCTGGATGACATGGCAGTGACGGGTGGTCCTTTTTGGTTCATAAACGGCCTTCAGGAGACAGACAGTATGATCCTTACTTTAGCCCTAGTGATTAGCATCTTAAAATAGAATTAGATGTATGAATTTATTTATAATTTTTTTTAAATGTAATGGCTCAGGATCTGCCAGCTCTCCCTTTAAGATCTACTGGTAGATCCCGCTCTACTTATTAGGCGTCCACGCCATACTGTATACTAATAGTTACGTGAACTCCGTGCATCGAACATAACCCTTTTCTTCCGTTGTGTTTTCTGGGTCTGGGTTAGTCCCTAATGAACCAAATGGGCATCCATCTTGTTCTCTGTTCATCGAAGTCCAGTGGTTAAACGTTTACACCCGTAGACTATGCAGACTGCTCTGTACAAAATAATCTCAACCTGAATAATACAGCTAACAGTGGTGAGTGATCCAACGGCACGCCTGGCCCGAAGAGCTCGTACTGATGGACAAATATGATCTACGTTTACCTGTGCTGCTGGTGTTTCCCCTTAGGACAGTCAGATGGACTTCATTGTCACTCTCTTTAAGCTTTGTTGAGTCTTGGAACAAGGTCATCCGGTAAGAACCACTCTTATTTAAATACAGTTTTGAGATGTGGTATCGTACGGATGTGTTTTGATAAATGTCAAAAACATCGCCCAGCATGAAACGCCTGTGTCCTGTATACTCGGCGATCTTTCTATCGTTTAAATAAACAGCAAAGTGGCTGTTGTAATTAATGGCAGTCTCATTAAATGTGAAGGTTAGTGTGATGTTGTTGCCCAGGGTCCCGATGACCTCTGCCCCACCAGGTCCTGTGTGAGGAAACAGAAGAAAACGGAGTAATCGGTGAGCTAAAGTACCACTGACAAATACAATACAAAACTTTTGTTTTGTTATAAATATTTTAAAACAACGATATTTTGCTCTTGAATAAACAATGTTGAACACAACATGTTATGGTGAATTATAATCAAACCAACCTTTAACTATGGATCACTGTTGATTTTGTTTAGCCATTTTTATTCTGGTAATTCATAATAAAAGTTGACTCAATGCTCTTTAAGCCATTGTTCCCCAAAGACTGGGTCGCAACCCCAGGAGTTCTCGGTCATCACAACAGCTGTCTGCATCCAACCTCAAAATAGCTGCCAGTTCAAAAGCTCCACCTGTGGTTTTTTTTAATAGTGTATAATTAATTATAGCCTATGTATTTAATGTTAGCATTCTGTCCTGCCGTTCTGCACGCTAGACAAAAACACAAAAGGCAGCCACTAACCTCAAGAACCGATTAAACACAATGTTACAAGAAGCTCTTGAACAACGTTCTAATCCGATTTTTGTTGAAAAGAAAAAGAAAAGGGCTACTCATGGTTACCGTTTTTGCTGGTTCAACTACTGTTTTTTGTCGTTTTTTGTTTAAAATTTGAGTGATAATAATGGTTCAGATATCACTCGGTCAACAATAAAATATCCTCATTAATGTTCAATAATGATCAAGTACACTATTTTGTGATTTACGAATAATGTCTATTGACTTGGGTCGTGAAGGTTTGTGACTTTTAAAATATGTGTCTGCGGAAATAAAGTTTGGGAAACAATGGTCTAAGCTCTGGATTGACTGTAAAAGAGTCTATAGAGTCTAAAAGTGTATTCATTTTACAAGGATTGTCCAAATATCTTTTAAGAGTACTACCATTGTAGAGTTCTGGGTGAAAACAATCACTTTCTTTGCCTCAACTATAGAGACTGACTTCTAGTTTTCAAATGTTCTTCGGGGAAATGAAATACTCAGAAGGTTTGAGATTAAATCATGCAGCAAAGATTCAAGAAACTCAACATGGTTCCGTTTAAGATTCAAGGTCAAAATTTAAACTATTAAACCAACACAAACTAATGTCACATTGTTGTCTAGTTTTTGGTTTTGCTTCATTTGAACAATTTGTATAAAAACATTTAAGCACTTGCCCCAGAGCAACAATTGAAAATAAACACTTCGTTTAAGCAGGTTTCGCTCAATTTATATATTATTTTATCGTTTTCACAGCATAAAAGTCGACATCGAGCTGTTCTTAACCATTCTGAAACTGCATGTGTGTCATCCAAGAGGAAAACTGTGTAAACGGCTTACCGAAAACCATGTGTGCAGTGGCGATCAGCACCAACCCCAGTGGCTTAGTGATCACATTGTCAGCCATGGTGGAAGAAAATCGTTTGTTTTGCCTACCAGGTCCTGATGGTCCTTGGGTCTCAGAGTTCACTGACGCTTCAGTTATCGATAAACCTCCTGGTTTTATTAGGAGGTTCGATTATAAGAAAAAAAACTAGCTTGTATTTGTATGTGTGTCAGGACGACAGTGTCAACAGGAACTTGCAGGATCTCTGACTTATAGTTCTGACACCTACAGTAGCACAAGCACCTCCTGTAACAGAAGACTTCAAAGACGATCATGGACATGTGGTGCAGACTGGGAGGAACTTGTGATGCACTCAAATTCAGGAACAGAAATAATAGCTCATTTCTTGAAGAACAACTGGCAAAGTCTCAGAAAAGAAAAATAAAACTCTGTGGTTAATCGGTGCAGTCCTTTGTTGATATCGTCTTGGTTGACTTGCAGAGCAAATAAGAAAATCCCCACTGTCTATTTTTAGTCTTGAAAACGGTTTCGGGGACTGGGTGCTGACGAGCTCTGTGGAGTCTGTTTAAGTTTGAAGTTATGTTGTTGCCTAAAAAATGGGAACAACTGCTTCTACGCTATGTAAAAAATGGGAACAACTGCTTCTACGCTAAAGAACAAAAAGGTCTTAGTGAAGACGAGCTTTATTCACACATCTTTTGTGTTGTTGTGTTGGTTTTATTTAAAGTTCAGTTTCAAGCATTTGGGGGAAGTTTTGCCGCTTTGAGATATCTTACTATACGGCTGCAACTTGTATTGTAGTAGTTCTCAAAGTGGGGAGCTGGACCTAAACTTGCACTAGCTGCTCTAATCTCTCTTTAAAGAAAAATAACCCAACTGTTTTTTAGTTTCACTTTTATGTCCATTTCTTAGCGTTCATTCAAGTCACAGTGCCATTTAACCGCACTATGAGGAAGCACTTTTTTGTCTCATAGGAAAACACTCTCTCACTCTTGTCTCTGAGGGGGATTCTGTTGGTTTCCGTGATTGGTGACGGTGGTCTTCCCCCAGCAGCATGGCTGTAAACGCAGAATTCAGAAAACACTTAATAACTCGCCCTTTGTGTAATGCCATTGAAATAGAGTTGCACAAATGCCTTATTCTTTCAGATATTGTACCAAGTGTGTTCCACTAAACACACTGTCACTTTGCATTTCTGCACCATCTTGTGGCAAGTCTCCCGCAGAGCTCTACAGACTTTGACTCACACACCTCCACTCTTGCACATACTGTGCTCACACTCGCTTACTTCTTATCTAACCTTTACATTATTGTAGTTCCTGTGACGCAGCTCTCTGAATAGACTTCCTGTCTGCAGCTGTGCACCCTGTTACAGCATCTCTTTATTTAACCCTATCTCTTTTTAACTGATAGGAGAAAAACAAAACTGGTCCCTCTTTAAATGTTGTGATTGTTTTGCTGTTGATGCTGTTGTTGTTGCTTTCAGTTTACGCGACATATTTGTTCTGTAAAATTTGTATGTATATGTTAAAAGTATCACATATATATCTTCAGGAAAAACCCCACACACACCACAGAGCAAAAAGTATATGTAATGAAATATAATAATCTTTTAGTTTAAATGACCTCATAATTGACTAAAATCCCACCCTGTTTAGTTGAACACAACGCTGATATACTGGCAGGAATTGAAGAACGATACTCACAAAAGATCTTCTTCAACAGCTCTGATTAGCTTTTTTTATAGCCATCTGCTGCCCCCTAGCAGAAGAGTATTTAATTGTTCTGCCTTTCATGCTTTGACGAGCAAAGACAAATGATATGCAATAAATAAATAATAGTTTTCAATTTTTATTTAAGATAACCTTCACTCGTCCTTGTCTTCTTTGAGTTTTAACTGCAGATTTGAATCCTATGAAAAAGCTTTACTGACACCTACTGGTTTATTTTTTTATAGTAAACAAACTTTTATGTCTACTTATGTAAACACAGTAGACAGAACTTTTTTTAAGACATTCTCTGTTAAAATGTTTGTTTTTTGTATTTATTGTTTGGTTGCCTGTACAAATGTTTCAGACATGGATGGTTTTTCTGATGCCTCTAAGTTTTTTCTCTTACAAATGGATGGAATTGATTCAGTTGACTCACAATCTCACTGTTAACGCTGAGACACGACACATGTCTGGAGACTGGAGACAACAGCCCAATGTCAGCTATAGAACACACGGAGAGTCAGAAATGTATGTTCGAGTGCCGGTGTGAGAAACGGTGTCAACGGCAGCTGACAGGGTCGACTGCTAGGAGAACTTTGACAGCACATGACCTGGGCTGGCTGGCTGTTGTGTCTCTCATAGAATCTCAGATACTGTGAACTGAGTTGCTTTAGTAACTGGCATGACGACGATGTCCACGGACACTAAGAACCAGCCCCCTCCCCCCCCCCCAAAAAAAAAAAAACTATTGTAGGTGCAGTTTTTGGTGAGGTCTATGTGAACAGAACAGTTTAATGACGTCATCTCTAAACTGGAGATCCTTAGCAACAACCAGGGATCTGTGGAGGTACCGTGGGGGAGGGGGGGGTGGGGGGACTGTTAAATCTTTGGAGCATTTCTTTATATTTTTCCTCTAGTATTTCTCACCTTTTACTTTCAAACATTTAATCCTACTGCCACTTAAGTTTTTCATTTATGTTTAAAATAAAACCAGAAGAAAGAAAAGCTTGTATGTATGAATATTATGCAACAGACAGTGTCATGTTTAGTTATTAATGTCAAAGGAAGCCCATAGAGTACATGACACTGGGCCCAGTTAAAAAAATAAAGACATTTTATACAACATATGTGGTAGATTTCCTGTTCTTGAAACTCTTGTTTCTGTGCTGGATATTCGGTCCACGCAGTCTTGAAATGTAAACAAAAACAACAAAGAGGCAACATGACACTGGTGGAACCGGAGGTGGATTAGAAACTGTGTGTCTTGGCTGCCATTTGCTGAGGGACACATGTTGCAGCAGCATTTAGTGAAGCATCATCTCTCACCACAGAGAATGAAGGAGGCACACACACACACACACACACACACACACATAGTGATGGGAAGACAAGAGCAGGAGAGCCCTTATTGCCATGGTAACTGAGATACCGACTCTCCTATTAAATGCCGCCGAAAGAAAACAATTACCAAGCAGTCGGGAACAGGAATTCCTTGAGGAGGACTTGTTATTTATCTGAGATTGATTAGGTTTTCCTACAGTCTTAATCTGACCCTCTATCACTTTACTGCGTTGCTTCTCTGTTTTGCTCTCAGCAGCAGCAGCAGCAGCAGCAGTAGCAGCAGCAGCAGCAGCAGTCAGAAGCCTCTTGAAGCCTACGCTGATGCTCGGCACCAAAGAGTACCGCAGACAGGTGCAGTGAGTCGTGTTTAGTGGAACATTTATCGGCTGTAGAGAATGTGATACCTCACCAATCAATAACATGGGAGAGGATGCTTGGTTTAATGACTCCTAATCAGTGATGTCGCCTTATAATTACTGACTAGAGGGGGCGTCGCTTCTATAAAAGTGTTAGAGGGCAAGTTAGAGAAAAAAGGAAAAGTTGGGATGAAAATACAAGAAGCTGCAAGTAAAGCAGAGAGGTAAATGAATGAGAGGAGTCAGAACCCTATTCCTAAAATTTCTGTGGCGTGCTCATCATGCGTCTGTAGCGTCATGATGTTGTAAGGAGATATTGATTGTGTGATGAGTCAGTTTTGCCACAGTGCCCGTGTGTGGGGTCTATGTGACCACCAGATGTGGTTTTAATTCCACGGTGTGGTGCAGTTAATGACAGTAGATAACGTAGTAGCGTAGTAGAAAGTGACTTTCATTCATTTGAACGTGGCTAATGCCTCACCGCGACAGTTAGTCACATGACAATTAGGACTTCAACAAAAACCTCACAAATGATGGTTCTGTCTCAATAGGACCTTTTTTTTTGTTCCTCATTGAGACCAGGTCCTAAATAATGCCAGCAGTGGTCGCTAACGGGCAATTACTCTGTGTAGGTAATTATCAGTAAGGACACTGATAGCTCTCCGTAGCCATAACAATCCACTTCGATGTCGAACTCTGACCTTTAACCTTTAACCCTGGTTCTAACCCTGAGGCCAAGGCGATTGGTGAACCACTATTGATTTACATTAACACCTGTTGTTTGGAGCTCTTGGAGTAATTGGGTTGAATGTTGATGACATCACAGCCTGTACATAAATATGGGACATGGTTACTGCATTGCTTGCCACATAGGCAGTCTCCTGTGGCATTACAAGACGGTGATAAGATGCTATTAAAAACAGAATGGTAGTTTTGTGGAGGTGCGGGGGGAGGAGGGGCTCTTATTAATTTAAATAGTTTTTTATGGATGGCTTGTTTCCATTTTGTGTGCGTTTCGTGTGACAAACAAACTTCTTTCTTTTTTTTTCTAGAATCATAATTGGTCCTTGTAGCTTTGAGAACGTGTACACACACACATACGCAAACAAGCAGTGTGAAGCACATCCTTGATGCCAGCTGTCACGGTTTGCAGTGAAGGTATTCCCCAGCCTCATCATCACGACAGCAGCCTGTTCGTCTTGACACTGTCGAACTCATCACTCACTGGCATGGAATTCAAAGGCTTGGAAAAGACCAGCAGACACTGGTGTTTTGATGTAACATTTATGAAGTGTTTTCTTCCCTTTCAGTGAAAAGAGCCGGTTTGTGAATCACACCTTTGACACTCCCACTTTTGCCACCACCCCTATCTTCCCCTCACCCAAACTCAACCTTTCTGCCTGTCACCCTTTACCCAAACCGATATAGCACCTCTCTCTCTCTCCCCCCACCGTCTCCCGTCCCCTTCCACACACACACTTTATCTGACTCACCCTCTCCCTCCTCTCTCTACCTCTCCCCCTCCCTCGTTGCTGCCTCTCTCTCTCCTCTTACCACAGTCACAAGGAGGTGAGCGCTGACCCGTCGTTTTTTGCGCTTGTGGCAGTCGAGTGCTGGTGCGCGTTGGAGACGGACGACAAACGGTGCGTAAAAACCTCTGTGATCTAATGCAACTGGTTTGCTGTACGCCATTAACCGGCTCCGGAGTTTCTCTCTGAATTTCGCTGAAGCCCACGGTGGACGAGACACACTCTGTACAGGGGGCGTTATTTTTAGTCACCCAACGCAGCGATGAGTGGCGTGAAGCCGGCTGTGACAGCGAGTGGTGGCGCTGCGCTCTGGTGGTGAGTGAGGATCTGAGCTCCAACTGCGTGAAGCAAGAATGAAGTCCAGGAGAGACAAGCTGAAGATCCCCTCTCTGACCCTGGAGTAAGTACTGGTATTTTATCAATAATAATAATAATAATAATAATAATAATAATACAATAGTGTATATAATAATATCTGACAAATATTTAGTTAAATTTTGAATTTTCTATTTCAGCATTTTCTAGTTAGTTTGTTGCCCAAACTTTTCATACAAAGACCCACTTGTTCATCTTTAATCCCAGTTATCCTGGTCATAACAGCTGCTTAAGTATTATTTCGCCCAAAGTTAAGTAAAAATATTATATATATAAATCTTAATGTATAGTATGCAGGAACTTTCTTTAAATAAACCATAGAGTCAAATTACCTTAGTTGTCTATAATTAGCCCTGGTTAGTGTGGGGCTGTGTTTATCAGCAGGGATGCTGCGCTTTCTTTGTTTTTCCTGTTTTTCCTTTAGAGAATACTCAAAGTATAGATAAATGATTGGAGATTCCAAATCCAATTTTTTAATTTGTAGTGGAGGTGTAGAGAGCCACACATGAATGCAGCCTACTAACACTAGTCAGACCATGTGAAAACAAATCCCTGTCAGTAGTAATTGGTTGTACTCAGATGTGTCCGTCCCAAAGTACATTTGAATCTACAAACCTAAATGTATTTTTGTTAACAACGTTTGCATCAGTTACATGATTAGGTTTATATAAAACAATAATGCTGTAGCAGTACACTCAGGGCTTTTCGTTACCTTCACAGCACCACCTACATACGTAGGAAGAGGAGCTGCGTGTCCTTCTGTTTGCAGTGACAAAATATAAAAATAAACATAATAAACATATCTTTAGGTAGAAACTCATAAAACAAGTGCGATTTGAAGAAAAATGTTGATCTTTGATGTGTAAATTATGACCTGAGTTTGGAGATGACTAATTTCTTTCTAATATCTTTTATATTTTATATTAAAATTATTAAAATTATTCTATTTTAAATGAGAAAAACCCTTCCCTGGATGTAGACAGTCAGCTTGTGTGGCCTTGGACTTTTATTGTGTTTGCTGACGGTTCGTGGCTGGGTAAAGTTGCACAATCGCACAAGTGAAACAGCAGGGAACTTTCCACCATGGAGTTAAATTTTCAGGCAGGTGAACTAACGTAGCAACATTATTTCTTACAGAGTGTGACTGTTGTTTTTTACTTTCATCAAACCATATGCTCCACTGAGGTTCGGCCATATGTCTTATTTGTCGAGCAGCATCTGTGGTATGATGATGTTTTGTGTGTTTCCCCGGCTCCTGGATACATTTCCAATTGCATTTCCCCTTAAATATCAATAGACACACTGTGGGCAGACAAGTCTTCAGAAGAGCTGGGCTTTTCCCTTTTTTTAAATGTAAAATACCCTCATTAGGGTTAGTCTGTGAATCCTGTTAAAGGACTTGACTCCAGGCTTGTATCTACCCACTCAGCCCAGAGGGAATGTAGTCTTTCGTGTGGGCTGGGTGGGGGAAGTATCCCTGCATCCCACTGGATGTGGATCCATAAAATGTAGGAGCTCTCTGCTCCCATCCACATCTGATGATTGGTCCGTCTGCCTCCACTGTGGCACATCTCAGCATACCAGCTTTGTTTATATTCCATTTTCTTCATTGAACGCTGTTGCTTCTGAAGAGACGAATGATTACGGCATTTGTTGAAGGGAGCATCAGTCCAAACTGTCACATTTTTAGTTTACAATTGTATCTTTCCTTGATGTTTTTTGTTTTTCTCCATCTCTTTGAATCTTACGGTAAATATACCCCTGGTGGTGAAAGTGCTAATTGCAGAACAACAGGATTTGAATGAAAGTTAGTACAAAACCCTAAAGAACAATATAATGGTTGAAACAGCTCCAGGTGTTTTATGACTCTTATCGTAGTAAGGAACAGTTCTCTGAACTAAATGTAGTAAAAATGAGATGCTTATTTGTATTTTATGATAATGAAACAGCCCCGCTGAATAAATGAGGTAACTGCGAAGGGATGGTTTTTCCAACCACATTTCCTGCATTACTATGACAACACGTTAGCTCCGTGTTTGGCAGTGAGTATAGAGACAATAGCAGCGCTGAGGTGCCCACAAGGCAGTGCTTACATCTGAGCTGGGTAATCAATAGAAGGCAGCCTCACTGCTGGGTCAGCGTGGTGAGATTTAGAAAGGCTGAGCATGCATGTTTGATTTAAAAAAATTATATGTTAAGATAATATAGTACAACATAATCCAGCATAGGATTAATCATCACTAAAAAAAACAGTCTGAGAAAGGCAGTACTGCAAAGGTTGAACAGAAATCCAACCATGTCCTTATTATACGGCTGGTGCTTCATACAATCAGTGGTAAATGATAATGTTTTATCAGCACACTCAACTGACTGGGGAGTTTATAGCTACCCCTGCAGGAGAGGTTGAGGTGAACAATGATACATGGTTTTTTTCTTTTGTCCAACAGAAAAGAACAGAATAACACGTGTTATCGTTAGAAAACAACAGCAGAACCGAGCAACAGAATTAGGTTAGCAGCTCGAGCACAGACGCTCAAAAGTTACATAAATGTCAGAATAACAAATAGGAGAAAACTAATTACTAGCTTTTGTAGCTCAGTATAATATAGGACAGGACACGTATTTAAGGCTGGCAATTTACAAAACAAGCAAGGAAAACAATATATAAGAAGCCAAGATGAGAAAAGATTAAATAATATTTTGTTTAAGAATAAATACATTTGGATATTGACAATTTTCAGATCATTGGTGATTTACACTGAAAACTCCCTGTAACTGTTGACACCTGTACTACAGCCGTCGACTTTTTATTGTGTAAGGTATTGTCAAAGTTTATATGGTCAGCCACCTCATAACACCACCTATAAGAGATGCAGTTGTAGCAGCAGCTTCACCGTACAGTAAGACAGCAAGTGTAAGTCTCCGTGGACTGAAGATGGCAGCCAGGGAGACGCTGAAACCTCTGCTGCTCACCAAAGACAGACGTTAGACACTGAGGTCCTGAGTCATCGCACTAACTCATGTGAACTTTTTTTTTGTGCCTTACAGTTTGTCGCCCACTTGTCAGAGCCCCTTGTTGAGTCCATGCAGCCCCTGCAGCCCCTGCAGCCCCTTACAGACCCTGCATCCCTGGAGGTAAGGTGGTCACATTGCGTGCAGACGGTTAAATGACGTTGGTAAAAGTCTAGCATCAATGGGCTCATTCATGACGACAGCAATAATTAGCTGATTCATGTAATAGGTCTTTTGTCTGATTAGACAAAGCCTTAACAGAGTGTATTCTTCTGTGATGTACAGGAGAGCTTCATATTTATCCAGAATGGGAAACACTAAGGGGGAGCCATTGTGTCGCAGCACCACAAGTCACTTCATTAACATACAGTATACGTACAGCAGCACTGTGGATTTGTTTTCTTGGAGTACCATTTATGTTAAGATGCTGTGAATAAAATTACTAGAACATCATATTGTACTGTACGTGATCACCACGGTCCAGATGATTTACATCATGTCTGGTCTTTTTTAACAAAAGATTATTTAGCTACTGAGGGCTGAGTGGGTTTATTCAGAGAATATGATATAATGACGCACACATACACACACTTTTCTGACTTTACCTGAATCGTTTTCTATTAGGTTTAAAACTCATTGTCATTGCTCCTTTAAATCTGCTGCTTTTTTAGCGAAACCGATGACATTTCGTTCCAGTGAACGTTGCGAAGTTTATGAAACTGAATGCAAAATAAAGGAAGTCTAAAGGAAGTGATAAAGGGTTGAATATATTAGACTAAGAACTCAATTTCAGTACTACCATCAAAATTGTTTGATCAACTTGATCCATTATATAAAACAGGTACACTGCATTTGGGATTTAGAATCTTTGGGTTGTGCAAGATGTCTGTGTTTGTGAGTGTTTCACCCTTTTGGCCTGCTGACACATCTCCAAACTGGAGCACATATCCGAACTGTTAAAAGTATTTTCAAAAAGGGCAAAAATAAATAAATTGCTTTGCACAAGGCACAGAATTCAATCCCAAGTAAATCTGTGAAGTGAGGAACAGAAAGTCCTAAAATCTGGAGGAGCTTTAGAGATTTGCAAAAGAGAAATAATCTGGAGACTTGCTAGTTGAAAACTGCCACAGTGGTACACAAGTGACACAAAAGGGCTAAATAATTACAAAAAAAAAATAAAATAAAAAGAATTAGTATTTTCCTTCATGAACGTTTAATTGTCTTGATTTCATAAACAGAGCTCATTTGTCTAGAACACCATATTAAGAAGAATACATTTTTAATCATTTAAATTCTACATCAGGTTATCATTGCTATGGTTATTACAGCATTAAAAATCAGACATAGATGTCAATACACAGTTAGACTCTTTATGAGTCTCCCTCATCATCGGCTGTTGAATTTGAAAAATGTCATAAACCTATCCACTTATTTTGTGTTGTTTTTGTGGAATATTGTGCTTATGTTTCTCCAGTAAAGAGATATCACTTATTAGTTGTCTCCAAGTCTATGTTGGTTGCTTGGCAACGGTGCTGGGTGCTGTGGAGGAAGGCAACACTGCAAACAGAGGCGGCTCCATCCAGCATGTCTCTGGATGTGAGTGCTGTGAGGCCATCGCCATAATTAAACCCATTGGATTTGGGAGAAAATTAGAAAAAGATACATTATTTTGTGCAATTATAACTCATTTGTTTTGTAATACCACACCGCTGCAGGGTGTACCATGTTGACATTATTCCTTAGTCATTTCTCATTAAAGAGCAAACCCACACGACCACAACTATCGCTACTTTTTTGCATGGCAGTCATTTGCTTTCTTACATGTTACACTTACAACTAACACGTAGTTGTAAGGTTAATTTCACGAACTCAAAATTAGTGAGATTATAATGCTAAAGCAGACTCCGTTACAGAAGAAATAACCAAAAAGATTAGTAAAAAAGTAAGATATATATTTCATGAAACATCACAACAAACCAGCTGCATTAATAAAAAAACATTGTTCAAATCTATTAAAATTATAGCATGGGTAATTGTTTAACGTCTCAAACAGGGTGATATACAAAGGAATGTACCACTATGTGAAAAGTTACTCGTTGCCCCCCTTTTTTCGAGACCTTACATGGTACGACCCAACGGCATCTGCTGATACTTTCATGTCCATGGGAAATTACTATTTCGGAATGTTAATGTGTAAGTAAAGTGGAGAAAAGTGGAGTGTTTCTGTGGCAATGGTACTATTTTTACACCGACAAAGTGGAGTGTAATGGTTCATGAATGCAACAAAGAAAACATCACACCAGGAGAATGTTTAAATTGCGACATCTAACGTTTGCAGTGCTGTTTAGACCTTTCATTTCAGAGTTTGTTAACTGCGTTTGAATCTAATGAGCAAAAGTAAAAAAGCAAAATGCTACATGTACCTGTATTTATGGAACACAATTCAAAACGACAGAAATATCGTTCTTCAACCGTTTGTTCTCCAAGGTAGCGTGCAGTACTTGAACGCACCATCAGCTCCTGCTTTCACAGGCGCACACGCACAGAAACGCGCTCGCTGCGCACACACGGTGCGTTTGGCTAAAATAAAGTGAGGTGCCTCTGCACCAGTGTGAACGACATGGAGACGGTGTTTCGTGAAGCAGGCTTTGGTATACAATAGACTCCCGGAGCATGTAACCGCAACCGGGCAGCCGCTGTGAAAGGGAACCCGGCTTTTAACACAAAAAAATCAACCGCCTATTCAGAGAGACGATGGAGGGAAGAACGGCAGCACTATCTGCGGCCGCGGGGCGCGGGGGTGAAACTCAGCCGTGCCGGGTCAGAACAAGTCGCATTTCATGCCTGGATCGTTGCTAAAGCGCTCAAAGAGGTAGTTGATGTGGCACATGGAGACTGAACTCCACTAACCATACAGTCATTGCTTTATTTACATTTTCAGACAATGTTTCATTAATGTTTGGAAGATGTGGCGTTCGTTTTCTGGCGACGTTTTCTTTAAGTTTAAACAAATGAAGCTAGCTTCTCTGGGAAAGTTAATCCTGACGGAGCCAGTCGATACTTTGCTGCTTTGTTAGCCCAGATCCAACAAAAAAGAAGACTAAAACCCCCGATTTGCATCGAGTATCAGATTAGAATTTCTGTATTGAGCATCTACTTAGAATTCTTAGTGATACTGAATGTAACATTTCAGCAGCAAAGACACCAGTAACACCAGTGAAACTAGATCTTGCTACACTGTAGTAGTTAAAAACTATTCACGTTAATGTACAGTATATCGTTTCAGTATTTAACTCATTATCATTTTGTAATTTACCTTGGTATGAAGTGGTTGTTAGTAACTTTTTTTTCGTTATTGACTTATGGTATTAGTGGTAACACTAATTGAAAACATTTGAATACAACAGTAAGGACTGATTTAAATTAAGCGACTCCCATGTCAACAGGTTGCGGTAGAAAACACAACTTATTGGCCAATAAGAAGACAGATCATCCTGGAAAACAATTGGCCAATAAGAAGACAGATCATCCTGATCTGTTCTCATATGAAACTACACACTATTGTCTCCTATATATTTTGTTGTTGTTGTTGTTTTTTTTTGCCCTAAACTTTAAGGGACGACTCTCAGCAGATCTGACTCTTTATGGTTTGCTTACTTGCTAACAGCTAACAGATTAAATGAAATGGCCCAATATTAACAACAATATTAACGACGTCAAGGCTCCAGTGAGACATAGTTTTGACCAACACTAGCCATGTTGGGTGCGCATTTACTTTAGAATAAAACAATAAAGAAAATAGGGAAATGTTTATTTTACTTTTTAAGTTGCTTCAGTCAGATTGACCTGATGTTAGTTCTATATCTGCTCAGTTTATAATCCACCTGTTTTACCTCCTTTATAATCTGTTCACCCAGAGGTCATGGACAGTTTTTTAAGTGAATGCACTGAGTTAGCTCCCCCTATTGAAGACTGCAGCATTAATTAACACACAGAGTCACTCCAGAGTTGTGGACATCTGTGGCTCCAGCTGGGCCTGCTGTTACTGTCAGTACGAACATACACACACACACACACACACTCTTCTGTTTAGTCTGTTGTGGGGACAGTCTGTTTTTGTTCGAGCTATCAGTCCTCATCTGTCGTGACCATGCTGGTGTTTCATGCATTTTCCTGCAGATTACAGTTGTGGTTGCGTAACTCCATGTTAAGTCACAGTTGCACTAAAGGCAGAAGTAATCTTATGGGTTGATATAATTCCACCAGCAGAGAGCTCCGCATCCCACTCCTCTTTGTTTTCTAATCACAGTTCACAGGGTCACGTACTGTATGTTGTGGAATTATTACAAAATTCAAGTTTTGAGATACTATATTGACCAGATTTAGATTGATGATCAGTAACGTAGAGGAACTCTTGACGGCACCACCTCTTCCTCCTCTGTAAATATGTCCGCAACCTAAAGGTAATGGTTAAATTTATGACATTATCTTTAATAATCTGACTGGTCATTAGGTTGATACAATGCAGAAAAAAAAAACACAAATGTTTTTTTTTTCTCCACAAAGATTTGTCATACAGAAAACATTCACCTACAACGTGATGAAATTGAGGAACTTTTTTTTAAAAATCTCTCAAATGTTCTTTGTCTTTGACAAAAAAACTTGTCTTATGAGGAAGTGTTGTTGCCGTCTTGTCGCTGATGCACCATAGTATTAAACTATGAATGCTAGAAACATATCAACAAGTCATATAAAAACCTTATGTAATTTTATATTATTTTATTAGTAAGATTTTTTACACTTTTCATAACCATACTTAAACTCTTTAACAATTATTGTTTAAAATACATTGACCATAATAACCATAGCATTTCTATGTTTTTCCACATTATTTTCATTTAATTATTAATTTGTCATGTTCAACAATTGACTGACTCGGTTGTGGGTGCAAGCTATGTGGGGATATTTAATGTCTTGTGCATAATACTGACAACACTGACTGAAATGATTTTACCATAAAAACAAATGCCAGCAATGATTTACTGCTGTGATAATTCAATATAACATGAAACAAAATTGAAGCTGAAATAAAAATCAGGCAGAACATCAACACAACACACACATAGGACTAAATTGTTGTCTATGGGCATGAATTCAATATTTAAAGGAAAGACCAATTTTTCATGTTGACCTTTTTTTAGTTAGAATCTTTAGACATTCATTGTTGCACAACTGTAAAGGAAACAAAGCAGATACTGAACCTAGTGTATCTTTCCAAAAAGTATAAGCTAGCTTTGTGTGGCATCATCGGAGGTGTGAAGGTTTGGGTTACAGTTCACACCTTTGTTCACCTCCTGCCCTAGATGTTTGAAATAGATGTTTGTTTTTGCACTTACGTGAAAACTTACGGGAAAATCTTTGTCCATTTACACACAAGAACAAGCATGTTTAAATCCTGCTTTTGTTTTTGGGACAGCACAAAACAAAAATCTAACCTGTGTTTGGAATCTGGTGACTACACTATCACTAATTATAACAGATTTAGTCCAGACAACAGTATGAAACAGAACATGGTTGATGTTGAAGAAAAAACACACACACAGACGTGTGTTTTAATGTTGTTTTCACGGACTTCACAAAAATAATTAGGGACTAACAGCTGATGATCATCGGTCATGCTTCTTCCTAATCTGTGCAGCGCTGCTGTCTTATATGTCTCTGAGTTGTCAATCTGCTGCTCACTTGACAAACACTCAATGAGAACCACAACCTGAGACACCGTGTGAGTCAAACCTGTAATTCTAGGCCTGAGGACTCAGAGCCAAAAGGATTAAACCCCGGCTTAAAGGGACACGCCAAAACCTTCTGCATTAACGTGCCTCAGTATCACTGAAGGTGTGCGAAACTCTCCATAGTATCTAAAGTGTATTAAATGATCATTTTAAATGGGATGTAATCACACAGGTGACAGAAATTGTGATGAATACACCATTCGGAGTCAAAATCAAAGTCTCTCTCATGATTTCCCTGCATTTTATTATTCAAATCTGCACATCGACAACCAAAAGTTGTAAAGCAGAACATTTACGTTTGTGTAAATTGGAACTACTTAACTACATAATGCAAACCAATTCACTGAATTTTATTTAACCAGATTTAACAAAACGTGTGTCCCAGCTGTCAGGCTTTTCAATTGTGTATATCTTTCTGCTGTAAATTCTCCAGCTGTCGCAGCAGCAACAGGAAGAGCCTCGGCGTCGGCACACCATCACCCACCCTGTCCCGGCCACTGTCTCCGCTCTCTCTCCACACCGGTGAGCAGTCTTAACATTTTGTTATTATGTTTTATGTCATGTTATCAGAACTGCTATGTAAAACATGTGAAATATAACAGGTTAATACCAGACTAATAATGGAGCTGAAAAGTATGGCTTGATATATTCTTTACACGCAGAGCAAAGCTCTGCTCACAGAAGTATCAAACATATTATTTTTGTGTGTTTTTGTAGCCACACTGGACTCTTTTGTTGTCGGAGCAAACATAAAGCAAGTCCGAGCTGTTTCTGTTTCTATTTTTAACAATATCAATCAGTCTACAGTTCCTCATGGTACATGTGTCAGTCGTGTCAGTTAGCCTCTCAGTCCTAGACTTACTTACTGCCCTGTGCCTGTGAGGCTGGTCTGATGCAAGCTGGACGTCTGACCTGAAGTTGAAGACTTAAGATTTGCTGAAAGATAAGCTTTGGTGAAATTAAAACTTTTTTTCCAGTGTTGTGTTCAAATATCAACATCTGTATTGACTGTGTATTAAAGCAACGATAAGTAGATGCAGGGTGAAATTATTAGATATGCAGCGTGCATCATTTTCCCCATGCGGTGAAATGTGTGAATTTTTAATGTGATTAGTTTAACAAGTTATTTAACAATTTAATTTTTTATCCCTAATTATTGTCAATTTAAATTCCATATAGTTATCATTTATTAGCAGCCCTCCTGTTTGTCTCCTTCACTCGTTCCCCTGTTTACAGGCTGTAGATTAAGTTGCTCTTAAGAAATAGAAATATTGTATAGAAACCTCAAATAACTGGACAATGGGTAAATGATTAAAAATAATAAATAATTCAATATGTTGTAGGGAAGTGAGAAAATATTGATACGCCAATATATTGTGATATTTCTTTTTGTGATAATGTATCAATATTCTAAAGCACTGTATTGATTTTCTTTTCTTTTTTAAATTAACAGTTAACATGCAAATATTCATGGCTTTGGTTCATTTGATTTTGCTTTTATTTCTTTTCTAGTGATTACACATGTACATCCCTCAGTTCCTCAGTACATCACAGAATATTGCAATATATCATATCGTCGCCCCTGTATCGTATTGACAAATGTTTTCCAATACACACCCCTAAAATGTTGAGTCTGATGATTTATGTGATCATGAAGGAACTGGAAAATAGTATCATTTGACAGAGGCCTGCGGCCAAAATGATGACGGAGATGGTTGCGGTGTGTCACTGTTGAGTCTTTCTGCAAACATGACTAAATGTTCGACTTTAAGCAGGTGATCGTGAATACCTGGAAAAATAAACCCTGAGATACTTTGTTTACTCAAATGATTTTGTGAACAAGTGGCACAATGTGCATCTCTCTTGGGTCTGGGCAAGTTTTTTCTTTTTCTTTTTTTCTAACTTAATAGCTTAACAGCTTGTTGTTTCTTCACATTATACTGTCAACAAGACAGTACAATGTGTATTATAATTCAAGAATATTTTGCATAAGAGTATATTTAAGCTGTTTAAAAAGTGTTTTAATCTAGGAGTTTTTACTGTTTTTTTTTTTTTTTTTTAGTGATCAGCCTGCGCTTATGTAATGTTAACGTTTAAGACACACAAGTGTAGAAAAGTGAGACGATAGCTGGGAGAGGGGTCATCTTTATATAGTTGGGGTCGTTCTGGTGCATTATAACAATAGCACATTAAATTTTAAGCTTCTTAAAGCTATGAAGCAGATGCATTCCATGGAGTTCAGTTATTCTTCAGGAGCTCCTAACACCAGCTGTACAGTATGTGCATGTGCTCCCCCTTGAACTCAATCAAGCCGAGGATTATCTAATCACAGAGAGTTATCGGCCTGTAATTGGTCACTCATCCCCCTGAACGTGGAAGAACCACAGTGGAGTCAGACCTTTAATTAAGTGTATTCTCAGATGGGGTATGTGCTGCAGATTTTGCTGTATTCTTCTGTATTCAGATGGGGTATGTGCTGCAGATTTTGGAAAATGTAATACCAGGATGATGATGACGATGATGATGTTGATGATGATGTTGATGTTGATGTTGATACACACACACATTAAGGCCCTGAATGAGTGTTTGCACACAGATATGATGTCAATCTTTTGGAAAATGTCCATGTGTGAGTGGAGGAACATTGTCTTCTCTGTCCTTTTTAAGGTTATTACTCCAGTTATAAATAATGTGGGGAGTAATGTTGTCTTTTTTATTTTTTTTATTTCAGCTGCGAGCAGCCCTCTAGACAGCCCCCGAAATGTGTCGACCAGTGGCTGCCTCAATTTTCCATTTGCTCGGAGGTATGTCAACACTGCTCTGTTTAATCACTTCACCCTGAGAGATGTATTTGTTTTGGCAGAACGGTTGAAAGAAACAAACAAACGCAACTAACGACATTAAACCAAATATAAACTCCCAACCACAATAATTTGTGCTGGAGTTTGAGTGATCCCTGTTTCTTTAAGCTGATTTTTTCTTTTTTATTATAAATTTAGTCAGCTAAAACACTGCTAACAAAAACATAAGAAGTTGATTCTTTTTCATCGGAATATTTATAAAAATTTAGAACTTCAGAATCATGGAACATTTTGAACCAAATATAAATAAATATAATTGTTTTCCAGATTCTGGCTAGAACCGTTTCTTTTGTAACTTTTTCAGACAGACAGTTTAGGTTCACTGCTGCAGGGCAGCTCCACTTCAACAGGTTTAGACAAACATGAATGGACGACAAACCCTAAGAGATTTAAGATTCTGTACTGATGTTGAGTCACCAGATCAACTAAATTATTAAAACCAGCTGTAGCATGAATAAAACACATACAACCACATAATAACACATGTTGTGCTAATAATGAGCGGTGTCGAATATTGAGTCTTAGATATGAAATCTTTGTCTATAAATTATTTGTGAACTTTCAGCAGCCAATTCACAATCCACAACCAACTGTCTGTTTAATTTACATAAATGTACACTTAATGTTTTGTACTTAAAAGGAAAACTTTCTCATCATCTCTGAACAGGTTAAAAGTTTACAGAATGCTTGCCTGTTGTTGAGTCATAAACAATAAAGGAACCTGCTTTCAAAGAGCTGGAAGGGGGTGGGGGCTTTCTGTGACCTAGATGTTTTTTTGTCTTCTTATTACTGTCTGTCGGGTAACGTGCAGAACATTTCCACCTGTATGTGTGCAGGGGGAAAAAAAACTGTGGTCTGACCCCCTGGTTGTGATGGTTGTGGTTTTTCTATCCCTTATACTGTTGAAGTGGCTTATAGAGCTTTGACACCTGCATTTCCACGTGTCCACACACACACACACACACACACACACACTTTCCCCTGCAGATCTTCTTACAGCCGCCCCCATCTCAACAATGTCAGTACAGTTAGACAGTGCTTCCCCCTGAAGCCCACTCACACCCCACTCTTCAGACAGGTGAGGTAGAACCTGGGAAACAGGGAAGAAGTACCGTCAAGACAAACCCACGAGTTGGTCACAAACATGAGAACAAGAAAGCTGCTCTGAATACGTTTGCAGTTAATATGAAGATAGATACATGATTCGTGTCTTATTACTTCGTTGACAGGATTATCAGTTGCACAGACACGTTTGTCTTAAAGCTTAATAGTGGTGACTCTGTAGCTGACACGTCAGAGAGTGTTTACCCTGTTCTCTGGAACCCCCCTAATGGTTACCTGCTGTTTCATTTGATTCATTTAGTTTTAGTAAATGTGGCTTAAATTGAAACAAAAGCCCATTTTAAAAAACTCACTAGGACACAGATTTTTAAAATAAAATCCAAACTTAAAACTAAATTTTTTTGCTTTTCTCTTTATCTCTTCTGCTGTCGTGATCTCAGCCACTTGGCTCGGGCTGACAGGTAGATTGTTGTTGTTGTTGTTGTTTTTAACACTCATAATCAAAAGTGCCTTGTTTTTCATCGACTTCCTTACATTTTTATGAAGCAGCTCTGGCTGAAATGTCACAAATGTACTTCATTTTTTTGAAGTAATTTGGATCAAAGCATTGTTGTCATGCTCGGATCACTTACATCATCTGTTATGTAAGGACTTTGAGATGTGAAGTGCTGTCTGATGCTGGTTTAGCTGCAGCTTATGTAACTTACACGTCTGTTCTTCCCTAGAGCTGAGGGCAGGAGATGGTCCCTGGCGTCTCTTCCTTCCTCTGGTTATGGAACCAACCCACCAAGCTCCACTGTTTCAGTAAGTCACCACACTGTCTTCCCCACTAGAGATGTGTCTGCCAGGCAGCTCCAGCACCTCACTCAACCCCAGCATCTAACACATTCAGTTATGCAATAAAAGTAAGCAAATGAAAAGACTGAGTCATCCATTTTTTTTTTTTTTCGTATGGTCCACTTTAATGAGTCATCCTCCCAGTCTAGGGAACAGCAGTGAGGATTCAGTATATTCCATGTTGTCCTATAACATGCCATTTTTATTATGATCACTTTCATATGTGATCATAACAGTTAATTCAAGCTCTCAAACTGTCACAATCATGAAGACAAAAACAAAAGGACAAAATATTTTTTGACTTGGGTCTCAAGCATCAGTGTCGAGGGTAAAAAAAATTGAATTAATTTGAAAACTTTTACCGAAAAGAAAATGATTTGTCTAGAATTTAACTTCTTTATTTGTCTTCTTTTATACCATTCATCGTAGTTCTGTGTTGACTCAGTAGTACTATAGTCCATGTGGTAAAACGTCATCCATGTGCAGCTCTAGGGCTGTAAGGAACTTTATTGGGCAGGTCATGGCCACAGCCTCAGAGGTCACTGGGCTACAATGAGGCTCTTCAGTGGCTTTCACTGCCCTCTTTATATGGACCGTCATTAGAGAGACTTCACAGATGTTGTCCCTCTGATCCCCCTCCGTCCCTCCTCCCATCTCTGTCTACGACACATGGACACATGCATAATCAGACAGATTCCAATCAACATACAGCTGTGTGTCCTGTGTATGTTCACATAATGACTTCCCAGAGAAACATTACAACCACGTGTCTGTGTGAACTATATTCATTATAAAGTTAAACTTCACTCTGCATGAGAGGAGTATTGTTATTGTAATGTATTGTAATTATTATAATGACAAATAAATGGTTTGTATGTTGGTAATCAGGGTGGTTAAGATTGTTAGTTCAGTAATATTCGTTTCTTTTTTTTTAAATAATGCATTTTTTTCATAAATGTAATGTTTAATTTCATTAATTAATATTTATAATTAAATTTATATTTATAAATATTTGTAATAATTAATATCTCAACGCACTGTAGTTGATACAGAAAGGCTAATATATGTGATAATCTCAGTTTATATAAATATATGATGAAAATGTAGATATCAGTTGTTGGACACACACACACACACACACACACACATAACTGAACAGAAAGGTAAGCAGCACCTGGAGCAACAAAGCCTCCCTCAAAGTTGACAGAAACATCACCGTCTCCGTTAGCTTTTCATTTAGACGAGATGAAACATCTCTCACTGACGGTTGGCTTTCCACCAATGAAAACTTCAGACGGCAAATAAATTACAGTACAGTGGAGTGTTTCCCTTGAAAATGCAGCCAATCGTGGCTGGTTGTTGTCACTGCCACAAAACAACAAACGATGTGAGAGTCTAAATACTGCCCTTATATTATTATTCTCCTTTCCAGTCGTCCTCATCCTCTCAGGAGCGCCTCCACCAGCTTCCGTACCAGCCGACACAAGATGAGCTGCACTTCCTTTTCAAACATTTCCGCAGCACAGACAGCATGACCGACGAGGATGGAAGGCCCTCAACGGTCAAACGACCTCGATCCAGAAGCCTCAGGTACACAGCACGAAAATGAGCCGGACCAATAGGTTTTCCTGCTCAAAAATAATCTTCATTTAAAAAAAAAAAGTCTCTAGTGTTTGCTTCAAATATGTGGACGTCTGAGTAGAAAATAATTAACCACTTCAATTTTGACTGATTAAAGTGCAGCTGGTCATATTTTATCTGAAAAATATTGTACCTGATATAGCGAAAAGAAAAATGATTGAACTGATTGGACCTGAGTTTTATTTTCTGAAATTCAAAAAACAAAAATCTTTTTCTCATTTTTAGTCCAAGATTAAGAGATAACTTGTGAGAAAATGAATATATTTAGAAAGAAAGACCAGTGTTGATTGTCTGATGTTTTTAATCAACCTGATGTTGAAGTGTCATTACGTCTACAGCGATTATTTAATTAATAATTTAACAAAACACGTCAATTTCACAATATTTGTCTTATCTTAAGGACCAGATGTAAATTCTTTCAATAGAGAAACTATGTAGCAAATCAATGGACTATCAAAAATATTTATTTTCAGGACCTTAGAAAGGCAAACAAAGCCTTTGCTGTCCCAGCTGCCTCTGGTTTCTCGCACATGCCTGGTGTCTGGCAGCTTGACGCAGGTTCATCCGCAGAGCTGTGTGATTCTGACAACTGTTGTCGCTTGGCTCTGCTCTGCGCTGTTTGTGCGATGCTGGAGTGCTCTGTGTTCTGGCACCATGGCGTGCCTTGCGTGGGTGTTTTAGCTAACAGCGCCTCAGGGATCTAGCTGTTGAACTGTAGTCGAGGTGCCGTTGGTTGTAGAGGCATGGGGAGGGGGCTCGCTGCAACGACAGGCACGGTGAGCTGCAGCAGTATGAAGTCTGGCGGCACAAAATGCTGTCCTTTTTCATTATCTAGTTTTTTACCATCTTTCTGTCTTTTTTCAAGCCTTTTTTAATAAATATTTTAATGTAGGGTCAAGCTTCAGTCTGTGGACCGTTTGTCTATTGACTTCATTAATAATTATTGGTTATTGACATTTATCTAGAATTCTATCTCAAGAAAAAAAAATGAATATGGTGATTATTACCTTTTAAAAAAATACTAATCAAATACATGAAGTGCTCTGATGACATAAACAATTTTTTTCTTAAAATAAGCTGCACTGAAAACAAGAACTCCTTTATTAGGTAATATATGGCTCAATTTTTCTATTGACAAAATGGAGATTTATACTGACCACTCCTAACACACACAGCAATCAAGGATTATAAGCTGCATTTGGAGTTTTTTACACTAACGGTTAGTGAAATCGGAACATGAGCTGCAACTTCTGTTGTAGTTGATTTGTTTGTTTATTTGATTAATGCATTTCTAACTTAATAACATATATTATTGATAAGTCCTTAAACCTTAGTTGTCATGATTTTTTTTTTTTTTTTGCAGCCCTGGTCGATCCTGTGTTTCCTATGACAATGAAATAGTCATGATGAACCATGTTTACAGAGAACGGTTCCCAAAGGTACGTACTTCACATCTGAGAATTTACAAATCTTTGTAAAATGTAACACATTTACACGTTCACAAAAAGATTCTACAAGAAAACTAAGATTAAGATGAGCTATGTTTATTCACAGCAGTAACATCTCTTTTGAATTTTTATTAAAGAATTACTTAGTCTTACTAACACAGCACCTTCTTCCTAAGGAAGTTTGACCATAAATCGAATAAGAGAGTCTAAAGTTTTGAAACTCCAGGGTCTCAGCAGGTGGAAAAGACTTAATCCAAGTTAAACTAAAGACCATATGAATCCACCCACAGATATGTAAGAGACATTTGGTTGTGTGGAGAGTAAAAAAACCTGTACACACTGTGTTTGTCTGCTCTCTGCAGGCCACAGCTCAGATGGAGGAGCGCTTGTTGGAGATCGTCACCCACTACTCTCCAGACAGCTCTCTCCCACTGGCTGACGGGGTTCTGGGCTTCATCCAGCACCAGTTGGTGGAGCTGGTCAGAGACTGTCTGGATAAGTCCCAGAAAGGTCTGGTCACGTCACGCTACTTTGCTGAGCTGCAGGAGAACCTGGAGAAGCTGCTGCATGAGGTGGGCTGACATTCAGGAGGGTTCAGAGGGTCCCACAGTATTTTACCATCAGTCAAAATGGTCATAATGCATGTAGACAATTATGAAACAATTAATAACACATTAACTAAGGCGGATGACCTCAAACTCTTCAACTGGTCCACTCTATTGTGATTAGGTTATGCAACCGGATCGATTCCTGGCTTAAATGTCGCTCAATAACTGTCTAATAGCCACAGGCAGACGCACACACAGTTCGGTTTGTAGTGGAAACTGCAAAGTTGAGAGATACTCTCATCGCAGGTCTGATCCTTGTTGTTTTTAAATGTGAGTTTCCATAGCAACCTGTTTCTCTGTTGCTCTGCGTGCTTTCAGACAGAAGGCACGGTGGACTCGCTGTACCTCCAGCTGAGCTGATAAGTCTGTTCCCAGGCAGTGGAACAAATGCTGCCACATTCACACAGACACACTGTATGTTAAGGTCGCTTTGCGAAAAACTCTGTGTGTCAAGGATGAAGTGGCACTTTTTTACTTTTCACAAGTTTAAGTGGTATTTGAGCTGAGTGATACAGTGTTGTTTAGTTGCTCTGTCCAGTGCTTTGGGGAAACCACTGTAGACCATTCATGTAATAAAAGGCAGGAAGTGAAATGGCCAGTGAAGGCACACGAGACTGATGGAAATTCACTGAGGATTGGTCGTGAGACAGGAAGCTAGTTTTCCCTTTAGGGTTACAAGGTCATTTATTAGTAATAATGTCACAACAGAGGAACGAAGAAAGCAGATCTGCTGCACACGTTGGATTCTTTTATAATTGATCTTCAGTCTTTAGTTGTAGTTTTGATGAAGGTATGGAGCATACTTCTGTAGGTGAAGTCATCCTATGAGTATGTCTCTGTGGTTAAAGAGACTAATAGTCTGAAGCAGTGGTTCCATACCATGTTTGCGCCATGGCACATTTTTACTGTCGAAAAATCCCACAAAGTTGTAAGCAGTGAAATGTGTGAATCTTCTTCCTTCTGGATAACTCCAAGTTTACTCCCTCTGTATGACACATGGGCCTGTTTAGTTGAACATACACACAGATATACTAGCTGGAATTGAAGAAAGACACAAACACCAAGATCTCCCGACAGCTTAGTCTCCTTTTATCTTGAATTTTGAAGCCATCTCCTGCCACTTGGTGGAAGACTAGTTCAGTGTTCAGCCTAACACTGTCGTGTAGATGAAGAAATAGTAGTTTTCCGACCAGACCACTAGGGTGCAATGGTTGTTAATCACTGATCCAAAGTTCACCACCTGTAATAAACATATATATATATAAATATTTCTGTAAGTGTGGTAGTGTTGGGGAAAATAGGAGACAAATCTTCACATATGGTAATATATAACTTTGTCTGTTATCTTTGATGGAGGTTGTATACAATCTAAGTGACATGGTTTGATTTGTACTGTACAGATGGTAATTAAACACAGTGGGAGGCAGCACAACTGAGATCGTGTGAACTGTGTGATTGACAGCTGAAACAAGCAGTTTGTGCCTCATGGGAGGTCGTGTTGCACGTCATAATATATTTTACTTCTGAATAAGATGTAAATTCACTGAACTGGCATAATGCTTTAATAGATAGACTGAGTATGAGGAAGGTGAAGTATAATCAAATATTGTCTGGAAAATACTTGAAGTTCTTACTTGAGTACTTAATAGTTTACGAGCCTTAATGAAGCAGTAATTAACTTACTGAGGCTGTTGAGGACTAATCAGGTGATCCTTTCAGGGGTGGCCTCGTCTCAGCCAGCCTGTGTTCTCTGTTCTAATCCCCAGTGCTCAGATGTTCTTCATCCATCTTGTGTTTTTGTTTTGTTTTTCTTATTTCTGTGTTCACACACTGTGGACAGAAATGCACAGAAATACACGCAGCCACCGTTTCCCCAGTACAGTCTGTCACTGCAGCCGTCTTGATGAAAGGCCATCGATGACTCATGTAGACACACACACACACACCCACCGATTATTCTAATACTTCCTTCTGCTTTAATGGGGTGTTTTCTCTGACGCAGTTCTGTCAGACAGGTGTGAGATTTTTCTGAGCATCTGTCTGAAATGAAGACAACATTTATAAACAATTTAATTTGTATTATTATTTAATAATATAATAATAATTATTATTATTAATAATAATATAATTTTAATATTTTCACCCCGGTGCTCAATTTCTTTACTAGTTTACTACTAACAGACTAATATTCATAAAATTTGTAAAGAGGATATATTTTGAATGAATTTCTGATTTTCCTCCTTAATTAAGATTAGTATTTCCTTATCAGTTAGTTCGTAACACTACATGTAAACTTTGTTTGTTTTTTTTTATTTCCACCACTGTTACCAGGCCTTCGAGCGCTCGGAGAGCGAGGAGGTTACCGTCATCACCCAGCTGGCGAGGAAGATCCTCATCATAATCTCTCGGCCGGCTCGCCTCCTTGAATGTTTGGTAAGCCGGCCCTGTCAAGTCTGATTCTGATTTGTCATAGATAATCTCACTCTTAGAAAAATCCTTTTACATGAAATGGAGCTGTGATTGATTATTACTAACTTTGAAAAGGCTTACTGTCAGAAAAAAAAACAACTAAACATACTTTTTATACAGTACACCAGGGTGTCGCTGTCAACTAATTAACTTCAATGTGACTTCAATGTTCTTTTGACAGGAGTTTGATCCAGAGGAGTTTTATCATTTACTGGAGGCAGCAGAGGGCCACGCCAAAGTCGGCCAGGGAATCAAGACTGATATCCCGAGGTACATCATCAGCCAACTGGGTCTGACACGGGACCCATTTGAAGGTACTGTAACTCTGAGATATGAACCTGACTCACAGTACAACCCAGAACGTGTCAATGTAATTATATGTGCTGAAATAAAAACTGTGATACTATAAATCGTTCTTATAATTTAGTTAGATTTTAAAATAGTAAAAAAAAACTTCACGAGTTGTTTAAGAGTGCACAAATCACGCTACGATGCTGTGGCCCAGAAGTGAATCAATCAACACATTTGCTCCTTGTAAACAAAATCTTATAAACTGTGAATATAGCTGTTGCATGTTAAGGGAAGTGTGAGTCTACCAAGCAAACAATAACCAGAGAGTCGGACTAAAATAAGGTTTTAAAGAGTTAAAACTTTATTTTAAATGTTGGGTTTGTCATCTGATGTCATCGTCTAACTGTGTGTCTTGTCCTCTTTATTTCAGACATGGTGCAGCTTGAACAGTATGATGCTGGTCCTTCAGTGTCTGTGGAGCCAGATGTTAATGTGGAGGTAGTTAGCATGTGATCAGTACTCAAGTTTTAGATGAGCTCCGATTACTACTTTTAATACCACAAGACTTTGAGCAGGAACACTTTTTTAGAAAGATGTGCCGATAAACTGCCGTAGCTAACGATAACTTCAGTGTGCATGCTCGCACAATATTTACATTAATTTTAAATTATAGGCTTCAAGTATTGTTATGATTAAAAGCATTGTTTCTGCACAGTTGGTTCACTCTGACCCTGTCAGCCAACGGGAAAAAATAATCACTCTTCACTTGTCTTTCTTGTGTTCAATGGGTCGTCTGCATCCTCTTATGGCTGGCAAACAAATGTTTTGTACATTACTGCCACCTACTGGCTTAAATTGTGTGCCTCTGCTACATGTGTAAAACAAAAATAGGTGAGAGTGATGAGTCACTCAAGATTCGTCCTGTGACTCGCCAAACCTTTACAGAGAAAGACATTAAAATATTCATGTTGAACAAGTAACTTTTAAGTTCGTTCTGATCATGCTAATGTTTCCATCATCAAAAACTGAATTACTGAAATTGAGCTGCTTCCTTTATTTAGAGCAAAGCTCCACAGACTCTGACGCCAACTCGCAGGAAACCTCTGGAAAGTGACTTTGAGACAATCAAACTCATCAGCAACGGGGCGTATGGGTGAGAAGAGAGTGTTTTGGGGGGGGTTAGCATTGGATTGCATCATGACTAAAGTAGGGGTTAACTTCAACAGTCAAACTACATTTTTCATTATGTGATCAAATGTTTATTTCTATTTTCTTTCTCCTCAAAGGGCTGTGTATCTAGTTCGCCACAAGGACACACGCCAGCGTTTTGCTATGAAGAAGATAAATCGGCAAAACCTGGTCCTGAGGAACCAGATCCAGCAGGCGTTCGTGGAGAGAGACATCCTCACGTTTGCGGAGAATCCCTTTGTCGTCTCAATGTTCTGCTCTTTTGAGACCCGGCGTCACCTGTGTATGGTCATGGAGTATGTTGAAGGTAAAATCCAAAAGAGGCCACACAGCCATGAAGAGGGTCATCTCTGTCTGAACATATTGATAAAAGTTTTTTTTTATGTTAAGGTGGTGATTGTGCAAACCTGCTCAAGAACATGGGCCCACTGCCTGTGGAAATGACAAGAATGTACTTTGCTGAAACAGTCCTGGCCCTGGAATATCTTCACAACTATGGCATCGTTCACCGGGACCTGAAGCCTGACAAGTAAGAACAAACTTTATTTTAATTATTGTTTTTTAAATCCTTTTTTATTAAATAATCATTTCATTGACTGGTTTCTACTCATCAGTTTGTTAATCACATCCATGGGTCACATCAAGCTGACGGACTTTGGCTTGTCTAAAATCGGCCTCATGAACATGACCACCAACTTGTACGAGGGTCACATGGAGAAGGACACGAGAGAGTTTGTGGACAAACAGGTAAGACCATGTCAGATGTGAAGTAGACGTATCTCCATGTAAATACAGCAGTCTCTGTTATTTCACCTGGTTGCGCTGGTCTGTGTCGTGCAGGTCTGCGGGACTCCCGAGTACATCGCCCCAGAGGTGATCCTGAGGCAGGGGTACGGGAAGCCTGTGGACTGGTGGGCGATGGGCGTCATCCTCTATGAATTCCTGGTGGGCTGTGTTCCATTCTTTGGAGACACTCCTGAAGAACTTTTTGGTCAAGTTGTCAGTGGTAAGGATTTTAAAATGACTGTAATTTTTTTTTTTTTATTTCATGAAGCGACATTTAAAATGTTTTATCTACAGTAAGCTGTGATTCTCTGGGTCATTTTTTCATCCTTTTATCTACAGATGATATAATTTGGCCAGAAGGAGAAGACGCTTTACCTGTTGATGCTCAGGACTTGATCACCCGCCTGCTGAGACAGAGCCCACTGGACCGACTAGGAACTGGTATTACTCAGTATTTTTCCTACTGGATTTTGGAATTTTGAAATTTGGTGTCTAAGACAATTAGAAAACATTCCTCTAATTTTTTTCTGTGGAAACTCTGATTCCAGGTGGAGCCTCAGAAGTCAAGCAGCATCCTTTCTTCCTTGGTTTGGATTGGAACGGACTCCTGAGACAGAAAGCTGAATTCATCCCTCAGTTGGATTCAGAAGATGACACCAGCTACTTTGACAGTGAGTTAAGGATGAAAATGTACTCTCTGTAATGAATTGATAAAAAATAAACAGTGAGAACATTTCAAAGATTTTTTTGTTTTGTTTTTAGCTATAAACAGTGAGAACAACAACAAAGATTTTTTTGTTTTGTTTTTAGCTCGATCAGAACGCTACCACCACTTGGCGTCTGATGAGGATGAGGAAACAAACGACGAAGAGTCTTCCTTGGAAATCAGACAGTTTTCTTCCTGGTCACATCGCTTCAGCAAGGTAATGACTGCAGCAGAGAGCAGAAAACAAATTTGGTTTGATACTGGATGTGTCCTTTTTTTAAATATTGCACAGAATCCATTAATAACAATAACAATAATAATAATAATAATATTGTCTTTTCTCTTTTTCTTCATCTTAGGTTTACAGCAGCACAGAACACCTGGCCACACCTTCCAACTTGAGTTTTTCCTCTGACCGAAGCCACAGTGAAGAAAAGGACGACCGCAGGGACATGGGAGGACTCAGTCCTTCGCCAGTTCCAGCAGAGGGCAGCACAGAGCACAGACACTTTGGACGCATGGCCAGGTAAGCATAAATTCAAAGTAATCAATGTTAGAAAAGTACTCACCTTGTCTTCCCTGTCATGTACTGCATGACTTCCATTATTTATTGACTTGTTTGTTCTGTAGTTTCTGAGCCTCACTAATCAACATGACTTCCATTATTTATTCTGTAGTTTCTGAGCCTCACTAATCACAGACTAAATCAGAAGCTGATGAGCTGATCAGAACATTTGGAGCAAATTCTACACTTGGATTTAAACTATATCTTGTTTTTTTATGTTGCTACATTGCATATGAAACCCTGTGTTTGTTCTGCTGGTCTGTACACAGCCTGCGTCCCCGGGCCTCCTCCAGCTCCTCCCAGTCGGAGCGGAGCACCAGTCCTCTGGTCATGAGCAGCACCCACAGCCTGGAGACGATGCCTCGCTTCGCCCTCTCCACTGACGACGAAGGTACATGAAACCTCCACTGTTTGTGTAGAGTGATGATGATAACTATTGAGCATATTTCCATTTTAGTTACTCTTGTTTAACCTGTATGTCCTGCAGCTGAGGTGGTCGTTTCAAACCTCCGGAGGATCAGGATTCGGAGCAACAGCACTGGAGCCAAACACTCATCACCCAAAGAACCTGCTGGCCCTCGGCGCTTCGGTAACCAGCTGGACACACCAGACAGACAAAAGCTTCCCTGTGGCGGAAAGGTCCCCAAGTCGGCCTCAGTCTCTGCCCTGTCCCTTATCATTACTCCAGGTACAGAAGCCCACCATCACCTCAGCACAAGTAGGATAAAATAATATGTTGACTTTAATTAGATTTACTTGTTGTCTGATGAATTCCTGTGTGAACACCTGTCACAGATGACTCGCCCGGTGGCCTTCAGCCCAGTCCAATCTCTCCACGCTCTCTTTCCTCCAATCCTTCTTCCCGTGACTCGTCTCCCAGTCGAGACTTTTCGCTCGGCCCCAGCAGCTTGAGGCCGCCCATCGTCATCCACACCTCAGGGAAGAAATTTGGCTTCACCTTGCAGGCCATCCGGGTCTACATGGGCGACAGTGACGTCTATACTGTGCATCACATGGTGTTGGTGGGTATCAGCACAGGTTTTCAAAACACGGGTTTCTATTCCTAACTCTTGACCACAGAAGAACAGTGTTATATAAGAGATTGTGTAACGCTCTTTTATTACTGTCCACATTTGCATTTCTATCAGAGTGTGGAGGAAGATAGCCCAGCGTTCCAGGCAGGTCTGCGCACCGGAGACCTCATCACCCATGTCAACGGAGAATCTGTCCAGGGCCTGGTTCACCCTGAAATGTTGGAATTGCTGCTTAAGGTACAATGACTCTGCTTCACTCTAGGTTCAGGTGATTGTTTCAGACTCTGGATGATCTGTATGTCATTGTCCATGTTTGGTTCAGAGTGGCAGCAAGGTGGTGCTGCAGACCATCGCTCTGGAGAACACGTCAATCAAAGTCGGTCCAGGTCGAAAGAGCAAACACAAAGGCAAAATGGCCCGTCGTAGCAAGAAGAGTAGGAGGAGAGATAACTACGACAGGTAGGAGTCAAAGTGTGTCCCGGTGTGTGTCTGCTGTCTCTTTGTCTTCTGTGAGACAACTGAAGGGCCCTCCTCTCTTTTGCGTTTACTTGTGGTAAAAAGGTAACTTTTTAAAAATTATCTTATCAAGAGTATCAATGAAGAGTGCTATAGAAACAAAGAAAAGCCTCTTAAATATAAATGTGTCACTTAAACAAACAGCATCTGACTCTTCCTCCTCTGGCTCCCAGGAGACGAAGCATCTTGAAGAAGCTGTCAAAGCAGGGCACGGTGATGCACAGCAGCCGCAGCTTCTCTTCAGGTCTCCATCACTCTGTCTCCTCCAGTGAAAGTCTTCCAGGCTCACCGACACACAGCCTTTCCCCTGGACCTTCTACTCCCTGCAGGAGTCCTGCCCCTGATCATCAAGGCTATGGTTAGTTAGGGTTTGTTTTAGTGTTTTAACCCCTACATGTTACTTTTTGTGTCATTTGACCAGTTATTTCTTTTCCAGAAAACATCTCTCCTCAGAGCACATCTCCTTGCTCCAGCTCTCCCAGTTCACCAGCCGCACACATCCGGCCCAGCTCACTCCACGGCCTGGGCTCCAAGCTCAGCACGCAGCGCTACACCAAGGTGGGCCGGCGGAAGTCGACCAGTAACATCCCCCCCTCACCCCTAGCCTGCAACTCCTCGTCCTCAGCCCAGCCTCTGTCTCCACAGCGCTCTCCCTCTCCTTTACCAAGCTTCACCAAAAGCCTTCACTCTTACCATGGCAAAACTCTGTCACCGCCCACCATCGTCAGGCACATCGTGCGTCCACGCAGCGCCGAACCACCTCGATCTCCCCTGCTGAAGAGGGTACAGTCAGCAGAGAAACTGTCTGGGGTGTATCATGCAGATAAGAAGTCCTACGCCCCCCGGAGGCACACACTGGAGGTGCCATTTTATGGTGAGGCAGATTTACTTGGTGACTCTGAGGCGGAGGGTGCATGTGGAAGCTCCTACATCGGAGCAGATCACAGCAGACTGGGGGGCTACATGGGCTGCCAGAGGGTGAGAGACTCTGGTATTGAACGTTCTGAGCAGCTGGTTGTGATGAGAAAACTCAACCTATCAGAGCGCAGAGACTCCTTTAAGAAGCAGGAGGCCGTGCAGGAGGTTAGCTTTGACGAGCCGGAGGAGAAAACCAGCACCTCGGTGAGCTCGGCTGCACCAGGAGCACAGACACAACCTCAGCAGCAGCACGGGTCATCCTGGATTGTCCCTCCACCACAAACCAGTGGGGAGGTCGAGATGAATCCCATGGTGCGAAGATTCACCCTGGTTCCCCAAATTGCCGTGCAGGGCTCGACAGAGAGCGAGGAGCAGGACGAGTGGGAACCATGTTCAGACAGTGAGGAAACCATAGTCAAAGCCGAGCACGAGGTCAGCATCTCCTCGTCTCAGCAGCAAACGGCAGGACGTCCTCTGACTGACCACAGCTGCAGTCATGTGGCGGGAGCAGCTTCCAGTTGTCCTCAAGCTGCTTCCGAAGTTGCAGGATCAGTGGAGTGCCGAGAGAAACCATCACTAAAAGAACCTCAGAAAAAGTGAAGTGAAGTAAAGTTTTTTGTTTGTTTTTTTTTAGTCTGAGCCAGAAGAACTGAAAGCTATTAGAGAGATGAAAGGGAGTGAGCAAAAATTTTAACTTGAATATGTTTGTACTGTAGGTATTTTTTTTTGTCTTTCTTGTAAATATTAGGCAACATTCTTGTTGTATTTATTTCATTTGATGTAGGAAAGAGGAAAGTTCTCTTGCTTTTGTAGCCAATGCTCAACATTTTTGTATCCATAGATCGTGGCTGTGTGTTTTTTCCTATGAATGTCTATTTTTTTACATTGTTCAAATTTTGGCAGCACAGCCAGAATCGATGTTGCCGATTGTTGCAGGACCAAAAGATATGAAAAGCAAAATTTTATATTTTGACACACTTCACAAAATGATCCTACCAAATCTTCCATTTTGTTTTTGTCAACAGGGGTTTGTGAGGTACACTATGCCTAAAACAAGCTGCTACTCAGTCTGTTGCGTAGTAAAGTTTACATTTGGAAAATGTGCACTAACGTGATTTTTGACGTGACTTTTGTAACCGAATGTTGAAGAGGAAGACATTTGCATCCAATCCAACCCAGGGCTTCTTTGAACAAATGTTTAGCATGTTTATTTTGTACAAATACTGGTGTACAGTTTGAAACAACAAACAGCAACTTTGTTTTAGTGACAACTCACAATAACATAATAATGATTATGTCAAATGAAAAACGGCCTGGATGTCTTTCATACTTCTGCATACCCCCCGGACAGATTTTGACTTTCTTTGTCTTACTTGTTAGTAGCTTTTGGTGGATTTTGTGTTGACTATTGTTTTGTAAATGGATTATGAGCTCTTCCTCCTAAAGACGGCCTTGTGTTCCATGGTGATGCCCTTGCATCCAGTGTCCATGAGCAGATTTTTGAATGATCCAGTCATTTAGTGCAGTCTGATGGAACTGTTTACAGTGAACAAACATGCTGTTCTGTACAAAACTGTTTACAATACTGTAAGTGATTAATCGAATCTCTTTGATACCTGGGGATGAATTTATATTCATGAGTATTACACATGTGTTATGTTTTTGAATATAATAAGTTTAGTACAAAGTTGGGAATAACTAAACAGTTTCACAAGCACGTAAGTTCCAAGGGTTGTTTTGGTTAAAGAAGGCCTCGTTAGAATATAGAAGAATAACCTTGTTTCTTTAGTGGCTGTAGAAAGTGTTGCTGTTGCTTGGTTTGTCTCCACTGGTTCAACGTCTCCTGTAATTTGACTGTTGGAGGTCAACACAAACATTGCTCTCAGCTAATGTTCAACGGACTCTTACTCTCAGTACAAGGGGGCAGATCGAACTTTTGTACTCCTGCATGTGTTTTCCTGTGGACTCTTCAGCTCAGTGCATGCTGCATGACACAAGCACACATTTGTAATACTTGACTGCATGGTATATCGGCGTGGTCGCCCTGTACTGTGTTATCTTGTGAAACAAATAAACTTTTTATTTCACTTTGACTCCTTTCTCTGCGTATTTACTTTGATTCTGCTCCTAGTTGAAATGTTGTGATTTCTGTGGTTTACCACATAGATTGATGATTTGCATTGGCTAAATACATTTTAAAAAATAGAAACAATAGTAACATACCACATAAGTAGTTAATTCTTCACCATTTCCAAGTGTAATTTTGCCAGTACTTTTGTTCATCACCCTTTGTAAATATATATATACCTATAGGACACAACCTCCGCCTGTGATATATATATATATATGTGTGTGTGTGTAAGCTTCCATCTTCATTTCAGAAGTCCATCCTTAATTTCAATGTCGTGCAGCGATTCGGCTTCCAGGCCTGTAGGGGTGGTGTGGTGCTCTGGTGCTGTGAACCGTTATTTCTCACCACAAAAGAAGGTCGGTGTCCTTCACAACAGCTAACATGGCTACTGCTACCAAAATTATACAGCGATGGCGGAATTTACTTGCAAGGGTAAGCGATACAACATTAAAAAAAGGGTTTAATGGGAAACCAGTTTAGGAGTTTCACAGACGTTCCTGACACTGTTAATATGTTGAAAGGGATTATTTAAATTGACTTTAAATAACCGTAATAGGTTAGGATGTATAAACCTACCCGTCGTCAACGTTTCTCAGCGGTTTCCTTTACCAGTCTTTTCTTTCTTTTTTCAGCGGAACCTTCAAGGCAAACTTCAGTTGCGGTATGGTGAGATATCGAAGAGGTGAGCCCTTCAGTCGTGGTAATTTTTCTTTCACCATTTTCATTTCGTTTTTATGCCTCTTAAATCTTAAACATAGCCCTTTCTGTGCTTATTGGTAACTGTTGACGTTTTAGAAGTTACTGGTAGAGTAAAGGCAGCAATTGGTAAATTGACAGATTGACAAAGACCGGATATACTGTATCTATACAGCCTGGGAGTTAGTACTGGCACACACCATTGTTTAATCTCCGGTAAACAGCTTTTAACATTGTACAAAGTTACTAATAAATGTTTCCTCTACCTATAGGACACAGCCTCCGCCTGTGATGCCACTTGGTCCGAGCCACAAATTTGCAAACAACTACTACTGCAGTAGAGACGGACGCAGGGAAGCTGTTCCTGCCACAATTGTCATGTCTGCACAGAAGGCTCTCACTGCTGGCGGGTAGAAGTCTCATTCAGAAAGCAGAATTTAATTTTAAATACTAATGGGCGATATCTCTTCAAACTCTTAAATTTGATTTATTTAGGGAACTTCTGATAAACAGGAGGAAGTAGATTCATTGATGTGCTATATCACATTTTAAGCTTGTATGTGAATATATATATATATATATTTATTGAACACTAATATCACTACAGTTGGATAATTTAACTGTAATCAGCAGAGTAGACCAGGCTACACCAAGTCTACAACACCTCTGGATTCCTGTGTCTAAACCAGTCTAGAGATTCTAGATAAGAATGAAGATCTCTGTAGACTTCTATTAGCATGAAGACATTGAATTGTCCTGAATTATTTTCTTCTGATTTGTCAGTCCTCTAGGGTTTTCAGGATGTATGGTTTTGTCTAATTGTTTGTGTGTTCTTTCTCTTTTATAGCGAAGTTGGCAAAGCTAACAAGACTGCAGTCACACCAGGTGATTTGTATATAGAGCCACCACTCTCTACAGACCAGCCCTACCTCTGAGCAACATGGAAAAACCTTCCAGAATTACAAGTGTTGTTTTCCCCTTCCAGTACAACTGTAGATATCTGACCACAGCAACTGTTGGTTGTATACAGTTCAGTAAACCCTGTGAATAAAATATCATGTGCTTAAATTAGTCTTTTTGGCCATTTTTTCATAGTATAGATTGATCAGTATCATGTGATCATCATCATATGGTTGCTAGATCAGTCTGGAAAAACAAGCAGTGGTTCACTCGTGTGTAACATTTGTACAGCTGAATCTATTTAATTAGTTGAGCTTTAACCTTTAAGAATAAAATAAAAATGTTTAACTAACATATTTATCAGTGATCAAGATTATCCCTAGTGACTAAATAAAAGAGTAAATTTACATTCAGGATTATAAGCGCCATATGTTTAACTTTAGTTCAAAATTTTAATGCCCTTAATCCAATATTAAAGCCAAAATCCAACATAACAAGGTCAGCCAAGTGATAGTTTGATACTTGAGTATCGGTTTACAGAAAGAAAGTCAAAGAATATGCCCCATTTCCATGTTATTTATTCATGAAATAAATGGACAGAGAAAACGTTTCCAACACCAGCATTTCATAAAACATTGATATAAAATCAAAATGAGGAACTCATTTTCTTAAAGCTATTATATTATACACATTTAATCAAGGAAATGAAAAATGAATTTTAAAAAAATAACAGTTTCTATATTGTTTACAATCAAAGAGTTTAAGTATGTACAATAAATTAACTTGTTTTAAATTGTATAGCTGAAACAGAATTTTATATTTATTTCATAAATATGCATGATAAATAAATTTAAAAGTTAAGTCACCAATTCTGATACTGTTTAGGCTAGCAGAGGCAGCTTTGCTGGCCTTGATGGTATGCCACTGCTCAAAGTAGTTTTGGGCTATCATTAATTTGACATAAAAACATGAATTGAATTTCTCATATTCTCGTATAATTTTGGAATATCTGTTTAGCTTCAAAAGTTTCGTTTTTATTTATGCAAAATATATGTAGAATTTTAGGTATGTGCATTATCAATGTTCATAGTATCAATCAAAACCAGTGTTTTGGAATATAATTAAGTTTTAAAATAACTATATATAATACATTATTCATGTGTATTATTATCAGTAGTAGTCGGAGTCGTAGTGGTAGTAGTATTATGTCTTGTTGAGACAGTAAACAAGTTACGGAACATTACGGTTGCCATTCCGATTAAACGGCAGGTTGACAGGGGAAGGCTTCTACGTCATATTTCTGCGACCCCGCGTGCTTGATCTTGGTAGCGGCTGCGAAAGGACGCGGAGCATGGGACATTTAGGAGTATTGTTCATTTTGCTCCTCTGCTCGTGTCTCCGTGCCGGCGGTAAGTTTCTAGAAGGTTCTGCAGTTTCAGGATTGTGAAGGTCCAGACTGTAAGTGCACCGTAGAAGTACAAACACCACGGCTGCAGCGGCTGTCAGTTTGAATGAAGTCTATTTACTACTCCACAACTTTACTGCATAAATAAAACCGGCTTCAGTGAAATTTAAAAATAGACTGACCGTGAACCAGAAGTAAAAAAAAAATTACAATAAAAAGTGTTTTTAACTTTGAACATCTTACTACAATTGGCATTGGTTGACGTCACTAGGTCACGACGTAAATAGTTTCATGTCAATACCTACATATACTTAACTACTGATAATGTTTTTTTTCTAAATACTCGTCACATCACATATTGCAATCACTTTTATTTCAGATGCAATGTATTCAAATATATATTATTTAAACGTTTTTCTTGCAGTTGTAATTTAAAGCTTAGTGCAAACGTTGGTTAACAAACGCTCACCGGTCACTTATTTTGAGTAAACGACCTCCTATATCGTTTCACATCTGTAGTACCTCGAATATTACTACTGTTCCAGATAATCCGATTGAAGAATTTACAACTATGTGCTTTAACAAGAATACGTCGGTTCTATACCTGTAGTAATTAACCGTTATTAAAACTAGATTATAGTAGTTATAAAAAGTACCTGAAAAACTTTTTATGGATAGAAATCCTTAGTTCTTGAGCAGTAAAGTTGTACCACATGTAACAGGTTATTCCAGTTGTTTTATAGTGCTCCCTACAGGGTAAACTTTCTTTTGCATATGTGGTTCAGAGAACGAGCTTACTTTTTGTTCAGACTCCAGTTAGCAACAGTCTTATGTTTATGAAGATACATTAGGAATCTGCGAGTGCAAAGTGCAAATTTCTTTCATGGAGTCCAGAGGATTGTTATGAGGAATGGTAAACAGAGGTTGTCAGCACGTGAAAAGAGTTAGCCATCGGCAACTTGAATATTTCACCTTACAGTACTTATGTTGTGTAAACTCTCACCTTTTCCAGGTCACAAGCAATGTAAAAAAGATGAATTTCCATGCCGCAACAGCCGGTGTATCGCCGGACGTTTTTTGTGCAATGGTGTAAATGATTGTGGCGACAGGAGCGATGAAGATTCCTGTCAGAACTGCACCACCACTGGAGTCTTCTCCTGTGGTAAGTCAGACATTTGTTTACCTGCACATAAACTGTGTGATGGACATTTGGACTGTGCGGACGGACGAGACGAAGACCAGAAGATGTGTGGCATAGTCAAACCTTCTTCACAGTCTTCTGGCACATGTGAAATGTCAGAGTTTCAGTGTGTAGATGGAAATTGCATTCTCCATGCCTGGAGATGTGACAACTCCCCAGACTGCTTTGACGGCAGCGACGAGGTCAACTGTGGTGAGTGACATGAACATTTTTACACTTACACTTTTGACTGAAAATCTAGTAAGAGACAAAAATGTTTTTTTAAAAATGAGAAAGGGCTTTCAGATGTTGTTAAGGTTCCCAACCAGTTTCTTAAAAGCACCATACTGATGCTTTCATTTTATTGGGGCAGCAATAAAAACATATTCCTGCAACTGGATTCCAGTGACCCAGCTAGCTCTGCAGGCCAGGACCAAACTATCTGGACCCCATGTGGGGCTTGATGTGAACAACCGCTGAGTTGAAACACATGCCTCCCAAATTTGATAAAACTACTACAAACAGGTTTCTGTGGCTGACTTTTCTATGGGGTTTTTTCCATACATATCTCAAATGCTATGACACTTTAATGACTGCTCCTACAGATCAGAACGAGTGTCTAGTCAACAATGGAGGCTGTTCACACATCTGTAGTGACGACACGATGGGTTTCCACTGCAGATGCCCTGAGAACATGAGGCTGGTGGGGGGCAGCCAGTGTGAGGGTGAGTGCGTCACCAGAATGTCCTCACCCCAAGACGCATACTTGGAACACTTGTTCTTATTTTATGTTTTATTACTTTTATTATTTATTTTACTTATATTTCATTCTATGAAGTTTGCAGGAAAGCAGATGAATCAGTGGAATATTTAAGCTTATATTTAAAGTTGTTTTTTTTTTAAGCAAAAATATTTCTGCGTTTTTTTGTTCATGACTAAATAAGTTCTCTATAGGGCGGTGAAGTAACAGGTGCGATGAGTTCAAATCAACCTTTTTATATTTACGTTAGAATATATTTGCTTAGGAACACAAAGTCACCACCTGAGTACTTAACTGTCATACACTGCAAATAATGCATTTTTTGTATTGCACATACACAAGCAAAATTCGTTTTCATTAAATAAGTGGTTAATTGATTATCAACAACAAAGTCTTTCATCTACCCTTATTGCGTGACAGTGGTTTTTGTGTTAAGTTAATGCTGAAAATGCGTCACCACCTCATACAACCACACTTAGAAAGATAAAATGTTTTAGTCAAGGCACCTTTATATTTTAGATTTGTCTGCTGTGCCTCAAACTATGAAGTGATGGTGAACTTTTCTCTGCCCAGAGATTGACAGGTGTCTGGAGGCAGACGTTTGTGACCAGCTGTGTATTTACATGAATGGCAACTTCACCTGTGACTGTAGCGAAGGTTATGACATGAATCCAACCAGCACAGGGTGTAAAGCCAAAGGTGAGAAAGGAACAATAACAATGTTCCAGCTGTTTATTTAATAAAATGATATGATGCTATATAACATTTAACACAACGTCATATAATATTAAAATCAATGTAATGCCCAGATTTAATCGGTGTCTCTCAACATTTTAGGCTTCTTTTTTGTCAATTAATTAAATTAAACGTATCTACTTTAGTAATACACAATTTTATGTTCACAACCCTCTGCAATACCTTAACGAACCCCTAGGTGTCGCCGAACCTCTTTGAAAAGCCCTGGATTGAATACTGCACATGTGTATTCTTTGCAATAAAATGTTACATACACACACGTATGTGTGTATGTGTGTGTGTGTGTGTGTGTGTGTATCCTTATACATAAGAAAAACTCTCTTAATGGTAAAAATGTCCTCACGTATGGTTAGTAAATCTTTTTTAACGCTCTTTCTGGACAGATTCTGAATTCCCTTTTTCCCTCCTTTTTAATTACTCCGTTTAAACATCACTCCCCTTCTCAGAACTGAGGTCTATTTTAAGAACGAATTACTGAATTACCCTGGATCAATAAAGTCTTATCTTAAAAAGGACACTTGGCCGACACTCACTAAGCTGACAGAGCAAAGATATTGAAATGGAACTTGTAATTTCCACTGTAGTTTTAAGATAATTTGTCTTGTCATCTAATATCCCAGGAGGTGATGCTCAGATGGTTTTTACCTCATCTGGAGGCTTGAAGTGGACGAGTGTCACCGGAACAGGAAGACAGAACAGGCCACGTCCACCACAGTTGTCAGGAACTGGGAGTTTGGCAGCCTCTGCCTCAAACCGCACACTGTACTGGGCCCCACACGGACAAGGTGCCATATACAGGTACCAGACTGGAGCTGTGATGTGTTTTACTGACGTGTACTTTGTTTGTATAACCTTAACATTCAGCCAAAGTCATCCGGCATCAGGGTTTATCGTATTATAGCTTGTTATCGGAAAGAACCATTGACACGCCTATAATCATACCTAAGGTTCCATGGTCTTTATTAAACACAGTTCGTAACCCCCGTTACAGACAAACATAAACAAGGCGCAAAGTCCACATGCAGTGACGTACTTAATGGATAGGCAAACAGAGCAAATGTTTGATCATTTACTATAGCAGTGCTGTATAATTTTTCATTAGTCACGCAATTTATTTTGCATTACATTCGTAGGAGTAATTAAGGCTATAGTGGTCCAAATGTTTCCTTTGCTATGTTCTTAGTTTGTATCTTAGACATTATCATGGTATAAATACAGGTCCAGATTTGTAAGAATCCCATCATGTTAAATGACTTACTGGTTTATGTTCATTAAAAAGACGAATGTTTTTTTGGTAAAAATGCAAACATAATAATAATATTATCAGATTCATTATCAGATTTGAATTATTAACTTGATGTGCATTAGATGAGGCTCTCTCTCTCTCTCTCTCTCTCTCTCTCTCTTTCTCTCTCTCGAATGGAATTCACAATAAAAGGAATCGGAAATAGAACTGAGCACGCCATTACAAAGCTTTACAAACTCTGTGGCCCACTGGTGCCTTTTTTTTATACTAATAATTGATTGTTCTATTTTATCTGTGCATGTCCTTCAGGGTCTGGATGGATGAAAACCCTCAGAAACCCCTCCTAGTGCTGAAAGTGAAGGGTTCAGTGTCAGCTCTGGCCTTGGACTGGATCCACCGGCTCCTTTACTGGAGCGACGTTGAAGGTGGCTCAGTCAACGTGGTCCTGTTGGACAGTTTGACACAGCATCAGCTGACCTCAGGGCTGGACAGGCCTTCTGCACTGGCTGTGGAGCCGCTCCAGGGGTGAGACAGCGTGAGCAGATTTCACTGTGTGTTAGCGCAAGGGTTTGTACAGATAAAGTGTATGTAAGTTGTCCGCCTCCTCCTGGTTAGTTCCAGGTCACTGCTCATTCACAGTCCTGGTTCACAAGGCCCTTTGTTCTTTACACAATCTCTGTAGTTCAGACAAGCCTTTTACAAAATATCATTTAGATTAGTCACTGCTCATTCACAGTCTTGGTTCACAAGGCCCTTTACACAATCTCTGTAGTTCAGAGAAGCCTTTTACAAAATATCATTTAGATTACCATATTTTCCCGACTATAAGTCACACTTTTTTTACATCCTTTGGATGGTTTTGCGACTTATGCTCAGGTGCGACCTATACATATATTAAAATGTATAATTTTACATGTTTATTTTCACAGCCACTACAGGGCACTTTAGCTGGCTGGTGCAACTTATTCTCCAGAGCGTCTTGTGCAGAGAGTCTCATATTTCATTCATATTTAGTCATTTAGTCACTCCTGAGCATGACAAATGCCAGTGGCTGTCTACAACCTAGACAGGTAAGATTCCTAATGATTTAAGCTGGAATTTTAAGCTTTAAACAAAAGCAATAGCGAGATCAGTTGATATAACAATGGCGCATAGCAACAGATCAGATCTTTTATGACATTGAACATGCGACAACAACAGAACTGCTGTACAATAGTAAAAAAAAAACAAAAACAAGAAAGATTAAAAACATCCTCAACAACAACGAATATTAATACACAATAAGAAGTCACTTAAATAAAGCTTATGTAACAGAGAAGAGCATGATCGCATTTTAGGTTGTGTGGAGATGATGACGATACCTTATCAGAGCTGCTTTCGTTTTCTCAGGCTGCTCTTCTGGGCTCAGTGTGGCAGCTTCCCAAAGATAGAGAGGTCTGCTCTTGATGGACGAGACAGACTGGCTTTGGTCACGTCATACATTCACTGCCCTTCTGCCCTGTCTTTAGGTATGACACTGGTTTGGCTCCTGTTTTATTATCAAAGTTTCGCTTGATGCATAACAGGGTATTTGAGCTTGTGGTGTTATCGCAGCATCATAAAAACACTGGTCTGCTTCTCACGACATAGACACATAGACTTTCTGGGATCTTTGTTCTTTAGTATTCCAACATAGTTTGTGTTTTGGTCTTGACTTATCTTGACTTAAAATCAAAGCCTTCTACACCAGTGAGTTGGGAAATATTTCAGTGAAACAAGGTCTTCAAACTGAAACTGTTAGACAGTTGTTGATGAACTTAATGATAAAATAAATGAAAATTATATATATATATATGTCTCCTTCCTGCAGTTAAACAGAGTCACTGTTTTTGGGTGCATTTGAATAAAGTATCGACTGATGCACGACCTTTGTTTCTGTAGACATGCCTCGTCAGCTGCTGTACTGGGCCGACGAGGGAAGGAGAAGCATCTCCAGAGTGAATTTAAAAGGCCAGAATCGCAAAACAGTGGTGGAGTCCAACGGCTACCTGGACCGACCCTTTGGCCTGGCTGTGTTTGAAGTAAGAAAATAAGAATAAAAACGAATTTCTTTATTCTTTATTTAACCTTTATGTTTTTCTTTTTTTAACCTGCTGTTTGCACTCAGGGCTTTGTGTACTGGAGTGACAAAGTGACTCAATCCATCTGCAGAGCAAACAAACACAATGGCAGCCAACTCCTCGTACTACTGAAAGATCTGACCTCACCTGGTGTTTTGACCATTATCCAGCCTGCTCTTCAGCCACATGGTAACACCTGTTTATATACTGTATATACATACACACATATATATGTATATATATATATATATTTATATATATATATATATATTTATATATATATATATATATAAATATATATATATATATATATTTATATATATATATATATATATACACATACATATACATACATATACATATATGCCCACGTACCAGCGTGCCTGGTTTAACAGAAAATTAGATTTGACAGACTGAACACACTGTCTTTGCTCTCAGGACCATCTGTGTGTGGACACGCAGTCTGTGGCGATGACTGTGTCGTCAGCCTGAAGTCAGACAGACTAGACTTCAGCTGCATTTCTACAGAGAAGGGAGATAATAAATCCCGAGAAGACTCAACCCTCCTTCACGCAGTTCCTGTATCAAGTCGGTCAGACGCCATGTTTGCAGGAATCCTGTCTCTCATCAGTAAGATTGTTTAAACCCCATTATCCAGAACACAAATAAAATAGTAACGTGCTCTCGTAACATTTAAATTTACCTGGGCTATCTGGCTACAAAACTGTTTTCATCCTGTTCATAATTGTCGGGGAATGAAGATAAAATCAGACAATACTAACCTCTCTCCTAAATATTAGGACTGAAACTGAAAGTCGTTTCATAAATTAATAAAAGGAGAAGCTATCAAACTCAAATCTCGCACCACTCATGCCTTGTGCATAAATGAATCAAAGTGCGACCTCGCAGATGTTAGTTATGCATTTGCATACTTTTGACCCTGTTATTGACCAGTTTTATTTAGGTAGTCCATGGGGCCACCAGGTGCACCCAGGCACCACGTTGGTGACCCCTGTCATAGTCAATGACTCGTCAAATTGCAGATTTAATTTATTATTACATCACCTCTTGAGGCAGTAAACTAAATTTCCCAAAGTTATGATTGTATTTCCTGAACAAGAACACATTCTCCACACAACACACTCCCTGGTGCTGGTGTCAGTCAGTGCAAGCTTACCATTACTGTAACGTTGGCAGACCAATGTTCCCCAATGGGAAACGCATCACGGCAAAGTCAGGCTAATGAACATGAAGGTTTAATATTGTGTGCACTTCGTGTCATACCAGCTGCCACCTCTGAGAGAGCTCTATACATGATGTCACTGTCCGCTGAGGTCATCGTAGTCCCTCCCTGCGGTCTGAGTCTTAAACATACAACACTATGTTGTGTTACATTCAGACCTGGGAAGAATCCTTTGCAAAAACTTTGCAAAACACGTGTGCTAAGCTGTGAATGTAGATGTAAATTATTTATGGTTCTTTGTAATTCTCTGCTTTATAAAGACGATACCAGTTAGGAGTCAGTATATGTAGTTTTATCATAGTATTAATTGCTATATTTAACACAGCGTAATTGTAGTTTATGTTTGAGAAAAAAATATGCTTTTGGTGTAATGTTGAAAATGAGGTCTTGTTAATGCTGTTATGTTGATGAATGCTTGTGTGCGTGTCGTAGCGTTTCTCAGCCTGCTGCTAGTGGGAATGGCTGTTTGGTGGTGGAGGAGGGCATGTGGTCTTTCCCCATCTGTCACCGCTGATAGTTTCTCCCTCGGTCAATCTCAAGATCCACTCATCATCCAGGGGGGCCCTGTGTGTCAAAACTCATGCTCTGTAAAGGTAAGGACAATCTTCAAACACAAACCAGAGCACGGAGTTGGGTTGACTTTATAGTTGTGATCAAGACAAAACCTCGTAACACATGTTTTACAGGTTTCCTGTCATCCTGTCATCAGGTTTTTATTTTCCATTTGTGCATGTAGGCCGACGGTTGTGCAGAGCTCTCAGAGTCAGCAATTTAAGTAATAACATCCGAACAAAGGAAATATAGGAAGAGACATTTAAAGACGGTATGAAGAAAGGAAAAAAATATGGCAATAGAACTATAGTAGGAAAATTACTGGTTTGGGCTGTGGTTGTATTATGTCACATATTGCACTTATGTCATTGTAAGGCATTAGACATTATAAACTTATTGCACATATGTATTGCACACATGGTGTAGCTGTTTGCTCGCTTGCCTCACAAGCATAGAGTCCTGGGTTTCAGTCCACATACAGTACTTGGTGCCTAAGCAGCGCAGCCAGGGTGTGTGCTGCTGTTAGTTATTAGTTATTATTATACAGTATTTGCTCCTCTAGACTGTCACTAATCACTGTTATTGTCATTTAATTTTTAAATAAATATTGTTTGTTTGATGTTTAGTGGCATTATAATTACCCTGCAATTCAAGTCACAGACATTTGTGACTGTGTCACTTCAAGACATTTTTTTCAACCAAGCCATGTTGAAAACAATCTGTAAATTTGCTTGCGATTATTAAGTCTAAAAAATAAAAATAAATATGCCATAGGATATTACAAATTGTTGTTGTGTTTCAGAGTATGGATTGTGGTTAATGAAGCGGATTCATCCAGCAGAGTTAACCAGGATGTTTTCTTTTGTGGTTTCCTTTGCAGACTTTTAATTACTGAAGCAATTGTTTGTTTTCCCTAGATAATCTCACGGCAGTTTCCTTCCTAAGAAATCTGGCTTTGCCTTCTGTCTGTGTGGTTGTAGTGATACTGAGACATGAAAGTGAAGGAAAACACCAGGGGTCATAGGTCAGGTTACAACCGAGAATCTGCAAAGCAAAGATAAAAGTTGTGTTGTTGACCTTTTAGAGGATTTTGTCTGACTCTAACCAAGAAAGTGCAGAAACCTGTTGCACTCTGTCTCTGCAACTGTCAACCAATCACAGTTTTCCCCTTTAAACCTGGTTTTACGATTTGTTGGTTAAGGAAATGAACTTGTGTCATAAAAGGTTGCAGGTTTGAATCCATCAGCCCACTAGTTCCACTAGTTCCACCGTCCCCACACACTGCTGCCCGGGCGCTCGGGTTGGCCCGGCCCCTGCTCACTAATGTGTTGGGTCTAAGGCAAAGGCCAAATATCGTTGTGTGCGGTGGTGTGCTGTGTCACACTGACAAAGAAATCCTTTACATACGTCACAGTTTAAGTGGAAACGTTAACAAGTTATATTCACCCTGAACAATTCTGGGGTCCTGTAGAAAGTTTCAAATGTATTTCAGTATAACAATAGAACAATAGCATGCCAAACATTAAATCTACAGCAAGGCCACATTACTGAGGAGATGAAACCCAGTTCTTCAAAATGGCAAAGAAGAAACCAGCTGTAAACTTTGATGTTGAAAGAGCACCACATGCATCTGTTCTTAGTGCTTAACTCAGAAACTAGGTCGTCTCAAAAATGAGGAAATGTGTCGCTTATCAGAGTGAGACGCTGAGTTGTTCAGTGTTGTCAATCAATCTAGAGAATGTGGTCTGTGCCAGGCCACACGAGGAGGGTGACAATGGAGGAAGAAACTGGTTTTGCACAAGGTCTGTGCGTGTCAGCAGTGGAGTTTAGTTTCACAGTGGTTTCACTGATTATTAAGTAATTATAACTATAACTTGGAATTTTGATCATTAAGTTAGTAGTGCAGTTTAATTTGACAGTCATTATCTCTTCATGATCTGTTCTTTTATAGTAATTAAATGATTACATGTCTTTAAGACCTGGTCTAGTAGCTATGGTTACTGTACCAGTGTTTTTAGCATTTAGCTATTTTTAATGGTTGTAATACTTAAAAAAATGATGACATATTTTTGTGTAAAAGGTTGTGCTCACTACACAGATAGATAGAGCTGAGGACAAAGGCTTAACCAGTGCAGATTGTGGATTAAAGTCCTGTGTTTTCTGCTGCCAGGAAACCCTGATTAAGCTGGACTTGGACAGGAAATGAAGTGACCCAGATGCTCAGATGTCTGCAATGCTACAAGACCTGTCACACTGCTGCCTCCAAGTTCTCACGTCTGCGCACAGTTGGTAAATGCATGCGACCAGGAAGGTGACAAAAAAACAAAGAAAAAAAGATCAGACGATAAACAGATTTATCATCATCTGTGGGCAGTAGGAAGTAAATATTTTCCTAGGTTTTGTAGATAAATGTTTTAAAGTAGCACTTGACCTTTGATACTTACTGTTAGAGCCAGTGTCAGTCTGAGGATCATAGATTGTGGATGCTTTAAAGAGAATTCAACTTGGTGAGTTGGACAAAATTAGAATGAAATGACTTCATGTAAAGGCTTAAACTGACACAGTAATTTATTGAAGAACAGAATAATAATATATTAATTTAGTTTTACATGGTTAATCGTTCACCTTTGTAATCAGCGTAATCACAGGATAGCTGTGGATTACTCATGATTAATCTCAGTCCTAATTATGACAAAAGTAAGTTTGTTTATTTTGCCTTATTTTTTCCTCTATACTAGTGGAAGAGATGTACGTGTTTCACATTAGTTTTTATTTGTGACTGATCCAAATGGTGAAATTATTCATACAGAGAAATGTCAATCAAACCTAAATGGTGACACTGACAAATACATTTGTTGACGTTTTGTGTCAGTTTAGACTTATGCACTTCACAGCGCCGTGTGACAAGTCTCACCAGAAGTTGAAACTCAAAATTTACTCCAGGTGATTAAATAGTACAAATGACTGGACAACATGTCCGCCGTCCTGGTTTTTGAGGTATCAGTTGTCTTGGTGATACTGCCCTCTGATGACACAGGAAGTGGCTGTTCAGGTCTTGTTTTTGACACATACGAGTGATCAATGACTAGAGCTTGTATAGTTGTATAGGAAAACAGCAGATGAAATATATTCTTATTTGAGTTGACTCTCAGATGTGAATTTTTATTTCTGTCTTTGCTTTAAATTTTGCAGTATTGTGTAGTCATTTAGCCCAGGTACTGTGTGTTTTTAGTTGAGGTTGAGTTTTGAGTTGAGTTTTCTTTGTATTTTCCTCTTTGATTTTCGTTGTCTGCTCCTTGTGTCTCAGTGTGACACTTCAAGTAACATACAGTATTAATTATAAAAAAAAAACTTTCTCTGGTCAATTAAGTTTTCCGTTAAACCTCCAGACTCTGGGTTTGAGCCTATTTTGGTTAAAAAAATGCAAAAATGTGCGTCTTCTCTCTAAAAGATGATCACCAAGACTGCTACTGCTCTTTCAGTTTTTATGGTGGCGACAGGAGTTGGACACAACTTTGGAAAATGCTCTTCTACTGTATACTGTCCGAAACAAACACTTGCTTTGGCCTAAGGGCACTGGGCCTGTTGGTTCTTGATGCATATTGGCTGTAAAAATTAAAAAAAGAACATATATATATATATATATATATATGTTCTTTTTTTAATTTTTACAGCCAATATGCATCAAGAACCAACAGGCCCAGTGCCCTTAGGCCAAAGCAAGTGTTTGTTTCGGACAGTATACAGTAGAAGAGCATTTTCCAAAGTTGTGTCCAACTCCTGTCGCCACCATAAAAACTGAAAGAGCAGTAGCAATATATTTAATATATATATTAGGTGGGTCACTGGCAGCATCTGCAAAACTGACATTATCTTTGATCATGACCAATTTGTTTTTGTTGTTGACGTTTTTGCCTTTAAAACTGGAAGTCTGAACCCTGTTGGTGCTGCTGTTGGTAACTCTTTGGTTTGTTTGGTGGCTTTATTTATTTATATCTGTTATTTATGTGATAAACTGTAAAATCCCCGTCAGAGGGTGAGGGTGTGTGAGGTTTATGGTTGGTTGGTGTTGGGTTTTATTTTTGTCTGGGGTGTGTACGGTTTACCGTCTGCACGGTGCATAACTCTGTTAAATGCTGTGAACAAACACAGCCACGTGAGGTAAATGACCTTGATACTACATTCTTCTTTTGTTCCAGAGCAGAGAGAGTTTATGTTTAATTAAAAAAAAGAAATTATGCTAAACTGTTTTCATACTGTCATGTTCTTGATGTGATGATGATGATGTCCATCTGGTACCAATCCAGCTACTGTGGCACTGTACACCTCCAACAACAGTGTGACGATCTCTTCAAAATACGCCCCAGTTTGAAACAAAATGTTATATTTTCCGATACAAAACCGACGGTGAGCAGGTCGGAGTTTCCTCACATGTACAGTCCAGTGGGTTAGAGCTGGTGGCACGTGGTAGCGCCCATGGACTACCTTTCTCAAAATAAACCTAGTCAACAACAGGGCCAAAAACTGCACTGTTACTGTGCTTTCTGAATCAGTCACACCTGCAATGATATTCAAATGGGTCCAATGATGATGGTAAGGTGTCTGCTATTGTATGTCCCAGAACTGATTATATTAATATTGTTCAGGAAGTCTGTATCGGACAAGTAGCTCTTTGTATTACTAAGTGCCCTTGATGCAGCTCTATTTCAAACAGATCGGTAATCCCTGTGTTAGACTGTGTTTATTCTTTTTTGGACTGTTGTGTTTAAAGCTCTTCAAATACTTTCCTCATCTAGTTTGTCTTATTTATGAAATAATCTGCCGAGTATTCCATTTTGTTACGCACCTGCAACTATTGCAAGATTTTTCTCCTGACACGAGGAAATTGACCTCATACCGCATAAAAGCAAATGTTGTCTAACCTAATAAATGACTATTTGTTCTAGCAGGTTAAAACCCTTAAAGTAAATAAGACTTTAATGCTAATCTCACACAGATCACCTCCTATATTTACAACAGTGTGAGGAAACTTGGCAGTGAACCTAAGTGCTAACATCGATGTAATCCCTGCTGCTGCTGCTGCTGCTGCTGCTGCTGCTGCTGCTGCTGCTGCTGCTGCTCACCCTTCCGGTCTAAAGAAGCAAATGTCCACACTTCGTCTCTGTCACAGCTGAAAAATCTTTTCCTTTTATTCCAGCAGATAGCTGAGCTTTGCAAACAGGAAGTGCTGGGATATCACTTCCTGACAGATATGGGGAATTTTTTTGTGATGATTCACCAGGACAGTATTTGCTACTAAAACCCATTTCTTTGTGACTTGTTACACAATTCTATCCATTTTTAAGCAGTCATGGCTGCAGAGCAGGCTCAGCTCCAGAAATGCTCAAATAATCGTCGCTGTACCATCCCTCACGTCTCGGTGTTTATGGAGGACAACAAAACTTTCCCTTTTGTGGAAAAGAATAAATTAAAAGCATGGAATTCAATGGATGACCTCAACAGTGCCTGCAGGAAGTGCTCTAAAGACGGGGATAGATTTAATTGGCAGCAAAACATCAGTGTTAATGTTGGAGGACAAGTGTTCAAAATCCCCAAAGAGTGTGCCGTCAAATACCCTAACACCCGGATCGGCTCTTTGGTTCTCTGCAGCGACAGAACGCAGCTCCTGGCTTGGTGTGACGACTACTCGGTTCAGAAGAATGAGTTCTTCTTTGACCGTGACCCTTCCTTCTTCCACCATATTTGCCATTTCTACACAAGTGGAGTTCTGTGGGTCATTCGGGAGATGTGTCCTATCAACTTTGAAGAGGAAATCGCATACTGGGGCCTGAACCTGAAGGACACTCAACGCTGCTGCTGTATGATGTTCGAGGAGAAGGTGGATGAGGTAAAGGACTACCTGAAGGTGGAGAGGGAGCTAATGGCTGAGGTTGAGGTGAAGTGCTACAATGAGTCCTTTAAGGACATGATCTTTGGGAATGTGAGGAAAACTCTGTGGAATACTGTTGAGTATCCCTACTTTTCAACTGTGGCCAAGGCTTTCAACATTCTCTCAAGTCTACTTGTGCTCTTCTCCATCACGGCAATGACGCTTAGCACTGTAGAGGACCTGCAGATGTATACTGTTCATGGAAAGACCTACATGGACTGGACGGAGATCATCACCATTGTGTTCTTCACCTTTGAATATTTTGCACGCCTCATATCCACACCCAAACTCAGAGTGTTTTTGATGAGCGGACTCAATTTTGTAGACCTGTTGGCCGTGGTTCCTTATTTCTTTCAGCTCATCTTTGAGCTCCTGACTACAGAGGAAGATGGTAGCAGGAAGGACGACTCTGGAGCCATGGCCTGTGTCAACAATATTCAGCAAGCCCTCAAAGTCTTTAAGTTCCTCAGGGTCTTTCGGATTTTTAAGCTAGCTCGACACTCCACCGGCATGAGAGCGTTTGGATTCACTTTGCGTCAGTGTTATCAGCAGGTCTCTTGTATTTTCCTCTTCATCGTTTTAGGAATCTTCATGTTCGCTGCACTCCTGCATTCAGCTGAGAGGGAAACCGAGGGATCCTCCATCAGCAGCATCCCGTACGCGTGGTGGTGGGCCGCTGTACGTATGACAAACGAAGTAGCTTTTAGAATTTATGTTAATCGGTGTGTGGAGATCCTCTTCTCTATTGGCTTACTTCTTGGATTTATATTAACCGTCGTCCACTGTGGTCTCTGCAGAGAGACCGCTCTGAAATTGAAGTCCATTAATCATTCTCTACACCACCAGTGTTTGCAAGTATTTGCAAATCAAATCTGATTTATATTTTGTTCTTTTGAAATTTGTGCACTCAATTCAGTCAATCAACAATCAAGCTACAGTGAACATACAAGTACAAAAATACATAGAAAATAATAATAAATAGTAAAAGTACAGTTGTAGTCATAGTAAGTATGTAGCTAAAAAATAGCTATAAATATTTTTTTCAAACCCACTGGATCAGTGGCTATGGACTACGTTCCAGTTAGAAATGACCTTTGGAACAGCTGTTTGCTGAGTCTTACACACCTTTATTATCCATCTCCTCACTTTGGAGGTCAACAAAAACACGCCTAAGTGTGTTTATAGTAATCGTTTTGTCATACTGTTGACAGCTTTTTATTTGAAGGTAAATATGGCAATTTGCATGAATCATTATCTTGACACAGTCAACAGCTGCTCTATAGGAATAACGTATTATTATAAAAGACAGCTTTTCTGTTAGAAACTCTTATTACTACAAGACTGCAGTTATTTTTGAGCAATTCAGTTTCACTTCTCTATTATGGCCCTTTGCCCTTCCTCCCTGCCCCCACAATAGTCGCTGTGACTCAAAGACTCAGCGTGGGGCGGTTACAAGGCTCTTATTTAACAGTTAGGTTTTCAAGTTTGTGCCTGTTTCCTGTTGTTTGGTGCTGCCTTTTGTCCAGTCCCTTTTCTATCCACTACTGCCCGTAACACACTTTGACAAGGCCTCGACGTTTGTTGGCACCAGAAGCACTTGATAGCAATAACGGAATATAAATACAGTTGCCTTCTACCCACCCCTGCTCTTTCTTTTGTTAAAAAGTCTGTGCCTGAACCCTTTAATCGTAAACTTTCCATGAAAACCTTTCCTAGGTCAGCATCTCTACTGTGGGCTATGGGGATGTGGTTCCTGTAACCGTCCTGGGCCGTCTGGTGGCCTTTGGCTGTATCTCATTTGGTATCATCTTAAATGGTATGCCCATCTCTTTCCTCTTCAACAAGTTCTCGGATTACTATACCAAGCTGACGTCCCAGGAGTACAGCACTACGACAGTGAAGCGGCGTTTTCAGCTGAGGAGGCGTCTCAGACAGCGAATGGACGTGTGTTTCCATCCCTCAGATGTAGGGCGTAGTGGCGGCAACTGCACAGAGTGTAAGGGTAAATGTGGTGGGACTCTATAGATGACAATGACTTGCTTTTACACGTGACTCATTGCTGTAACTCACTGGCAACAGCCACAGGAATGTAAGGACACCGCACGGGGGGACGTTGAGAACACAGAGGAAGTTGAGTCTTAAAAGGAAGTGCAGTACAAATGACCAGTGATGTTTTGGGTTTTCAATTGTTTTGGTTTGTATTTTGACTCAGTGACATGAATGTTGTCAGTTTGCGTTCTTTGCGCGATGCAGTCTAGAGCATTCACCGCGAAAAGGTGTGTGGTTTCAACACATTTATACGAGTACGTTTTTTGTTTGATTTTTTTTTTCTTGAAGGTAATGCCAACCTTTGTAACAATAAACATTGAGGTGTGACCTGCTACATTTGCTCTGCTGTAACACTTTAACGAATATGTCAACATTCCCATTTTTGCTGTACACATCACACAACTATGGTTTAGTCTCACAGTAAAATTCTTAACCCCTTTTTAAATTAACCATGTAGACACAGAGAGCACACAGCAGCGGATTCTTATTTAGAAACAATATGTTGGTAAAGATAACGATTACACTTTAAAAGATTGAAATGGCTCGGTTCTTTGACAGAGTAATTTTTATAAAATCCTGTTATTTCTCCCTGTGTCGTGTAAACAAGTCAGTTTTCATATTTACTGAAAAAAGTAACTCTTTCCATCTCATAGATATCATCCCTGCAGCCAGTAGAACTCCCGTTAGATATGTATCTAGATTTTTAATATTTGGAGAAATGTATCCAAAGTACATGGTTTTAAATTGTAGTGATATGTTTGTCTATTAAAGGTAATGGTAATGGAATTTCACAGGAGGGAGTTAATTTGCTAGCCGTCGTGCTCTGTTTGCTTCTAATAAAGACTGAGTTTATCCTGACTCGGTTGTGCTGCTATTGGGTCCTTTGCATAACCATGACCTGCCCCTTGGAGGCGCCATGTATGTGGTTCCTCTAAGTTAGCGTTAGACCAGCTGTGCTGTAAATAACTAAGTGTGAAATGCATTGTCACGCTGAGGTAGAACCATATTTCATGACCACAGTGAAAAGTAATCCATTATTATTATTATTATATGAACCCACATTTTCACAGTGGTTCACAGGCGCATTTTTGATAATTATCATTGTACTTGTTAACGTTATGTTATTGACTTAGAGAGCTGCAGCCACAGAACCCCGGAGGGACAGTCCAAACAGCACAAACAGTTACCGCCCAGCAGCAGCAGCAGAAGTGACAGCAGCACTTTCACGCCCAGCAGCAACAGCAGCAGAAGTGACAGCAGCACTTTCAGTTCTTCGACTCAGAGACATATGGTCTCCTTCTGAATGTATTTATAAACTAAGAGCACTCAGCTCCGCTGACTGTTTCATTCTAAGGTAAGTGTCACAGCCGTTTTACGCCATGGTTTTTCTACCAGCAATGTAAAAAAGCGGTTCAACCTGTCGCTTCGCGTGGGGAGAATTGAACGGAAACACCGCTTTCCGTTGCAAAGTAACGGTAGTTGAGCCTGAGCATCCGCGTATACGTATTTTCGTTAACTCCGGTGTTTACGACATGATTTTAAAGCCGATTTAATGCTGAATTTTACCGATTTAAAAAAAACGTGGGTACTGTTGTATATAACGTTTATTACCGTTCCATTCATGTACCAAATGACACGCGACATACCTAGGTGTATGACAGGCAACTATGAGTGATCGATGTATTTATTAATTATTAAAAATATATATTAATAAATATATTGATCTGTTAGTGTATTTCTGAGAACTTTATACAAAGTATCCTAAATCTATCTATTTATCTATCTATCTAAGCAAAATAATAATATTAATACCACCTTTATATTTTAATTTAGGTGAGACTCTTTTTGATTTTGGATTTTTTTTCGACATTTGTATAAAACAGAAAGGTAAAATATGCAAAAACGTATATTCTTTAGTGTGAACCGTATGCTACATCCCTCAAAGGTATCGGGCGTTACTACTCTACTCTGTAGGTACTCATACATTGTGTGATAGTTGTCAATAGTAAGCAATGACAGATGCAAATATTTGTACCACTTCTTGTTCACTTAACTCTGCGTTTCCATTATTCAATTCTACTGTGTGTGTGAAACAATCTGGGGGGGGTGTGGGGGGAGTTCCCTTAAGGGTAAATATTTACCTAAATAATATAATAACTATCTCACCTCACCTTCGCTTTTTTTTTTTTTTCATTTCGCGGTGGGTCTTGGAACGCAACTACCGTGTGACCTCTACATTTTACCAAAGTGAGCAGGGGGCAGCTCATGCTGCCTGGGGAGCAGTGTGTGGGGACGGTGCCATGCTCATCGCACCTCACTGGGGATGCTGGTGAAAAGTGACTTTGCATCATTAGACACCATAGTTTCTTCAGCCTCCAGTTTGATCTGGCTGATTTTGGTGGTGAAATCCGTTGAGTTTTTAATATGGTGTGGGGTGTCCCCCACCAATGGAGACAGTTGTATGTAGATGCAACTGTTAGGATCTTTCTGCAGTGTGTTTAGTGCCTCTCTCTCCTGGGTGGAGATGTTGGATGGAGATAATTTGGCACTACAGAGTGCTGCTGATACGTCTGAGCTGCTCAGCCTCAGTTTCTCGCAATCTGTTCCTCCTGATTGAGTCACCTCCTCTGTGACTCTTATGAGATCTACCGTTGGTAGCTTCCTAGGGGTTATTGCAAAGTTTAGTCCTTTGACTAGGACTTTTGACTCGGCTGGAATGAGCTCTCGGACTGACAGATTTTTAACCCATTTGTCTTGGGTGTCCAGTTCGGTTGTATTGTCTTGTGTTATCGCCCATGTTCTGCTCTGTTGTGGTGGGAACTGTAGAACCTGGACTCAAGGTTCTGATATTGTGCTGTGCCAGTTGTGCTGTTCTGGTGTGTCTGGAAACCGCTTCCAAGACATGTCTGGGAATGACTGCGGCCAGATCCTAGTCTGCCTGCATCTCAGGTTGAACCGAAGGTGGTTTCTGTAATCCGCCACTTTCCTCCCCAACCTTTCATACTCCCTCACCCTCAGCAGGGTGTCCGCCCCAAAATAAGTATGAACATACTTGTGGATATTCTCATACATCTGATCGACTATCTGTTTATTTTTCACTGCAGATACAGGATGGGAAGAATCATTCTCAGCAGACTCCTGGTGTTGGTACTCTTTGGTCTACTACTGCTCTTCTTTCTCCTTAAAGATTTTAATGACCAGAGAAACATCCATGTCAATGATATTGAGCAAAAACATAAGACATTGACGCCCATAATAAGCAAACCCTTCGTGTGGTCATCATGTCAACAAAACACATCTGTTTCCAACATCACAGACTTCGGCACTCTTCCTGTTTATATAAAAAATTTTCTTTTCTATAAACATTGTCGCCATTTCCCCATGCTGCTTAATGTTCCATACAAATGTGGAGGAGATGATGAGTCTTCTGATGTCTTCCTCCTCCTGGTCATTAAAAGCTCCCCTGGAAACTACGAACGCAGAGAGGTACTACGTAAAACCTGGGCACAAGAAAGAATCTACAATGGCGTTTGGATCCGCAGGGTCTTCATCTCAGGAACGACACAGTCTGGATTCGAAAAAACAAGACAGAACAAGCTACTTGAACTGGAAAATCATGACTACAACGACATCCTCCAATGGGACTTTGAAGACACGTTCTTCAACCTCACCCTGAAACAAATACTTTTTCTAGAATGGAAGGAAATGTACTGTCCAAAGGTTCACTTCTTATTCAATGGTGACGATGATGTTTTCGCCAACACTGACAACATGGTCGAGTATCTCCAAGGCCTCAAGGACAATGATGGAAACAAGCATCTCTTCACAGGCCACTTGATAATGAATGTAGGGCCGATTCGGGAACAACACAGCAAATATTATGTTCCGGTTCAAGTACAAGAATCAAACTCATATCCTCCCTATTGTGGTGGTGGAGGCTTTCTTCTGTCTGGGTTCACAGCGAAAACCATTTACAATATGTCAAAGACTATCCCAGTTCTACCTATTGATGATGTTTATATGGGGATGTGTCTGGCTAAAGCAGGACTTAAACCAGAATCTCATGTGGGTGTGAGGACAGCAGGACTGAACATTCCCTCCCGTAAACTGGATAGTTATGACCCCTGCTATTATAAAGAAGTTTTGTTAGTGCATAGATTTCTTCCAGGTCTCACATATACAATGTGGCAAACAATACACGATCCTAACCTGAACTGTGAACACTTAAAGAAAACACATAAAATCAACAGGTAGTCACAGTTGGTGTGACAGGATCCAGTCTGATGCACATACTTTCATTTCGAATCAAATTAAATAAAATCAACAAAACCACATATTTGTATAATTCAGATAAAGCCATACACACAGTTGCTATTATTTTCTGCTCACTAAGGTGATGGGTTAATGCCATGCACCCCCTAGGGGACAATAGATTTTCCACCTTTTCGCCTTGTAATATTTATTTATTTATTAATCCTTACAAATCACTGTATGAGTTGCAGCATTCAGCATACAAGTCCCTGATTATTCAAAGATTAATACAATGATAGTGACGAGAGTTTAGTGTTGATAATGTTCTGTTCAAGTGTGATTTTACAGTCACCAGTAAAGAATGGGAGTGAGGAGGCGTGGTGAGAGTGCATGTGTGTGTGTATGAGGAAGAGAGAGCGCAGAGAGAGTGAAAGGGGGGAAAGGCGAAGAGAAGCTGGGTTGAGAACAATAAAGTAGTTTAGAACCAGATACTGAGGCACCTGACTGGTCTGTCGCCAGGGCATTAGACTATTTTTAGGGCACACATTATTTCATGAAACCCAGCCATTGCATCATTGGGTTTTCAATATTGGAGGAAAAACCAATAACGATTCTTACATTTATTACAAAATATGCTAATATGGGGCCGATAATATCGGAATATATATGTATGTACAGTATATATGTGTATATATTTATATATACATACTCATATACCTACTATGTATACATAAAATCTTGTATATACTGTGTATATATATATAAATGTATATATATATGTTTACAAATATGTGAATATATATATTTACTTTTTATACTTGTTCCTCCTTGCATTCTGCTCTGGTGTTATCTGCTAGAGTTCTGATGTCTTAATGTTTCAAGTCCACTGCTCTTCTAATTATTATAGCATTTCGATGTAAGCAATAAAACAGTCATATGTGCACTATTTAGAATTAATGTCAAACCACTTCATATTACTCTTTGTTCAAATAAAACAGAATATAAATAATTGTATGGTGCAAACCACTGTGAACATTTGTAGTTAAACAGCAACAACCATTTCATTTACTTCACAACCGGAATGATTTACATTCCTCAATCCCATTGAGACAAATGATATATTTCACAGAGAATAGCACCATCACAATTCAATGCACAATCTCTAATCTTCTTTGATGGTCTTTGAAATACACCCTAGCCAGTATTTACTGTTTAAACTGGTGGGATTCCTGGCTGCCATGCAGTAGATTCACAGTTCCATTTCTCCTAGTTCCTAATCCCACTCTTTCTCCAAACTCTGCAGCTACAGCCACACATTAATAATAGAGGTTTGGGTTGTAGATATTGATTATCTTGTCAAAGGGTTACTGAAATGTATGACCAGTGTGTATGAGCAACATTGTCATTTTATTCTAGGAAGATTAGAGTTGGAAACTCGACTGCGTTGAGTTTCTTTCATTCTTTTGCCTCTGTTCTAAGACTTGTAATCATAAAGTTGTTTTTCATGGGTTTTTTTGTGCCTCGTAAAGTAATAAAAATGAGTTCCATCCAAATGTTCTTTTATTTCAGGGAAAGAAAATATATTTCAAAGCCTTTGTCTTTGTTGTCTTCATTAAAGTTAGATAAATAATTGTTTTTTTTTGTGTGTGTGCCACAATTTCTTGCTTAATAAAGATATAATGATGCGACTGTGGAACCCACACCAATGTGTCATTTGGGTGGCGGTCATGGAGACTGCTGCCCCGCGACCCGGTAACAGATAAGCGGATGAAAATGGATGGATGGATAATGATGTGACTAAAAATGTCCTTGACATACGATTTTTACGAGGATATACCATTTTGCCATGTCCTCAAGAGAGCCTCGAGAACCTCAATATTTGTGAAAATCTGCAAAATAAAACTTGTTTGTTGTTTGTTCTAAATAACATCAAGCACTTCTGTTCCTGATTAGATGCTACAACCGCTGCACAGGCGCATGGCCCAACACAGAAGGGCCAGCTCCTCAGGACAGGACTCAGCTGTTCACATACACCTCAAGGACAAAACACACTCCTTTGAGGACAACAATGTGCACATTTTGGCCAGGGAAGACAGATGGTTTGAGAGAGGGGTAAAAGAAGCCATTTTTGTCTTTATTCTTTCACACCCAGAGTATATATTTGCTGTACAGTTAGAACTGAAGAAGCCTCTTGGATGAGAGGTGAAACGTCTTCTCAGAAAATTCACGTCCAGTTGCCTAACAGGTACGTTAATCACTGACCAATATTGTCTCTTATAAAGATAAGCCTGTGTTACAATGTCATTATCAATGTTGTTTGGATTGTCTTCTACTGTGAAAGTTTGGTTTATCTTTCATAGCAAACAGCAAGTCTACCAAAGTTAATGGCAGAAATTTTTCAGTCTGTAGTTTTATTTTTTAATTTTAAAAGGCTTACGCTTAAAAATAGGCAGTTCATGTGTTTATTTCATTTCAATAGAAAATGTTCAGTGTTGGTGTTCACCTGTTATTTGTCTTTCTTATTAAAGCAGGAGGAGCTCCAGAGATTTTAATGAGTAACTCTGTGTCGTCTTGTTCAGCCTCCACCCTGCCTCTGCAAATTTGAAGGAGGGAACTTTGGTCCTAAATATTTTATTCCCTGTTTATAAAAACAACAGATACATTAATCATTGACCAATATCCTCTCTTATGCTGATGTCAAGTGCTCTTGTAGACTCCATCTTTGAACATAGTGTTTTTAATGGATAAACAGTGGTATGAGTAGCAGAGCACCAACAGAGCTAAACTACTAAACAGCACTCCACGTCTATTATACTCTGAACTCTGATTTTCATTCCTGTCCTTGTGAGCCTCTTCACACCCAGTCAAAGCATGCTGTAATGATGTAGTGTGTCTGCCAACACTGGGTATTTAAAAGCAAACAAGTTTGATCTGATTGAAATACATTTAATGGCTGGATAACTGACAAAAGCTTAACAAAAAATGTTGTGAGATGAAATGCTTGATATGAGTGAGATATATGCTTGATAAGATATTATACTGCGTAAATCTGGTATATTTTCATCACGAAATCCTTATTTGGTCCAAAACAACGTTTTTGCCATAAAGCGTCTAAAACAGGCATAGGCAAACGTTTTGACTCACGGGCCACAATTGTCCTAAAATGGTACAGGGGGCCGGGTCAGGAGCAGATAGATGAAGTGTTCATGTGAACTAATACGAACGACATGTGAAAGTCATGCACAAAGGCTAAAATGCTAAAATGATTTTATCATTTTCTATGGCATCTACTGGGGAAATGTTATTGCAGTCTGTAGTTTTATTTTTTAATTTTAAAAAGCTTACCCTTAAAAATAGGCAGTTCATGTGTTTATTTTATTTCAATAGAAAACGTTCAGTGCTGGTGTTCACCTGTTATTTGTCTTTCTTATTAAAGCAGGAAGAGAATATAATCAGGATCTCTGTGTCATCATATACAGGCTCCACCCTATATCTGCTGTTGGAAGGAGGAAACTTTGGTCATAAATATTTTATTCCTTCTTTAGCTGCTTAACAATAAACAGATAACGAAACACAGGTGTCTTTTTACGGTAAGAGCCTCCAAAATATACAGATATTTTATTTAGCTGTTGCTTTAAATCAGTGAGTGTGAATTTGTGTGTATTGGAGCAGTGGTGGCTTAGTGGTAAAGGAAGCAGATCTTGGTCCGTAAGGCTTCAGGTTTGAGTCCACCAGCTGCCAAGTTACCACTGAGGTGCTCTGAGCAAGGCACCGTCCCCACACACTGCTCCCCAGGAGCTGAAAGCTGCCTACTGTTGACTTTGGTGATGGGTTAAAAGCAGAGGTCACATTTGGTGGTGTGTTGTGTCACAATGACAGGTAGTTCACTTAACTTTTAACACCTTTTAAGCAACTTAAATAATATTTCTTTCTCTTTGCACAGAACAACTCATAATATCTGAGTTAATTCTTCATATATTTCATGATTTATACATACTCTAAAGTTATATGCAGAGAGTATATGTAAATATGTGGTTTAATAAACAGTTCATAGATTTACACATGCTGCGTATCCAAAAATAGTTACATCAAGGGCAACTGAACGAAGTAGTTTTTTTCCTGACATTTCACCTCTCATCCACCTCTCGTCAATTCTGACTGACTACTGGGAAATTCTGGTATTTAGTCTCAAAGGGGCTGCACACCCGTAACGACGGTCGTTGCAGAAAGGTGGAATGGGGGAAGGCAGAATGTGTCCTTTGAAATGAAACTGTACAGACACATGCTGAGTAGTTTTTTACCTCTGAATCGCTTAAGGACGTGATATTGGTGGAACACATTGTATTGATCTTCTTTTTTTAATCATCTACTATTCATTTCGTTTTATTGTTGAATAACTGCACTGATGACGAAGAGTTAGCCCTTCTCCAGGTTTAGAGGATTTATTTACGTAGGTTATTTTTTTTAAGGCTTGTTTTCAAAAAAGGTTACACAGAATCTGCCATAGCGGGGTTTTACAATATAGGAAAAGATGATGAAAGAATATAAATAAATATATATATATATATTAAATATTTTTTTTTATCAGACTGTAACTATTGTTTACCCTCTGTTACAGCGACAATTAAAGTCAAATTTCTTTTTGTAAGTGTCAGTGCATTCTATTCAGTCTGAGCCCTGCATGTTGTTAACATTCTTAAAAACCTGAAGCACAGGCTGTTTTAAAAGACAAATGAATGGCTGTTGGCATTTCAACATAAAAACAATTCCAGAGCTGAAGAAGCCTCTTGGATGAGAGGTGAAAAAAACCTACTTCGTCCAGTTGCCCTCGATGTAACTATTTCTGGAACCAACGGATACTTTGTTCTTGATGCACTTGCTTAATTGTCCTACTAATAAAACATAAGTCTTTAAAAGAGGACACTGACTATTTGCTGACTATCAAAATAGATTTAAGGTCTACAACTTCTATAAATGACATGATATAAAGGAGAACAAATGTTTGTCTTTTTCACTCCAGTAATTCAAGATGAGAATCATTTTAAAGAACCTGTTCCTGTTGGTTATATTCCTTGCTCTGCTGCTCGTCTTCTTCTATAAAGAGATCGGTGACATCAAACACCTACACATCCAAAATATTCAACGACCAGAGAAGGGAGCTTCTTTATTGGCACAAGCCACAGAATACCCTAGTGTCACTGAACAGGAAAGATGTGTACAAAATACAACTGCTGCTAACATAACAGGCTTCAGCACTCTTCCTGGTCACATACAAGACTTTCTGTATTATCGTCATTGTCGCTTTTTCCCTATGCTTCTGAACGCTCCAGAAAAATGCGGAGGAGCTGTTAACTCTGCTGATGTCTTCCTCCTGCTGGTCATTAAGAGCTCGCCAGGAAACTATGACCGCAGAGAGGTCCTACGTAAAACCTGGGCAGAAGAGAGGCTCTACAACGGTGTGTGGATCCGCAGAATCTTCATTGTTGGAACAACCCCCTCTGGTTCTGATAACAAACTACTTGAACTTGAGAACCGAGTTTACAAGGATATTCTCCAGTGGGACTTTTATGACCGATTCTACAACCTCACCTTAAAGCAGGTTTTGTTTCTAGAATGGATGGCGAAAAACTGCCCAAATGCTCGTTTTTTATTTAATGGTGACGATGATATTTTTGCTAACACAGACAACATGGTTTTGTATCTCCAAAGCCTTAAAGACAATGATGGGAGCAAGCACCTCTTCACTGGTAATGTGATGAGGAATGTTGGACCCTTGAGATTTGCCTGGAGCAAGTATTATATCCCAGTTCAGGTGTATGAATCCAATAGTTACCCCCCTTATTTAGAAGGTGGAGGCTACCTTCTGTCCAGCTATACAGCTTTGATGATATATTATATGTCTTATACTGTCAGCCTTATTCCTATTGATGATGTTTACCTTGCCATTTGTTTGGCCAAAGCTGGACTTGGACCTACGCATCATCTGGGTGTGAGGACCAGAGGGATGTACATTCCCTCCAAACAACTAGATCAGCATGACCCTTGCTATTATAAGGAGATTTTATTGGTACATGGTTTTGCTCCACATTCTCTGTTCATTATGTGGCAAAGCGTGCATGACCCCAATTTGAAATGTGAACATTTAAGGAAATCAAGTGAACCTATAATTCCAGGAAAAAAAACTATCAAGAAACCTGAAGTTATTGTAACAACTGACGAGCCCCAATCAGCAATGATACACAATTAAATTAAATAACACACATAAACCCATTCCCACCCCCGAAGAGGAGGCTCTCAGTTGGGTTCACAGGAATATGTTTGACAGCTACTTTAGAGATTAAATTAAGTTACACAACATGCTAACAACTGAGCACCGTACACACTGAGTAGACACAGGTAGAAAGAATAATTACAAGTAGCAGTTGTAGGGCAAATATTTAGAGAGATGAAGATGTTTATTTAGAAGACCCTTGCGATAACAAATTTATTTAAAATGTTCCTGGAGATGTCTGCAAATACACTTTGGAAAGCCAATCCTCATGGCCTTCTAAAACTTTCATTTATCTTTTCAATACTTAACTTTCAAACAATAGAAGGTTCTACTGTGATATCCAAAAATATTAACTAACCATTATGTATGTATCAATAATAAAGGACACCTTCATTATATTGTGTTGTAAATCTCTGACTGTATATATATATTTATATATCTAATTTTTTTAAACATGAGAAAATAAAGTGGTTTTTTTTTACAGTTTTTAATATACACATATATACCTTGCCATTATAGAAGACTTGAAACAGAATTTACAGTATTAACAATATTACTGTCCTGTGGCTTTGTCACGCAATATATGATATGACAAATATAGCATGTCTATCAAAGGGATAGCTATGTACAATCACTACAATACATAAATCGAAAAAAAGGGAAGGCAAATGCGTTAAGATAGAAAGACAACTGAGACACAATAATTAGTGCAGATATGTGGATGTATTAACAGTCTAAATGATTCACAATTACAAAGTAGAAAAAAGTGAATTCTCTATTATTTATTTTATAACAAGAAATGACATGGAACTTTTTTGCACATTTATTTGAATATGTTTTTGAAAGTTATTGGCTTTAAATTATTCCCTAAATGATTAGTGTATCAGCAAAGTCTCACAATCCACACAGTCTTATGAAATGTAACACACCTTTTCCACATATTTACAAGTTGCATTAATACACTGGGCTTTGCTTTGTTTAACCAAAAACATTTTTTCAACAAGTATCTTAAAAAACCTATGAAATATCTGGTGTGTGGGGAGTATAAGCAGGAATACAACAGCTTGGTTTAAACAGTATTAGCAAGGTTAAAACCCTTTCAATGTACATGCATCTCCTGAAACCTTAACGTTAGCCTCTGTGCAACAATACTTTTTCTGGGAAAGTACATCTGCTAAGAATTCCACTGTAAAAAGACAATGCACATTATTGAACACATAAACTGCCACAGTGCATTTACCAGGAATGGTTGGCAACACGGTAAACTAACAGGAACAAGCAGTAATTGAAGTCATACATCCTGATGAATCAGGATCTGTGCGTAATTCACAAACAATATGTTTGCTTAATAAGGTATTAACATAACACAAAAGATCATTTCTTTGCCAATGTTTAACCAAAGCACAAGAGCTAGTGTATTCTTCTTGTCTGGATTAGCGCCATGTTTTCACATACTTTTAGACAAACAAATGACTGGCAACAAGGAAAGAAGGAAATGTTTTGAAATTAAAAAGATGCATCACTTATTCACCATGAAATTAATGATATTTTAATTTTTTATCGCTCTCCCTCCATGTGTTTTACTCAACAATTAACTGTTGTAAAAACTATTTAACAAATGACGTTAAACATGACCCCCCTTCTGTATTACTTCCTAAAAAGATAGCCAAAATTGACTCGAACCATTAAAACTGTTGTAAAAACGATGTAAAAACCATTTAACAAATGACTCCCACAAACACGCACTTTCACCTTCGCCCAAGAGACACGTTAAACACGATTTTTTTTTTTGCCCTTCTCTATTACTTTCTAGCCAAAATTGACTTGAACTGTTTTCACTCTCTTTCTCTCTCTCCCGCTTTCTTTCTGCGGAGATAAAACAACATATAAAATATATATTAATATGTGCCTGAAACTGAAGGTATTTTTGGTGTGTTCTTGACATTATTATATTTATTTATTTATTTTTTGTCGAACTTTACATTTGTTTCAAAATATGCGGTCCGTGCGCCTGATGATGACGTCACGGTAGTTGCGCCATGCGCCAGGCTGTCGTTACGTTGGAGTCCACTTGGCAATCTGAAATGTAAGCATTTAAATGTTTTTATTGTTGCAACAAGGTTCTGTGTTCTGGCCCGACTTCTACTGTTGTAAACTGTCGCCGTCCATCACGACGAATTTTAGTTAGTCTATTTATTACCGCATTTACTTCCCAGCTGCGTAATGCTAATTTTTTCCGTCCATTATCCGGCTGATACAGACTGAGTTTGTACAACACAAAGTATTAGCAATTCAGATAATATTTTTAAAATTTTACAAAAATAATACATACAAATATCAAAACTTTTAGCTTCTTGTTAAATGATCAAAAATAAATGAGGAGTTTTATCAAAACATTAGGCAATTGCGAAATAAAGGCATATCTAAAATTAAAGAGTAATTTCCCACACTTTATTCTCAGGTCCTCCAAATGGAAGTCAAAACCTTGAAAAGTAAGCCTGGCATTAAATTGTGTGGCAAAACATCTTCTTTAGTAAAGTTTAATTCTCTGAGTAACATTCAAACAACATAAGTTTATACATTTTGTTTTTTAATGTTTTTTTTAAAAA